CTCCTCCTTCATAGGGGGGTCGTAATCCCATCTCGCTTATGCACCAGTGGTCTCTTTGAGCAGCCCCTAAGGCCCCAAAAGACCTAGTATAGTAATCCCATTTTCTCTTCTGTTCATTTCGTCCGACAAAGGAATCGTGCCACCAGTTCAAAAATTTACGAGTGAAACATTGTTCTTTTCGAGGAACATCCTATTTATATTGCTTTGGAATGCATATTACTAAAGCTTTACATGATATTTCTACCGTCGATCTCGACGGTGTCAGCCGTGTGCTCCAGAGTTGAGTGGGAACAGGGAAGGTGACTTGCTCGGCGTTTACCGCACTCTTTCCTCCTCTCCCACCTTGGCCCGGTGTTAGGACATAGGTAAGAAGACCGAAGGCGGGAGAGGGCACAGGTTGCTGATACAGCAGAACCCGCGCCTGGGCGTGCTACTACACTCCGGCAGTTTTACATAGATACGCACACATATACGCATATATATTGGAAGGTAGGCATGCCAAGAAATATAAGTTGAAGACAGAGGCGTTCTTTGGGAAAAGGTACTTTATTGCGTGAATTTTCGACGCTGGCACCGAAGACAAATACTTGGCGAACTCTCCCTTGCATTAAAAACGTGTCTGAACTCCTTGAAAGGCACCTAAGGAAACTCCAAATCCTAGTAGCACACAGACCAACGACTACCTTATGCGCTCAGATAGTACATCCTAAGAAGAGGGTCAGCTATTTGGATAAAAAGGAAGTCGTCTACAAGATCCCGCGTGAGGCTTGTGATGCAGTTTATTGTGGTCAAACAGGGAAATCCGCCTCTACACGCATTCGCGAACACTAGCTGGCAGTCTCAAGTAGCCATGCATACCCTGGACACCGGGCATGCCTTCGCTCGGGACAGAACTCAGATTGTCGGTGTCTGCCCTTTCAAAAAAGGCCGAGAGTTCCTCGAGGCCATGCACTCCGATGAATCATGTATCAACCGGCACATTGAGTTGGACGCCGCGTACAAAAGTCTCAAGGAGAAGTGGAAGAGACGAGAGCCAATCAGAACAGAATGACGCAGATAGCGACCGCTCACTGGCGCAAGCGCCGAACAATTATCGATTTTCAAGTGCACTGCCAGATGTTAACTGTTGTCGACACATTTGCTATTTGTCTGCGTCTGACGACGACCTGGGGAACCAGCGCCGAAAATTTACGCAACAAAACTCCTTTTCCCAAAGCACACCTTTGACTTCAACATATATGCATATGTATATGTTTATGTATTAACTGTGATATAGGGCTCCCACTGACCGCTCACCGACAATCAGGATGTCGAAAATGACCATGCCAGTCTCCCTTGTCCATGTCGGTAGTCTCCTTCCGCATATACCCAACGAAAGGACGCCAATCGACCACGTTGGGTGATGTAGTCGTCCTTTTGTGCCCTGGGGCTCAATCCAGAGCTGTCGTAGACAGTCGTACAGCGGCCATGGATATTTACAGATTTTACATATTTTGTATTTGTATACAAGTGCGCAGACGTCAGTGATGGTTATTAGAATTGGAAGGTGGTTGAATGTAAGACAGTGCCTATTTGCGCTCAAAATCGTAGACATTTTGTCGAGGAAAGGGTACAAGAGCATATTCTGCGCGAGGAAAAGGTTTTTTTTGCGAAATACACTTAACTCATAGGGAAGATGCACTCAACGAATTTTATGAATTACTTCGCCAACTGTATATCTTCGCGAATCCAAATTATGATTGGCAGCTCGACCGTCGCACGCGACGATGTCTGCCGTATGCTTAAAACATGGTAGGCGTAGGACGCTGATTGACGCACGAATTAGTTAATAGTGATAGAAGACGAGGGGGCTAGCATACGTAGCTTTCGATAACTTATCATCGGGCCAGTACGGGTTAGAAGTAAAACACGTCAGTGATTAGATAAATCGATAAAAGTTCGCCTTAAAACACAGGCTGGGTGTGGAAATGTGGGGGAGAGGGGGGGGAGGGTAATAGCAGTCAGTGTCAGGGGCGGGGTGAGAGCGGAAGGGCACGGGAGAGTCGTAGTGTTAGTCGACCTTCGACCACTGTAGGCGTGGAGCCTGAACGTGGTTCTTCTGTGAGCACAAGATTGGTTTTCGCAACCTGATGGTGGCCGCCTCTGCTAACAGACGCTGTCCCAGTGGTTTAGGATAGCTCGATGGGACCCTATAGATCACACAAAACGCTTCGTCGGGGTCTACATGATGTTCGGAATCGACAACATGCGCGAGAATGGCGCTACTTATGCTCCTAGTTTCGCCTTTTCCCAGCCATGTCAGGAGGTGTTCCCGTATTCTCTTGGATAAGCGCCGACTCGTGCGACCAATATAACCTGCTCCACAGGGGCAAGTGAAGGAATATATGCGCATTGAAGTGGTCTGCGGTGGCAACTTATCCTAACCTTCTCCGCGTAAAATAGGGTTAGTAGAGAATGATATTTGAACCCTTGCTGCTGGGAAGGTTCGCAAGACAGCTTGATCAAGGCGTCTCCCTAGGAGTTCACTCGCAGCGTCCCCTTGGAAAGGGACTCTGAGGAACAAAGTTTTCTTTTCGGCGGTCGATGTGGCGGGTTTGGTCGGTCGTTCGGCAATGTTCTTTGCAATGAACCTGTCAGGATACCCGTTTTCGCGAAGGAAGTCCTGGCTTTTTCTGAGCTCCTCCTCGATGCTATCTGTTGAGCAAATTTTTCCAGTTCATTGTACCAGACATAGGACTAGATTTCGTTTTTGTTGGAGTGATAGAAGACTTGCGCGTCATCATCATCATCATCATCATCATCATCATCATCATCATCATCATCGTCATCATCATCATCATCATCATCATTATCATCTCCTCCCTCACCCATCTGGTAAGATAAGGGTGCGAGCACTGAGGTCAGTCTTGGCCGAACAGACGAGTTGGTCCTCTAAATCCCAGCCTTGAAAGGTGACAGCCCAGGCTAAATGCAGGGTCACGCGTCGCTCTTCTGGGTTAAAAGGTCTAAAAGCGTGTGCAATGCCAGTATCAGCAAACCATGGTCCTCGCAGCCTTGTATGCGCTGACAGTTCCCTGACACCTGGTTCCCTGCCGGTAGATGCGCCTGAGCTCCCGCTGGGTGGGCATGGCTGCCCAGTCACCATCCTTGTCCTTCTAACCCCTATTGGGGTGTTGTTGTTGGTGAAAAATGGTGTGGTGGCCGGCCGTGCCTAGTCATTCTCGTCATTCTGTTCCCTGTTGGGGTGTTGTTGTTGTCGTTGGTGAAAATTCCTGGTCGTTTGCTGTGTGGACCAGTTGGTGTGGTGGCACCCCTAAGTGCAGGTCTGACCTTGCCAGCCACCTGCGCCCTCCCCCACCTCCGGTCTTCTTGACTCTGTGTTGACATCGGATCCAGATGGGGAGTGGGGAAGAGAGAGCGCGGTAGACGCCGTGCAAGTCTACTATTACTATAAACCAACTCATGCACAAGTCACGGTCCCTGCTCCAACTTGCTGTGGAGCACACGGGGAACATCGTCGAAACCGACGGTCGAAGTTTCGCGTACACGCCACCTTCGGTTAAACCAAGCATCAGTCCACACGCGCTTCCCTGTGCATGCTTCGAACTCTGTTTGTACTCTCTTCCTCTTCATAAACTAGCGAGTGACTAAGATTGGTATGTTAACTAAAGCTGTTATAGTAAGCTAGCCGTATGGCATCAGTGAAGTGGGGCTGCAGAACCGAACCTCGCCGAAAATTCTTTTACTATCCAGGTGGGAATTATATTTAAAAGGAAACTTCCTTTGCACGTAACTAATATACTTCTTCATACTGACTCAACTATGAAAAACTCAGCGCCTCGGTGGAATTCAAACCAAAGACAGCAAGTGGAATTCAAACCAAAGACAGGAAGTGGAAGTACAGCCAGGGCTCTAGCCACCTGTGCTACGAGGCCCCACTGTGAGACGGGATTTTAATCACATTCGGGTCGAATTGCCCGCCCAACCTACTGCAACGCCTGGAATATGCTTTTGTTTACAAAAAAACGATTTGAAGCCTGCAGTTACTGATCATTACATTGAACGGCCCTTCAGCCACCGCCGATCAAAAATTACTATTACTAACTCCAGTAAAGAAGGAGATGGCAGATTAAAATTGCTAGCAGAGAGCCCGCGTACGAATAAGTCTTCTGTATTCCACAAATACTGTTGTGGACTGGGGGTGTGGTAGCGCGCCTAGGTGCGGGTCCGACCGTCTCCGGTCTCCTTAACTCTGCGCTGACAGTTCCCTGACACCTGGGTTCCTGCCGATTGATGCGCTTGCTCTCCTACGGGGTATACAGGCGATGGGCCCGGCCGCCCAGTTATCATCCTCGTCCTTCTGAACCCTGTTGTTGTTGTTGTTGTTGCTGTTGTTGGTCCGGTGTGTGCTGTGAACCAAGAGGTTTGGTAGCGCGCCTGGGTGCGACTCCGGCCGTACCAGCCACATGCGCCCTCCCCCACCTCCGGTCTTCTTGACTCTCTCCTGACACCGGCCTCAGGTGGGGAGTGGAGAAGAGAGAGTGTGGTAGATCCTGCGCAAGTCTACTATCACTATCACGCGCATGTCACCGTGCCTGTTGCACCTTGCTGTGCAGCACACGGTGGACATCGTCGGAATCGACGGTCGAAGAGTGGGTCCTCTAAACACGTACCGGACTTTCAGAGGGGGCGACTCGGGCTCCCCTAGGTGGGAGTATCCCAGAGGTTACATTCGCAAAGAGCTACTGAGCCTGACTACCAATTCCCGGACCAGTCATCCTAGTTACGCCAATTGAGTTGCCCAGTCAGTTAGCAACCTTCCAAGATTCGGACGCGTCAGAAGTAACTGTGGTGAGGAATACGCTATAGCGCCGTGCGGATGGGTTCCACAGTGTCGACCTAACATTCCCTTCTCGTTTTAGAGCCAGGTGGGTTTGTGCGCATGTTTGTGTTTCCCATCCCAACTGGTGGTCAGAGTTATGATTGGCCGAATGAAAGCAAACAAACCCAAAGCAGTGTTGTATCAATCCACCCCCCAGACTCTGTCGTCTCCCCTCTGCTATCATAGCTTGGCCGACTTCGGTCTGGTAGTTGGTTGCCTGTTCATGACCCCTGTTACCCATGCTAAGATTGGTTGCTTCGGGAGGCCAATGGATCTGCGTGAGCCCATTGCTGAATGAATAATTATAATTGAACACTGTTCAAAGAAAAGACTTAAGTGGACGACTAGGGTTAAAAAAGGGTATTTTGACAAACGAATGCATATTTTCAGGACAAAGTCTATGCATAATATCTTTTGCCTGTACCATCTAAGCCCAGTCACATCTTACTCAAAGGTACATGTGACTTGTGGTCTCCAAGAACGTAAGTTAAAGGGCCAAGCGGCAAATATTGCTCGATTTGCTGACGCACTGGAGGCAGGTTAAAGTGTTGACACAAGTTTTAAACCTTTAACAGAATTAACTAAGACAGTTTACGAAACCGAAATTTAAAAGCATTCATTCTAACCAACCATAAGTAGCATAAAGCTGCTAATCAGTACAGTAGATAGATTGGTTTTTCGGTTGTCAAATGACTGCAATGCAATATTAGTGAGTTATGCCCACTCTCCGTAAAAATCCATCAGTAGTAGTACTGGGCAATACCCCACCAGTGAGTGCTTACTTAACCGTGTTTTATTAATTTCATAAACGCAGTAATCTTTGCAAAAGGGATCTGAAGAAAAGTCCTTTGGACACACTGTGGACTTCTAAAGCCTTTTAGCTGAGAGTAAAGAATAACTTAGCTTGCCAAGGTTTTGAAAATTATTCCTGTCTGAAAGCCTGTCACACTGTACATGTTAAAATTGAGAGATAGAGACGTTCACTGACGACATTTCACATATCTCTGTTTTATGAAGCTTTAAAAAAACATACAACAATCGGCGTGCTTAACATCAAGAATTGCTTCAAAAATATTTAGTTGATAATACTTATTATTATCCAAATGAACTAATTTAACTAAGAAGAAGAAGAAGAAGAGATGCAACTGAGATGCAACTAAGAAAAGATGCAACTGACTACTAGAGGATTAGAAAAACGATTAGGAAAATAAAAATTTTGCGAATTCTGTCTGAGGGAGATACTTGTTTTTGCATAACATCGGAGAGCGAGTTTTAAATTGCTGATGAAAAAGATTCTCAATCAGCGTGGGTCGCTTAGTTCGCAGGCCTATCAGCACGCAAGTAATCTTACCTATTTGGGCGTATAAGTTGGTACTTTTTAACCACTTTTAAGAACAATTTCGAAGAATTTTAAAAATCTATTTGGAAACTGTTCACAACCAAATTGCTACCAGTAAGGGGTAAACAGGAAGTTGATATTGGACAGGCTTTTATGCTAAAGACATGACAGTTAGTAACCAATGGACACTCGGCGGAAAAAAAATTATATGCTGTAGATGCGTAGCATTCAGCCGCTTCAGAGGATGCCGTTCCGGTAGTTGAAATTTCCCAAACATTCACACGCCTTTGCCATAGGCGACGATCCTACCATCTGAAATGCCAATATCTCACACCAATGAGCGTATGCTGGGTGAAAGTTTAAGTCTAGAATCAACCATTTTGGTATTTTGGAGGAAAAAACCAGTAGGCATCTAAGAGACTATGATAAAAAGGACTCACAAATGGGAGAGGCGACATCCTCGAGAGATACGAACTGCGTGATCGGAGGTCCCACTTCTGGGTTCACCTTGATCCTGAGTGAGACCAGGCTAGGTGAGTGGGAAGAAGAGGATCAGGTTAGGACCTGGGAGTGTCCTAACAGGTCAGATGTGTAGACCCAGAGATGTCTGTCGTTTTCTAGGACTGAGTTGCAATGGATAAGATCGCAGTTGGTAGGCAGACATTATACGATGATACGGTCGACTTACGTATTTGTTATCAGTGGGTGTGCTTACCTTGTCTAGGGAACTTGGTATCATTGGCTGTACAACCAGGCGTCTGGAAAAGAGAATACGCGAGCACATGCCTGCCTGGCTAGGTAGAGGTGAACATCGATCGATTTCGAGTTCAATTCTCGCACATCTAATCGATACAAACCATTAAACCGACGCTAATGAAGCTTTTAAAGTTATCTACCGGGCACCGGCACACTACTCTAAAGGCCTGCGCAAACGGGTGCTAGCCACAGCCGTAGCAGTGGCTATTCGACTGACGAACCCAGCACTCTGTTGTCAGAAGACGCTGAGACAAGCAGTCTGTCTGCCCTGGCCGACTCCAGACGGTGACCGCACGCCGTCCCGACGCACTGAGAGCAGTCACACGCACTCACAGCGCCTACAATCTAACCGGAACCCCTCTACTTCCCCCCCCTCCCACTCCAACTCCTTCCTCCCCCGTCCCACCCCAACTCCATCGTCCTCAACACCCTGACTCCGACATGCGGGCGGCGTGGGAACATGGAGTCCGATTAACCCTGCGCCCGAGACGCATTTATACCCTGTCGACAATTAGACTGATCATTTCCCTGATGAGAATTTACTGAAAACATATGTTAGCCAATTGACTTTTTAATCGTAATATGGGAATTTTTGCAGAACTTGGTATCAGTAGGCGTGCTCTTACTGAGTTAGGCAGGTCGCCCGTTTCGGTCAGGCTGTTGGGTTTAGTGAGGGCTAGGGTTAGGCGTAGGTTAGGTTTTAGGATTGGGGTTTGCGTTTTAGGGTCAGGTTTCAGTGTTAGAGTTAGGGTTTAGGTTCCCGTTAGGGTTAGTGTTAAGGTTAAGTTTAGGCTTAAGGTTAGTGTTAGGGTTAAGGTTAAGGTTAGGGTTAGGCTTAAGGTTAGGTTTAGGGTTAAGTTTAGGCTTAAGGTTAGGTTCAAGGTTAGGGTTAGGGTTATGGCTAGGTTTTGGGTTAGCATTGGGTTTTAGGATGTTGTTTACGTTTCGATTTTGAGTCTTATGTTTAGGCTTTACGCATGCGGTCAGGGTTGGATTTTAGGGTTGTGTGTATGGTTTAAATTTCTGCCATTATTCCACCTACTTATGACTTCACAGCACTTTCCCTGGTAACTTTACTCTTACCCAGAAACTTCAGCATTCCTCTCCCAGCCCTTCCATTTACCCCACCCATTTATCCCACCATTCCTGTACGACAGGGACCTGGCTATCTGCCTCCCCATTCCTGGCTACCAACTTCGATCTAATCTTGCAATGCTCCGTTATGCCTGAAATCCCTACAAGAGGGTCCGTCGATGACAACCCGCTTTGGACAAGAGAACAGCCTACACCGATAATCGGTGTCAATATGGTCAATACTGCAAATAATTAGCGACAATATGCATAGTAAGGTGTGAATTCAGTTTAGATGACGCTGTCCCTTTAACTGGAGTAGTTCAGATCGACCCGCTCCCTCTCTGTCTCTCTCTGTATCATGCTACTGGATCATCGAAGCAAGTCACTAGCGAGTGATGCAGCCTGCACGGGAACAGACGCATACCGATGTATGCGACTCTGCAGAACACGCATGATATGCATTTGGCTAAATAAGGACTTGATAATCCGAAAGGAGAGGCAGTTACTCTTTTTCCCAGTCTTCCTGGTCTACTTTTTAGAAAAATATTACTGAGAAGATTAATATCTTCTCTGCACGTAAATAGGAAGTCAAAGGTACGGTAGTCTGTCCAAAGACTGTTTCCCTAAAGTTGTATTCAGCAGAAGATGACGATGGCTAGTGGCAAAACAGTGTCGCCATGAAAAGGGCTTAAACATTTCTGAGGAAAAAGGACAAATGCGGGTTGCTATTTTGGTGAATTCAAAAAACTACAGGTAGTTTCTGAGATTAGAATCATATCAACTCGTGAAGCTAGACTAAAAGCTTTGTTCAGAAAAAAATTGCTTCACATTTGTGCACTAATTTTCAAGGGAAAAAAGGACCAAAAAAGGAACTGTTTGTTTAATTCAAACGTGTAGGATTGTGGCAAAAACGGCTATATGACGTCAGGAGTGAGACTTTGATTGTGGCTGACTGTCTGACCTTCAGATTGCAAACCGATTAGTTATTCAGGGCGGACGGATTGAGAGAATTCATTTGCCCATACGCCAAAAACCCTGTAATCGAAAGGTTCGACCTGGGAGCATCCGGGTTTGAATCATCTGGGACCTGAGCCCTGGATTTTAGATCATTGTATCCAACGTTCTACAGTTGAGACTCGGATCCATCGTCCTACCGGTTGAAACTGCGTATACATAATGTCGTATGAACACTATACACATGTGATCCGGTGGTAGAGCTTTGGACTCATTGACAAAAAATCCCGGATTCGAATCCTAAAAGTCTTAGACCTGAGGTTTGGTATGACTGGGTAATGGTGGTTAATAAGCTATAAGTGACCATTTCAATCCCCCTAGCGCTGGTCTAAACTCAATTTTGCATATATTTCTCGTAGTTACGAAACTGTTTGGGAGGGCTGTACACGGAGCCCCAGGGCACAACGGCGCGTGCAGGTCCCGTAAACGGTTCGGCCAGCGCTAATCTTGTGACTATATAAATATAAACATGTACAGTGAGTGACCGATCTCATGAAATGTTGGCTGAAATTCTGAAATGCGTTTTCGATTAGAAAGGATTACTTGGTCGCGGTTGTAATACTGATTCTTGTAAGACATACTTTTATAACATTTCGGACTCGGCAGGATGTCGGCTTTTTAATGTATTTCTTTTTAATCTCCTTATAGAAAGCGTGCTCGGTAAAAAATGACTACTTATGTAGCATGCATTTTCCCGTTGATTTTCGATGGTCTTGAAAATTCAAATATATCTTATAGAAACCATAAACAGAAATACGTTTTCTTTTAATCAATCAGATAAAACCTTGTCGCCTTTATCTTTTATACTAAAATAAGGAGTATAGTTAGGTTTTAAAAAAGTTTCTAATTATGAGACTTTTTAAGACCGCGACATGTCCACTCACATGACATAGTACCTGGCCGTTTACCACTGCTCCCCATGAAATGTACAACATGGTCCGCATCCATTGCAAAATTCTAGGGACTCTGTATGATCTCTCTTTAAGGGCATAGAAAAATATGTGATTTTCTTTACGCGGAACGCATGTACCTTGTAGAGTGAAATCACCAAGCGCTAATGCAACGAATGATCAGGCTCCAAATTATTCGGCAATTAGAAAACTTTTTTAAAACCCAATTATACTCCTTCCTTGATTATAAAATATAAAGAAGACGTGATTATCTATGGATTGACTGAATGAAAGAATATTTTTGTTTATGGTTTCTATAAGATATATTTGAATTTGCAAGACCATCGAAAATCAACGGGAAAAATGCATGCTACATAAGTGGTCATTTTTTACCGGGCACGCTTCCTATAGGAGATTAAAAAGAAATGCATTTAAAAGCCGACATCCTACCGAGTCCGAAATGTTATAAGAGTATGTCTTACAATAATCAGTATTACAACCGCGACCAAGTAATCCTTCCTAATCGAAAACGCATTTCAGAATTTCAGCCAACATTTCATGAGATCGGTCACTTACTGTATACGGCAAACGACCTATACCGTGCTGCCGACATAGGTACCAACTAAAAGCCCAAACACGTGTTTCGCCGATATTCTGCCGCTGCATGAGACAGCTACGCGGGGTTCGGCTCCTTAGTGTGCCCTCCAGCGTGCCCTATGCGGTTTCTGGCATATGAATTTCTGAGAAGAAACAAGTAAATCATCGCAGAAATTAATCAGTGCAGGACATGGATTTAAGTCATCAGGACGTGACGTTTTAGGAGCAGAATCGAAATCTTAATAAGACGTATGCGCTCGCTGTCAAAGCCATTAATTTCTTTATGCACACAAACAGGTTAACCTACTGGTTCATGCACTCGGGAAGTAAGTCACACAGGCTGCTGAATCCCACATAATTTGTCATGCCAACTGAAGCCTGATTCAGGCTGTTTCAATTCCTCTGGTCGTCCGTCCAGACAGCATATTCGCAACCACTTCCATCATTTTAACTGCCTGCTTGTACGGCGCTTGACAGTTAGATTATATCTGCCCACCTCTGACAGGCCAGTGACAGTTGGCTTGTGACAGGGAGGTACACATCCAGAACACGTGTAGGTTCTCGTCCAGATCATAACCGAATCGGTCCGCAAGTGTGTGGTGTGATCAGATTTGTCGACCACAGTTTTAATTAGACGCTCAGTCCAATAAATGCTGCCCCGCGTTTTGCTAAGACCACCCTACGTATCTTCTCTGTAGCCTCACCGTAAGTTAAATCTAAAAATATACTAACAGCCTAAATCTGGTTGTTGCACTTATTTTGTCGACATAAGATGGGAATACCACCTATCTGGCTTAATGGCCATCGTCAATAATCGCACCCTTTCTGTACTACTAGTGTCTGTGCGGTTGCCCGCGGGTTCTAGATCGAGCCCCAAAGCGCAGTAGGGTGGGCGTGTCCGGAAACCCGATCAGTTAGAGCCCTTGCTACATAGTTGATACACTCGATCGCAGCTGACAGGTCAATGAGCCCGTGAATTGATAGTTATAGTGCCGCACTCGATAATGCTCGATTAGCGAATGGACTCTTGAAGAACCGCTGGTGTCCACACATCTTAGATGAAGAGAAATCCCTTATGACGGCCGAAAAGTCAGGAATGGCAATTACGGTCCCCCTTCTCTTTGTCTGTGATCTACTTCCACTTCGGTTTTAAAAAAAACTTTTCTAATTCCCGAATAATTTTGAACCCGACCTGCTGTTACACTTGCATTCAGGATTTCAAAACTACAAGCTGTATATTTTCCGTGTACGGAAAACCATACATTTCTCTACGGTGTCAAGAGGAGACCATATGAGGCTCATAAAATTAAGCAGTGGATTTGAGCAATATTGTTAACTTTACAAACCACATCCGTAAATGCAGATATATGACGTTTCATGAACGGCCATTTAACGGTATTAAAAAATCTCACAATTAGAAACTTTTTTAAAACCGATTATACTCTACGTTTGAGTATAAAATTGGAAGAAGACGCGATTTTCTACCGAATAAGTAAAAGAATAAATATTTTTATGCATTTCTTTCATGAAATATAATTGAAATTTTAAGGGCATCGAAAATCAACGAGAAAATTGCATAATATATAAGTAGTCATTTTTACAGAGTATAGATCTTGCATGCAGCCGAAAATAAGTTCTTTCGAAAGCCGACACCCTGAGGTAACTGGATCATTATAGATTTATGCTGCATCATGATTAGTTTTACAACACTACTTAATTTATCTTTTCGAAACGAGAACGCATTTCGAAAGTTTGGTTGACATTTCATGAGTTAGCACATCTACTGTATATAGCGGGGAGGAGAGAGGACAGACAATGCGGACAGATTGATAGAGTACTGTTTCGGGCTTATTGTGCCTTCATTCAGCCAATTATAACCCTCACCATCAGCAGCTGGGACCGGAAACACTAACATGAACACAGACGCACTTGGCGCCGTTCGTCCCATCGTGTGACGACAAAATAAGTGTAACAACCAGATCTAGGCTGTTAGTATATTTTTAGATTTAACTTCCGATTATGTTACAGAGAAGATACGTAGGGTGGTCTTCACAAAACGGGGGGCAGCATTTATTGGACTGAGCGTCTAATGAACACTGTGGTCGACGAATTTGATCATGATCTGGACGAGAACCTACACGTGTTCTGGATGTGTACCTCCCTGTCACAAGCCAACTGTCACTGGCCTGTCAGAGGTGAGCAGATATAATCTAACTGTCAACCGCCGTACAAACCGGCAGTCAAGCTCGTAGTGGTGGTTGTGAATATGCTGCCTGGACGGACGACCAAAGGAATCGAAAACAGCCTGGATTGGGCTTCAGTTGGCATGAGCAATTATGTTGGTTTCGGCAACCAGTGTGACTTACTTCCCTAGTGCATGAACTAGTAGGTTAAACTCTTTGTGAGAATGATGAAATTAATCGCCTTGGCAGTGAGCGCATCCGCGTCATAAACGCCGCAGTCTGAAAATATGATACGTCTGTAGGTTATACCATGGCCGTTACTTACAGTTCTGAACGTGGCTAACTAGAGGATATTGTCGAAGTAGTCTTGGCCATACTAGAAATAACTGACCCCTAGTTAATGAATTGTAGTAATTTAGGCTGGATACTCGGAAGTAGGATTTCCACCTTAGATGGCAACTGCATACCTCCGAGGATCCGATTTTATGTTTGACAAGTGGTTAGCTTGACGAACGGTTTCATTTTAAAGTTTGAGAGGAAAACTCCTCTGGTCCCAAAAGCTGCCTGCAAGGGTTATGTTCGTCCGACCTCAGAGAAACGACTAGCTCCCAGGACGTCAACAATACGAAGCTGTGCCGGTGGAGTGTATCGACAAGACAAGCATGGGGAGAGGGGTGTGGGGGAAGGATGTCTGCTTATCCTCCTCTCCCTCCTTCTATGTTTCGATTGTGATGCCGTCTACTGTGGCCAGACTGGGAAATATGTTTCAACCCCTATACATGAACATCAGCTAGCGATGAAGAGACGCGACCGTCTGTTTCAGGTGGCCATGCACACACTGGACACTGGGCACAAATTTGCATGGGAGTACGCTCGCAATGTTGGCGCCTGCCCAATCAGGAAAAGCCGCGAATCCCTCGAAGCAATGCACTCAGATGAGGCATTCATCAACCGGCCTATCGATCTAGATGTCACGTACAAAGTTGTTAAGGACAAATTCAAACAGGCCCAACCAATCCCGAAAAGGTGACACATTGCAATGAATACGTATTGGCACAGACTTTAATCAAACATGGAATCATTTGTTAGGTCCTGTTCAGGAGTTACTTGTTTTGACTTACCCGTAGTCTGAAGACAAACTGGGGAACCAGTCTCGAAAATTTAAACAAAAAATTTACGGTTTCCCAATGAATTTCACCTTCCTGATTAAATTTCTTGGTATGCCTGTTTTTCGACTCGTAAATATATGAAAAAAGGAAGAGGTTCTTCGGAAAAAATCGAGTTGTACTCGTGAATTTTCGAATTGGTGACACCAACCCGTCGTCAGACGAAATGAAGAGAAAAGAGAGAGTGAGACAGTCACGCTAGACTAATAGACGAGACAGGACAAACATTGGCGGACGAACCATTAGCGTGTGAGGAGGGATGCGGGTAGGGAGTCATGTTGGGTTCTGAGCCGGGAGGGTAGGAAGGGGGGGGGAACCGTTACGGCTGCTGTGTTGGAGGGGAGGGAGAATGGTAAGTTGGCAGAACTGCGGGCGCCTGGACTAGCGGCTGCTGATGCGGCGTGGGGCTCGGCTTAGTGAGGCGTGATCTTAGGCCCTCATAATGGACGTCTAGGTCAACATGGCGGTTGATGCTATCCGCGTTAGAGTGCCATGCCTCTAGGAATTCTCTCGCCCGTTTTGTGTTGGCCGTGGCGATGACCTCGGTGTTATCCCAATTAAAACGGTGGTCGCACTGGAGTGCGTGTGCAAAGACGAGGGACAGTGGATCACGGCGACGGACAGCTAGTTTGTTTTCATTAATACGAGTTCCCAGGCGTCGTCCTGTATGACCAACATATACGCAGGGACAATTGGCACACGGGATGCGATAAATGACGTTCCTCTTTGGGAATAGAATCCTTTACTCGAGTTAAGATTGTGCGCAGCGAGGATGCAGGCTTGTGGGAAACGCGAATACCGAACTGACTTAACTGACGGGCGATCATTTCTGAGGTCCCCTGCATATAGGGCAGGGAGAAGAATTTCCGCGTCACGGTTTCTCCATCTGAGGAGGGGTCTCGAGGTTGTGCCTGACGTCTGAGGCAGTTCTTCACGAAACTGACTGGGTATCCGTTAGATCGAAATAGCCGATAAAGAAAGCCTAGTTTTTTCTTCAGCAGATCTTCATTGCTGCAATACCGGTAGGCCCGGTGGAAGAGGGTTCGGACGCAGCTTCTTTTGTGAGCCGCAGGGTGATTGCTTCCATAATTGAGTATGATCTCAGAATCAGCCCCTTTTCTATGGACGCTGGTTGCGAGGTTACCGTCATCCAGCCTTTGTATTTTCACGTCCAGAAACGACAGACTGTCTCCTACTGCCTCTTCGCGGGTAAATTGTATGGCCGGAAAGACTTCATTCAGCCTCTGATGTAGCCTTTCGACGTCGCGGTTCTTTATTACGACAAAGGTGTCGTCTACATAGCGGAGCCACATTTTGGGGTTGAGAGTTTGAAAAACCTCATGTTCTAGTCGCTGTAGCACTAGTTCGGCGAGTAGACCGGATATTGGGGAGCCCATTGGACTTCCCTTCACCTGTTGGTAGTACTTATTGTCGAACTTACAATAGTTCTTAAAATAAATATATTTTTACGGTAAAGGCATTATAGCGTACTCCCGACATATATGCTAGCTAAAAGCCCAGTGGAGACGTGGAAAAAGAATGATAATCTGGAAATTGACGTTGCGACTACTGTCAAGATGGCTTATTTTTTCAGGTTCTGCAAACCGACTCTATTATAACTTTGACCCCCGTGGGAGAAATGCGTCAATATGCGCTGGACCTCAGAGGTGGTTTCTACATGAATTTATCAACGCATTTTGCCGAAAGCGTCGATGTCCCTCGATTGTACAGAGGACGGTAATGCTATTATGCTTGATATATTAATTTATATAGGCACAAGAAAGGGGGAGTAATCGTAAGGACCCTTTCAAATCAGTTCTAACCCATCCCCCCCTCCCGGGCACACCTGACCCCCGAAATGGACCTGGACTCCTAGTTCACATGAAGACAACCTGCTATCTAGTAGGCCAACATAATATTTGAATGACGAACAGTTCATCCTAAATGAAAGCACAGCATTAAAATTATCTGTCTTTCCGAGGTTCCTCGTCGGATTACACAACTGAAGCGTTGCTGATCATTTCTTTGTTCGTAAACGGTGAAAAGATGGCCGGAGTCGATTTAATTAGGCATAAAAAAAGTAGAAAACTAACGCGCATTAAATGAGGCCAGTCAAATTAAGAGAAGGAGAAGGTACTATCTAAAAACAGAGGCTTCGAAGCCTAGGTTATATAAAAAGGTCTGAACAGGCATGAGATTATGGATCTCTAGTACTGCTGATGGTCATGGGCTAAATTCAGGCGTTCCTAACTTAACCATCATCCTAACTCTCATAGCCGTAACCCAAACTCTGACATTAACTCTCATAGGCCTAACCTACAGCTTCTTAAAACACTTACTCAAACGCCCCTGGAATTTACGGCAGGTCCATATTCTAGTGCCCAACCGAAGGTGCATTTGACCTGCACGATTATATGGAGGATGAATAATTAAGTCGATAAGTGGACCTAGAACAGTCCTCTGGCCAGGTTCCAGCAGACCGAAGAACAGGAGGTGGATGGGTGGAATGATACTTTAACTGGATGATGATTTCTGTATTTTAATTCATAGTGAACTACGTGCGGGCTTCCTATTAGATGCTTTTGAATGGTGGCCAGTAGGGTGTCTGTGTGAAGTGTTTCAGTGAGCACGGAGCCTCGGAAAGCGGATCGGCACATGGTGGACTGTCCGCGAGTCTTCACCCTTTAAGAAGGAGACACGATCACTGAGACAAGCGCTCTATTAGCCTGACGTTTAGGATTCCTGCTCGAACCCATCATCTGTGACAAAATCAGATATGGGTGGTTTATGCACAAGGGGCTGCGGTATTTATAGGATGCAGTCGCCATGCTACCGCATACCTATGAATATTCACGGCTCCCCCACCCCCCCCCCCTTCATCAGGGATCGTTGCACGTGGTGTGATGACTGTTTGATGGCCGACATTCACGTCGTTAACTGCTGCAATTTCATCACGTGCTTTGAGTGTTGGTGTGATGATTGCTCGACCATCTGACGCATCGACCCTGGAGTTGGGTAAAGTGTTCACCTCTGCGCTCCTCGCGTGGTTAATAACTTCGCCTAGGCGAAGTCTCAGCACCGATTATGGAAGGGGGAGATCATTGCACTTGTTAGTGGACTGGGGATCAGTGAATCTTGACTCAAGCAATTCGCGGCTCAAGCGGTTGTCAACTCTAGCTAGAATTTCGGCCTTGTCGAATTTGAATGTGTGGCCGGATCTCGTCGAATGGGCCACAACTTGAGAGCTGGCGTCATTTCTCCGCATGCCCCAGCGATCGTGTCTCCTTCTTTAAAACTGCTCTCTGGGACTCGTCTCTTCGCTTCTGTTGGCAGTCGTCACCCTCTTAATAACATCCACCCTGCAAAAAGATACCCTTTCGCGCAATCATCTACTTAGGTCTCATCTCGTCATATAGGTATATTGATTCGTCAGAAAATTATTGGAGGCATTTTTAGGTTTGCCAAAAGATCCTTGAATTCTCCCAGCAGGATTTTTTAAAACAATGTAATGAGATGGGACTGCTTATACTTCCTGTCCGTCCCTTCACTGTCCGTGCTGGCAGTAACCTGGTTGGCCAAAACTGCTGGGTAGAGCAGGAGTTTTGCACAACAGCGGCTGAGAGGTGCAGAAAACGGTCTGATTCGGAGCCAATCGATAAAACGGCAGTCTGGTAATAGGGTATTTTGTTCTTGCGAATTCTAAATTCTGACTGGGTGAATTACCAGGTTCTTATGTATAAAACTGTCTCGGTAATCATGCTTGACGACTGGGAGTAGATCAGTATATTTAAGGTCTACAGGCTCAGACCAACGTTTTTATGCATAAATATCTGAGCCGAAGTCCATCAGCCACAGAGGATAACCGCTGTTGGTATGGAATCACCATACCCCAAAGTATACTACTAGCTGCCTGTAAGTAGTTAACGAATATTTCGCGGTTATCCGCTGTGGCTGATGGACTTGGGCCCAAATATTTATATAAAAAAACTCTGGTCTGAGCCTATAGACCTCGAATATACTCCAAGTTCTCAGTTAATGTCTAGGGAAATTAAAAAAGCAACAAGTTCTGGTCATTCAGTTTTTCACAATCGAAGGATTGCGATAAAAGCCGGGAAAATAATCGGCTCACCTGCTGGGTGGAACTAAGGAAAGCGGTAACGCAGGCTGCGGAAAGGACTGCAGATGCTTCAGGTTCGAGTTCCGCGTCAGCGTCAGGTCCTTCATCAGGGCCTCCAGACGTTGCGTACAAGTAGCAATGGTCTCACCCAACTTCTCCAGATGCGGCTGATGATGCGTGATATTGAGCGTCTGCTTGACCGTTCTACAGCTGCCGCGAAGAGTCTGCGCGCCCGGTTCCATCTTCTCGCAGCTGGTGCAGTCCACGGAAGCCGACTGGGTCCGATCCCTGTCGCCGTCGGTGTGATGAAGCAGCTTCATATTCACGGCGGAGAGCGTGCGTAGTTGCCTCCGCAACACCTCAGTTATCGGCAGGTGAAAAGTGGGCTCCGCAAACAACAGATGGATGATGTAGAGCTGCAGATTGGCTGCTGTCTCCTTGGCCAGCAAACGGATGAAGGAGTCGGTTCTGGTCGCCTCCGTAGGTGCGCTCAGCTTGGCGCCGGTGTAGCCCTGCTTGGATCCGAGACTGCTATACCCACTGGAGTTGTTGTTAGGCGGCTGAAGGAAGCCGTATATCTGTAGGTTAGTGCACAGTGATGTCGCTGACTGTAACAGTAGATGCTCCGTGCGGGCAAGTTGGCAGATCTCCTGGCGAAATGTGTTTGCAAATGTGATGACTGTGGTAAGGGCAGACTGCGGTTTTGGGTAGCAACTGCTGATGAATCCGCCTGGTGTCTGAAGTGATTCAAGGCAGAAGCAGAAGCTTACTAATAAAAGCATTTCAGAAACACAAAACTATGAGCTGAAAAAAACTGCGTTTAAAATACAACTTTGCATCACAGTTAGCGGCATCACCGACGGCCTGGAAGTAGAGCCTACCGCCTCAAATGATTAATTTCCTATGGTTGAAAAGGCGTTCACCGGACGGGTTAAGGGACATGACGGCGTTGCGTCTTGGGGCTCAATCTAGAACTCTCAGAGGCAGTCGCATAGCGACTCATATTAGGGCAGGTAAAAATTCCAACTGCCGGATGGTACGGTTTCGTGTCCCCAACCAGAAAACCTGTTTATGGAAAAAAACGAACTCATACGGGCTTACTTTTACCCTATGTCTACAATAGGTGACCAAACCTATGAATCGTTAGGATTAAGTGCAGCGTTGGACATTTTATGCATTCGCTGAAATCCCCACGTATGAAGCTTTCTGAGTTCGAAAAAAAAGATGAGCTCTCCGGAACAGGTTTATTTAAATGCTGACGTTTCAAAGAGCTTGGTCGGCTCTCCATTTTCAGAGCGTAAAATTCACTTAATCGATCAGAAATTTTGAAGTGTCATGTGTTGGTCGGCCTCATGCTGATCGATTTTTCTCTCCTCTCACCGTCTCGGCCTCTCGGGAGATGGTTGACGGATGTTTTGCCTGCGTGCTTTGTGAGTCACCGCTCCGCGAGGGGGGCTGATTGAACCTTTGTCGGGCTGTCGGTCTGGCGATTCTTGTTCTTCCTCACCGAGTCAACTCGCCGTGAGGTTATCTCCGTATGGCCTTCTTAAGTCCGGTGGGGTTGTCTGGTCCTGAGCTCTATGATTGTGATGATGTATGACTTTGTAAGCTGCAAGAAGGTCCAGATGCCTGTTGATGGAGTGGGCGTCGGGAAACCACGCCTCGAGAGTTACCCCTTCTGCTTTTGTGTTGCCTCGGCCTAAGGTGATAACCCTCTGGAGTTCAAAAGTATGACCTGCTTTATCAACAGGCATCTGGACTTTCCTGCAGCTTACACAGTCCTACGTCATCATAATCATAGAGCTCAGGACCAGACAACCACACCGGACTTAAGAAGGCCGTACGGAGATGGCTTGATGGCGAGTTTACTCAGTGAGGACGAAAAAGAACCGCCAGAGCGACCGACTGATCAACCAGCTCCCCCCAACGGAGTGGTGACTCACAAAGCACGCAGACAAAACGTCCGTCAACCATCTCCTGAGAGGCCGAGGCAGTGAGAGGAGAGAAAAATTGATCAGCATGAGGCCGTCCAACACATGACACTTGAAATTTCTGATCGATTATGTGCATTTTACGCTTTGACAATGGATAGCCGACCATGCTCTTTGAAACGTCAGCATTTAAATAAACCTGTTCCGGAGAGCCCATATTCTTCTTTTTCTTTAAATAATCAACCCGGATCTGTGAACTTTGCCAATCTTTCTGAGTTCATTCGTTGGCAACTATGCATAGTTTTGGGAGATAATAAACTCTTCTTTATACCGAAAATAGTGCAGTGATAATAGTTAAAATAAATAAATGTTTTTGGTAGGTCTTCTATAAATGATTTGGCTCACTAAGTGAAAAGTCGGTAGCCTCGGTGGGACTCGTACGCACGAAAGGAGGCACAAGGTTCCTGTACAGCCAATGTTCTAACAACCTGAGGTGCAAAGTCTCAACATGGAGCTGTAACTTTAGCTATGGTTAAATTTACTCGTCCAACTTACTGCACCGCGTAGAGTCTACCAATTCTGATACGAATCCTGAATGCCGGGGAGGGGGTTTGCCAAGTAATAAATCAGGAATCCACGCGATAACTACCAGGTAGGCTTAATTAACAGGTGTGTTTTTTCCAGATTTACATAATTCGTCTGGCCCGGTTGCAATAAGCTGGGCGAAATATGTTGACCGAATGAGTAAGGATAGGGTATAGGACCCCCAAGTAGATGGTAGCTCCAAAAATAAGCCCTCAAATTCAGTTTGACTGTAAACATCACTTAGTATTAACCGTGCCTGTTGTTTGAAATTTCCATTCCTTCCTGGCTAAATGTAAACTTGCCAGCGGCGCTTTATTCAACGCCCGAGATTTTTTGAAAATTACCTTTTGCTAATTTTTTAATTAACGTGTTCTTCTTCTTTGCCAAATGACAACGTACGACAAGATTTTCGGCGGAAATTAACCTATTTTCTGTGTATTCTTGTTCTCTGTTCTGCGTGTCGTCGCGCTCGTAAAACCGTCTCCACCACCGTTCAACCTATGATACGGTCCACCTGTTAGTTCAAGTTATTTGGGGATCTTATACCCTATCGTTGCCACCAACTGTGCTTAAACTCTCGGTTCCCGGTCGAAGCCTTGTGGTTGTTCTCGAGACAATGCATATGTTGTCGTGAGTTAAAACTCTAGCTCGGCCGCAGGAGGTTTTGCAGTCGGGTTAGATGAATAAAAGAACATCACATCCATATCTTGTATCAGAAGGCACTGATCTAACTGGAAGCGGTTTACTAAATCAACTGTCCTCTAGAAACTTGATTTTCCTGTTCCGCCAAATTAGGTGCGGCAAAATTTGAATTAATATATGATGTTCAGAAAACGGGAAAACCTTTTCATCCGCGAAAAATTATTTTCAGTTCTTGTCGCAAAACAAAGTAACAATATCTTTCGCTAAGCCCGTAATTTGCAGGTCTATGCACAAGCCAATAAATGTTCACTAAAAGGTTCATCACTAAACGTCTACCTGAACTTTTGAGTATATGGCAGCATCGGACTGCTTTGTAGTTTCGAAAATCTCCATGGAAACATTCAAAAGGCAATTTGGCGAACACACCTCTGCTTTTGATAAATTATTTTCAGGCCTGTACATTTTAATGGCTATTGAAATAATGAACCAGTAGCCATGTAAACGTACGGACATGAAGAGAATTTATCGAAAGCAGACGTGTACTTACAAAATTGCTTTTTGAATAAGGCAACTTGTTTTTTAACAGCTTAACATCAACAAGTACGAAGTTAAGGACGGACATAGATGCCGCGCTAGCCGTGTGAGGAACATCTTTTTATTCACATGGTTACTTAACATCACGTTTTTATTTATAGAAGTGGGTCCAAAACTAAACAAAGGATACATAGACGGTCTTTGTAAGTGCCAGTCAGAAAAGTTAAAAACAGGTTAACTATTCAAATTCTCTCCTTAATTTTAATTTACAAAAAGGTGGAAGACTTAAAACCTATCCGCAAGCTACTTTAACAAAGCACTTTTTAAAGAGATTAATCTGCTGAAGCTGGGTCTCCACTTGATTAAAAATATGATTTTCTCGTGGAGGTTCACCTTGTCGATCGGGCTTCATGATTGGTTAAGCATATAAATGCTACCTAAACCTTCATTTACCGAAGAACTGCTGTATATAGTTAGGGATTGGCCTCAAGAAATGTTAACCGAATTTCTGAAATGCGTTATCGATTAGGAGGCGTTTCTTAAGGGGCTTGTGATGTCGATTATCTTGTGACGTAATCCCGTAACATTTCAGAAACGCCAGGATGCTGGCTTTAGAATGCACTTATTTTTGGTCCTTCGCAAAATCTGCACTCGGCAGAGAATATATATCTCAGTAGTATGCATTTTCACTATCGCTTCTCGACGCCCTTGTAAATTCAAATAATGTCACAGAAAACTCCAAGAATACACTATTTCCTGGACTCGTTTGGTGGCAAAGCACGTCCTCCCCAAAATTCACGGTTAAAAAAGTATATCTTTAAACTGGATCACCTCTTGCTGTATATTTAAAGTGTAAAGAAAAAACATAAGTCATGTTATGCCTTTAAGAAAGTAAAATATAGGGATCGCAAAGTGTTTAAACGAACGTTAACTATGTTTTTTACTCAATGGGAAACATTATTAAGCATACAGATACGATTTTACTCGAATGGATAGTGCACAGTCGTAAAAATCTCTTAATAATGAAACTTTTAAAACCAAAAGATATCCATTGTTCGAGCATAGAATTTGAATAAAATATGATCTGTGACCAAACGAGCAAAAGGAAGAGTAATTTTATGGGAATCTTCTAAAATTATATTTGGATTCATAAGGGCGCCGAAGATCGATGGGGAAAATGCACACTACTTAAGTAGGTATTTCCTGTTGGGTGTAGTTTTGCGGACGCCCGAAAAAAGTGCATTCAAAACCCAACACCCGGGCGTGTTTTAAATATCACAGGAGTACGCCGCAAAGAAGGAAATATTACAGAATCACTTATGAAACCTTTCCTAATTGAAGACACATTTCAGAATTTCTGTTGACGTTTCAAGAGATCAGCCAGTGAACGTAAGCATACACGTGAGACCCAAACTGTCATGTGCGGAAGAAGAACGCACCATATTTCGGAAGGTTTGATGATAAGGTTCCTCATTTTGAACAACCGCCTTGGAACACTGAAAACTCCTAAGCACCCACTGACATTTCATGAGTTAGCCCACCTACTGTGCTATGATTGCTTAACCATTGACCGAGAGTTTACGCGTAGTCTTAAGAAAATCCTCATTCTTTTCACAACACTGCTCACTGACTTAAATGAGGTCGATTTTTGCCGTAGTCGGCCGCATCTTGAACAGTTCAAAACGGTCGTAGTTTCGTTTTAACTGGCTACCCGATCGGGAACAATTTGCAAGATTTAAACTCGCCATATATAGGGCAAAGCTTTAGTACGACAATCATCCTAACCCGCAATAGCTTAGATGGTTAGGCTACTGATTGTATTAAAGCCGTATTCCTTACGTCGGCACTTCGAACTGCACTGAGTTAAATCAAATAAGCCGAAAACATATATTTTTTAAATCATATGTGTCCGTTTATAAAACTTCGCTAACCTCAAGCAGTTGACTGGCTGCTACGCCGAAGGGCATTTAATTCAGAGAATTATCCGAGGGCTTTTTCAGACGTTCTAATTTCTGTGTCGTTTTGCTTACTCACCAGCTTGCGTGAACACGTAGACTTAGCAGCACTGCTAATTAAGCTCACTCCTTTGAAAGGAATTTCCGCCTCTTTTCGTTCTTCCACTACTCTTAACATAGTTCAGAACAGGCAGACTATTCAAATTCTCTCCTTTATTTTAATTTACAAAGAGATGGAAGACTTGAAATTTATCCGCATGATACTCGAACAAAGCACTTCTTAAAGAGGTTAAAACCCTGAGGGTGGGTTCCCACTTGACTCAAAGTATGACCTCCTCGAGGAGTTTCACTTTGTTGATCGGGTTTCATGATTGGTTAAGCACATAAATGCCAACTAAACGTTCATATACGGAAGAACTCCTGTATATAGTCAGTGACTGGCCTCACGAAATGTCAATGGGGTTTCTGAAATGAGTTCCCCATTATGAAGGAGTTCTTAAGGAGGGTTGTGTTGTTGATTATCTTGCGACATATTCCCGTAATATTTCAAAACGCCAGGATGCTGGCTTTAGAATGCACTTCGTTTTGGTCGCCCGCAAAAAACTGCATTAGGTAGAAAATATATACCTAAGTAGTATGCATTTTCACCACCGCTTTTCGACGCCATTGTAAATTCAAATAGTGTCCTAGAAAAACCCCCATAAATATACTATTTCCTGCACTCATTTGGTGGTAAAGCACGTCTTCTCCAAATTTCACAGTCAAAGAAAGTATACCTTTTAACTAGATCACCTGTTGTGTTGTTAAGTATATTGTCATTTAAATACAGCTCACTCTGCCGTCGTCAGAAAGCAACTAGCGACGTCGCGAATAAGAAAACCTCACGATCACAAAAGGGACATGTTTATGACCAAATCTGTTAAATGTACTATGATTGCTTAGCCAGTGACCAGGATTTTGACGCGTAGTCTTACGAAAACTCTCATTCCTTCCACAACACTGCTCACTGACTTAAATGAGCTCCGTTTTTACCGTAGTCGTCCTCATTTTAAACAGTTCAAAACGGCTGTGGTTTTGTTTTAACTGGCTACCCAATCGGAAACAACTAGGCGGTCCTTGCATGAAGTAAACTCGCCATATATAGGGCAAAGTTTTAAGAAGACAATCATCCTAACCCGCAACAGCTTAGATGGTTAGTCTATGGATTGTATTAAAGCCGTGTTCCTTATGTCGGCAGTTCGGAGTTCGATGACTTAAATCAAATAAGCCGAAAACATATATTTTTTTCAATCATACGTGTCCGTTTGTAAAAGCCCGCTAAACCTCGAACAGTTAACTGGCTGCTAGGCCGAAGGGCATTAAATCCGAGAATTATCCAAAGGCTTTTTCAGACGTCCAGATGTCTGTGTCGTTTTGCTTACTCACCAGCTTGCGTGAACACATACACTAAACAGCACTGCTAATTAAGCTCACCCCTTTGAAAGGAATTTCCGCCCCTTTTTGGTCCTTCCGCTACTCTTAAAATAGTTATCTCTAACCAACAACGCACTATTTTCAGTGTGCCTGTTAGGTGTTTCCGTTTAAGTGGGAGTCGCGCATTATTAAGTGGGCGTTCGTGTTGATACATATGCCTATTCTCCAACAGCATAAAAACGGCTGCCCGGAATAGGCTGTTGCCGTGGAGGAGCGCATTTTGGGACGTGCCTTAAAATAGCTGAAGAATACACTCCAACCTTTTAATCGTTATATAAAAACAGGGACGACAAGGAGAATTAGAATGCATAGTTAATTCTGCTAAGTCCTGCCTATCGGTTTAGGGGTTTTGGCCTAGTTACTTTGGTTAAGCAACACTAAATTCGGCCGAAGTAGATGAGTAACACATCGTTAATGGGGGATAAATGTGTACAGTTAAGGGTCAGCTTTAGTTGTTGGCAATAGTTCCCTGAACGATGGCATTCTTTAGGCCACCCCCGATAAGTGGGACAACAGTTGAACGGTCTAGAAAAAACATATCTGCAACTCTGAAAGTTGGAGCGCGGTTATTCAGTGCTTCGACTGAAACGGAGGCTTTGTGTGGGCTTAAACAATTGTCACCCTCATAACACGCCAGAACAAACGCTCATACATCGTGCAATACCGGGTCTTCAGCAAGAATATTTTGACATATTAACGAGTATTTGCAAACTACTAAATCCTTCTATTTGTACAGTACTTGTGCTAACTCATGAAATGCCGAGGTCAAAATTAGAGTGGAAACTGTAGCGAAGTTTTTGTTGCTATTTGTGTTTATTTAGTTGAAATAAGGACGAAAAGGTCGTTTGCTGAAGGAAAGTTCGATACGGATCTGTATACTAAATAGAAAACAGACCGACTTTAGGTGAAATCGGGGGATTCTTGATATTCAAGCAGTTTCCTACACTATTAAAGCTTTCGGATCGAAATTCTTTGTTTTACCTTATTAATTTGTTTAAGAAGATTAATAAAAGGAAGAAATTTTTCAATAAACTTTCGTAGAAAAAGAGAAAACTAAATTTCAATATCAAGAAAATCAGGGAAATGCCGATAAATTATACCTTATTTTGTTCAGGAAATAAGGTGCGATTCTTCATCCAAAAATTCTGTTTTACAAATCCGTAAAGTTTTATGTTTCAAAATACCGAAATAAAAGTTTATCAAAAGAAATTGGCACAAAGCTAAGAAGACTCCTTCAATGCAGGACAAATTGGATTTCATACTCAATAATTACATTTTACAATCCACCATAGACAACTTCGTCATATCTGTGTCTGACAGACTTTCTGCCGTTATTAAATCAAATGGACAATCAACAAAGTACTAATTTTTTGTATCTGTTTCTGTCCTTAATTATTTTTGCTCTTTTATGCGCCCTCCTGCTTGATACGCCTTTATTAACATGGTTGTAATACAGGCGTTTCTCGAAAATGTGACTTCTGTCGAAAATTATTTATTTTTATCTCAGTAAATAATATTTTCTAAACCAAACTTTGCTTTATTTCTTTGACACATCTTTTATTTTCCGCTATCAGACTTTGGGAGTCGTATTTTTTTTACCGATTCTGCGTTAAAGTCGTTTACCTGCGTTAATTCATGGCATTGCATGAGTTAGCACAGGTACTGTATATTTGGCAAACAGTGCATTTTAAGAGGGATTTCAAAAGTAGGTGGGCTACCTCCTGCGTTGTGTAATGGTGCTGAGATTTCTGAAGGGACTTTGTGACGCTTAGACTCTCTTTGCAAGCAGGTCTCCTAGTGCAGGTATACTATTGCACAATGTATGGATCAGGATTTAAAATTTCGTGAATATTGCTGGTGAGTCCAACTAGAGTAAGCAGCGTGAACAGGCCTACGAACAAGCCATAACTTCCAAACACCGCAAACAGTCACGCAACTGAATAACAATAGACATGAATTCGCATGAAAGGTGTTTCGCATTCAAGAAGGCTACTTAAGGATGGTTGCACTATTAATTATTGTACGACGCTCCAGGATGCCAGCTTTTGAAGAAAAAAATGACTTGCAACCGACTGAGTATGAAAAAGAATATTTTTCGCACATTTTTTGTAAAATACACTTAAATTTAGGAGATCATCTAAAATCAGTAAGAAAACTCATATTACATAAGTATTTGCTTCTCCCAAACTAAGTTTTTGAGGTCAACCCTGAAGAAGCTCATTCGAAAGCCGACATCCTGGCGTGACTGAAATATCATGGGATTATGCTGCAAGATAATTAGTGATGCTTCTCTCCTAAAGTCATCTCTTTGAGTGAAAATCATGTTCCGAATTTCCGACCAACAATCAATAGGAAAGCGCACGTACTGAATATGAGAAACTTTTTTGCAGGCTTTCCTTGGAATATGGTCAGATCTATATGGACATCGAAAACCCACCCAAATGCATGACACGCTTTAGAAAATTAGTGGAAGTGATACCTACTAGGAATCTGTTTATGATTTATTGTCCTACCTATAATTTGTCCAGATTTGCACGAGCAGTCGTTCTCAGTCCAAATAGTGGCAAGGCATGCAGCTGCCATTTCATGCGTTTTATGATGCTGAAATTTCAATATCAAGGGAGTCTCATCTACAAAGAAGGCCTGCGTTTTCCTGGGATAAGGACTCGGACTCTCGAGCCGTTCCCGACCTCGGATGAAAAGAACAGTACGTCCGTGGATTTTCGGCAAAGCGTAGTGGCCATAGAATTGTGGTTCGAATCTCTGATCTTTTTAGACTGAACCGATGCAAGACGGGACTAGCATATCTTGCAACTTGATCAGTGCGCTCGCCTCTACCACGCTTTACATGCCTGGTCGACCCGTGGATCAGTGATACAGCGTTTTACTTAATACAGCTAGATAAGTGAAGAACTCAGGTTCGAATCGCAAGTTCAGTAAAACTGGAGTAGTGCAAAACTGACTAATAACACATAGTAAGCCAGAAATGGGCTTCACAGTCACCCTTGTCTGTGTCGATACTCCTCCTTCTCTATATATGGTCTGTTCTTGTGTTAGTTCTTAAATTCGATCACCCTTAGGATCCTTCCGTTAGATAAACCTAAATCCCGACTGCTTCGTGTAGATGAAACATTTGGTGACGCTAAAATCGATCAGTTTGAATCGTGCTACATTATCCACTTAACACTCTGAGAAACTTAACTCACACCCGAAAAGTAAGCTGATAAAAAGAATTTTAAACGTCCTCATATAGCGAAAGACCGACAGCAAAATGCACATATCCGTCAGTCGCAAAAAATCTTGCGCGGAATTCATTCTACTCTATGAGGGTGGCCACTCAATATCTCATAAATGTAGTGCTATCTGCAGCCTGTTCAATCGGGCAAAAGCACACTGCTCGGAATCAGGGTTATCGATTCAAATTAACTCGCTTGTTGGAATTGTTTTCCTGAAGAGAATACCCTACAGATTTTGCACACTGATGGATAAGACAGCAGGAGTCAAAAGGAAGGGAGCTAGACAATCCCAATCAGGCACCCAAATCAACTACCTGCCGAAACTCTCCCTACATTCAGAGAGTGTCTGAGCTTGTTGAAAGACGCCCGAGAAAGCCACACACACCGACAGCTACATTCCGCACCCAGCCTGCGCAATCTAAGGACAGTATTGGTTATTTGCATTAGAAGAAAGTCGAATGCAGGATTACCTGCGGTGCCTGCAATGCAGTTTATTCTGGAAAACCTTAAAATCTGTCTTTACACACAAGCGTGAACATCAGTTGGTAGCAAAAAGTATAGCACCTTTAAAACGGGTAATGCACAGCACGAATACTAAGTGCATCTTTGCTTGGGAGGGGATTCGCATTTCGGGCGTCTGTTATTTCAGGGAATTTCGAGACTCCCTCATGCAAAGGTATTCGGATGAGAAGGGCGTTACTCAGCATATTTAAAAATAATTCGACCAATTTAAACCTGATGTCAACAAAAAACGATCGCTTATCGACGAAAAGTACCCAAAAATCAGTAATTCTAATTTACGTTCGAAAATTAAATTGTTTGGTTTATTGGTGCTTTTTTATAAATTTTCACAGAAATTAACTTCGAACTTGCAGTAGATCGGTGTACGCAAGGATCTGTAGGCGCAGACCGAAATTCGATGCACGAATATTTGAGCCGAAGTCCATCAACCACAGTGGGATAACCGTGTACTATTTACTAACTGCCGACAACCGGATAGTAATATATTTTATGGTTACCAGCTACCGTACTAGCAGCACAGATACTAGTTACTTGACTTATTTACTTCACTGTCTTAAGAATAGGCGTCCCTAAGAAATTTGTGGACTTCGACTCATATGTCTTCCGTTGTCTGCCTAGTAATAACTCTGTCGATCTGCAGCAAATACCAAAATAAACGCTAAAATGATCCACGTTTTCAAATGACGCTCTTAACTATGATCAATATTCCACAGCCTACCTGTAAACATGGCCATTTTATCACTTCCGTCAGGAAATAATAACGAAATTCACACGAGTTTGGACTAGTTATGGGTTTGTACGCTGTAAACAGTCTCAAATAATTTAAAAGCGTATTTAATTAAATCATCCAATTTCTCACAACCCTGGCATAAATGCCAAAACAATAAAAAAAAACCCCGGAGTAACTTTGCCCAGTACTGCACACTCCAACATTTTTTCCGAAACACCTGGATAGAACACTCAAAACGCGAGCAAAAATGCGGGCATTTCGCGTGTGTGTGTCTAGAAAAAAGGCAGACGAGGCATTATAAAACGCTTACTGCGAAAAAACGCGTGACACAACTAGCGATCCAAATGCAGATAATTCCTTGCAAATCAGACAGCAATCAAGTGAACTGGCTGCTTATAGTAATAACCACAAGCAGCTTAATGCCCCCCCCCACTTTTACGTAGGAGAGAAAGAAATCGACCGCTGAAACAAATTCATCAAAAGGCGAACAGTCCACACGACAAGATTCAATGTCCATCGTCCAGGTGTTAACTTCACAGAAAGTAAGAGGTCGTTAGTGGTTTCAAACGCCCTGTTAGCTGGCTGCGAGCAGGAAAGACACTTGCAGCGAAAACGTGACTTCCAGATGGCATGTCAAAAGAGGAAGAGGCGGTGTTTACACATAAAGGCAGGTGCAGGAAGCCTGGATGGCCAAGGACTGTTCAGTGCACCGGTCACATAAGCCTGCCTCCCCCCGATCTGGGTTTAAAAACCAACAGACAGGAAACAGCACAGGCCAAAATCAGTCGTTACGCTGATGATGTCGTCTCTGCGGAGCGCGCTTGTCGAATTGTATGCTTAAATTTGACAGTATTACCGCCCCTTTTTTGGCGCTGTCCATATACCAGAGCAATCGCACTTCTGTGGCGATTGGATACCGATGTGTTGTAGCCGCACAAGAGGACATGAGGCAGAGATCGCGGTGAAACAGAGTCCACACGACACCTCTCCACGCTTAGCATTTTCGGCCTACACATCAGGTAAAATGTGCCGCATAAGGATATCCATGCACGGGAATCTCCGAGGTTGAGAGACCAAAGTCAAACTCAAAACAAACCCCTCCAGATGAACGCACCTTTCTTTCTTGATATTTGCATATTTCAGCATAGTCGACAGCCCTGGGCTATTGCGAACATGCTCATCGGTGTCTCTTGCAATATGCGGTCAGCTAAACCAAAAACTGGGTAGGTCTCAGCCTTGCAGACAGCATTCATTGTCATTTTGCACACATTTCTGATAAAAGATCAAGTTTTCACCAAACCTCAACTAATTCACTGGCGTCATGAAGCCTGCTTTCATAACCACAGACATTGTATTACGAAAGGGACCACGGCAAGGGTAGGGTATGCAGTCCCTTGGTTGGTTGTTCAAGAGCCTACCGTTGCATCTTAGTTGAGTGGGCGTGGTTAACAACGGTTAGCCTGACACGTAATCGCGAGGGAAGTTATACAATGTTCGGATTCTCACCTTCACTACCGTTAATGACGATAAACATGCCAATGTCTGGATCAAAGTTAGGGTTAGGGCCACGCTTAGGGTCAGGGTTAGCATTAGAAGGTGTAGTATGCTTAGGACTAGGGTTTTCATGATTGGGTAATCGACATCTATTGCAAAATTCTGAATGACCTTTAGAAATATATGATCGTCCTTACACTGAACATATACAACTGATAGTTTGAAGTCCCGAATGGCAGTGCAACAACAGGTTGTTAGTACGGTAAATCATTGCACAGTTCTATACTACTGACTGCCTGTTGGCGGTTTGTGAATATTAAGCGGTTATTCCGCAGTAGCTGATGGATTTCAGCTCAAATATTCATATCAAAATTTGGAGCGTGCCTGAGAAGGCCCGTTTCGAAAGATTGACTCCAAGTTCGCGCATTACTTTCCTCGGAAATTAAAACTGGAGTTCATATACCAGAAAACACACGGGAAAAGCTGGGGACCCACTGACGAGCCGAACCCCTCGCAGCTGCGTCAGGCATCGGCATAAGATCGGCGAAACACGCGTGTCTGGGCTTTTAGCTAATACCTGTGTTGTTAGTACGGTAAATCATTGCACAATTTCAAAATTGTTTGGGAATTAATAAAAAGTTTTTCTAAACCGAATGATATCTTTTTCAAATAAAGTATTTGAAGAAGAAATGACTCGAAACCAAATGAGTATGGAAAAGATTATTTTGTGCATATTTTTGTAATTTTTATTTTGATTTGTAAGATAATCTAAAATCAATAAGAAAACTCACATTACATAAGTAGTTGCCTTTCACAAACTTAGTTTTTGCAGTCAACCCCGAAGATTTGGTTATGGTTCAAGATTTGCACTTCGGGGTTAGGATTGAAATCACGGATATGGTAAGAGTTTTAGAATTACGCACAGCGTGATTAGGGCTGCCTTGTAGGGTGAGTGTAAGAGTTTTAAAGCTTCCATTGAGGTTACGGTTGCGTAAGTTTGTGGCCCAAATGTCAGTGGTTCAAGGGTTAGGATACCCCGTTACAGGCAGGACCGCGGTCGCCATAAGGGTTGCAGTAATCTACAGTTTTCTCAATGATGTTACATACCATACCCTTACTGAGACCACTTTTAAATGGAACAACTTCGGGGTTTGCGGAAAGAGGGAACGGCCTCAAAGGCAGAGATACGAAGTTTTACATTGGTGAAAAAGTAGTTTCTGGGTCTCAAAACCGATAATTTGCAAATATTTGAGGTGCGTTACTGAGCACAGGAGTGAGCTTGCACCCATACGTTCAAGACTTCGACTTGCACACAATGTGATCTTAGGCTATTATGCCATTTCACGCCTTCCAGGAGCCTCTTTGCTTGGACATGAGGAGTAATTCGAAATACTCTGCAGAAGGAAATATGTACAAAAATGCGCGGAAGTAACGTTTTGCGGATTCAGTTGTGACAGAGAAAAAAGCGATCGCTCTGTTTGGCTCTTGCAGACGGTCGTAAAACGACTTACAGTTAAGAATGCATAAAGGATTCCGACAGGGATTAGGCTACTCGGAATGTCTATTTCTGAATGATTTTCTGCAATCACTCAGCCATAACCAGACCCCAGGAACCGGAAAGCTACGATCTGAGATACGACTGGCTGGCCGAGGTCCTCTTTGACAGCATTCGTCGCATGTGTAACTAGCCAATGCAGGACACGTCTCACGCTGCGCATTGATTTCTGATCTTATGGAAAAGCATAATTTTCTTCTTCTGGGCACCACCTTTTAAACGGTGTTTTCGGCCAAGTAATTGCTGAAAGGTAAAATGCGATTTACTTGTTCCAACAGACGAATTAAACTAACGCTCCAATTTAAAAGTACAAACGCATCTAACTCGTGCAGTAGCTCTTCGTTTTATGACTGACGTGGGTTACATGTTACACTTAAAGTTCAAAGCGTCGACTCACGAAATAATAGTACCTTTGCCGTAAGGCCTTCCGAAATACAATTTCCCAGATTTAAAGATAAACTGTAAGACAGACCGCCTCATAGGCCTGTTTAGACATGTTTTAATCCGTGGCCAATTATGTCTCAAAAGGCCGTTACCTATGCTTTATTTGGATTCGGAATGTTCAAGCTCTGTACTTACGAATCTTACCATTACTTTGTCTTAATTTTTGATTCCGAGCAAAAACGGAGATGTATCGTCAGTGACGTAAGTCGCGCAATTTGCGCAAATTGGCAAAAAATATCTAGTGAGTCGGAAGCCGATCAAAATACATGGTCAAAACTACCAGTTAATCGGAAAAGCCTTCAACTAGATTAAAATACAAAGAAAACATTGAAAGTGATAGTACACTGGTCAGGCTACTTAAGAGGCATGGCATATCCAATTATTCTTATCCAATAGTTAAATTTTAATTACAAAAGTGTATAAAGTCTGTCGACAAGGAATTGAGTCAGTAAAATGGTATAAGCACAAAACCTTAAAAGCCCCTATATTCACTCTTCCAGACGTTAGGGGACAAATGACTATTAGATTGTAACAATTATGTCTGACCATGTATTCGAGAAGAGCGTTACAAACATTTGATAAAACTCTGCCGTTTTTTGCATTTTCCAAGCTGCGTTTGACTACGAGATATTTCGATTGATTTCGCTGACGGGAAAGTCAGAGAAATAAGATATGTTATAGACCCACATCATACGAAACCGCCCACTGGCGAGGGAATCGGAATGTAAATGGAAAATGCAACTGAAATCATATTGTTTTCTTCCTATTGACCCAACTGTGAAAAACGGCGTCTCGGTGGGATTCGAACCCACGCAGTAAGGAGAAGGCTTTAGTACAGCCAACGCTCTAACCACTTGAGCTATGAAACCCCGTCGGAAGACTCGAATTTAATCACATTGGGGTCGAATTTACCTACGAATATGGTTTTCTGCCTATCGAGAGGAATTTTGGGAACAATAGAGTTCTCTGAGTTTTAAGGCGTCTTCGAAATCACTGCTCGAAAAGACAGCTTATAGAACTTGTGTCTATCTAAAACCTAAACGCAAGAAAGCTATTTAAAGTATTTGCCTAGGTGGTGTTCTAGGACGTTTCTTCTTATGCAGTTGGCGGTTTAGGTCGAGTTTATAGCGAAACGTTCTCGCCGACGCAAGTAAATGTCCGTAGTGAATACACTTTTAATAGACGGGAAAACCTCTTCTAGCTAGATGCCTATTTAAAACATGCCTTTACTATTTGTTTCGCCGACAAACTTTCGAGACTCTGTTTTTGAAAAAGTACAGGCAGGGAAACAGCTACAACGCCTTTCCAGCTCAAGTTCGTCTATTGTGTTTTAGGTTTATGACTACAAATGCACCATGAAGTGGTCGGGTACATGCAAACATATTATTCACATTATTAATGCGTGTAGACCGCACAGATTTTAAAATGGGCGCTTGGTTATAGGCCTTACTGCAGTTTTTTAAGGCACGTCTGTGGAGGGCAGGAAAACATGGGTTTGGGTAACACAAGGAATTGTAGGTAGGCCTAATGCTGCATTTTGAGCAATAAAATTACATAGACTTAGAAATCATAATTTTTAAAGAAATAAAGTCTTCGTTTTTACAACAATAACCTACGTATTTACACACTGCTTGCGCAATTTGCGTTGATAAAAAAAATTTTCGATCTTGCTACGGTTGGCTTGGCAACGTTTGGCCATTTGGACCATTTGTCCATTTGGTCCGCTAGTGGACCAAGCATAAGTTTACAGACATTGCCTGCAACGGCTTTTGCCACATAAAGTGTCCTGAATATAAAGTATCGTAAGATTTCTCTTTAGTTTCTGGGCTGGTGTCCGCGATAAAAGCGTTAAAGCACCTTCTATACGAGAACTAGTTCTTTTAGGGGGCGTTCTACTATTATTAAAAACGCCCTATGTTTGAGGTATTCAGTGATAATCATATGGATGTTCGCCGTCCCGGTTTATGAGTTCCTTCGTTTGCTGTATGAAGTAAAATACTACAACTCTTTTTGCATCCTTAAAAACATCATTTACCGTTATCGCTTTTTGTGTGCAGTTGAACAGATGAATGCTGATAGTTTTTCTACATCTCCTTAATACGATTCTGTTCTATTCGCCTAGACACCACATAAACTGATTCATCGGAAGTTGGGTTGACGTTTATATAGTTTTGGTTATAAGTCACGGTTTAGTACCGTAGTATCTTGATATCCTATTATTGACTAGACGCTGCGGCAACTGAATAAGTTAAAAAACCTATCGTCTGTTAATGCGCTACCGTCTTTATACGTAGCCTTGAGTATACGCTCTTCTTTTACAAACGTCAAGCCGCAAACCCTAATCAGATCTGTTCCATATATAACGAAATTGCAAACTGTGCAATACTTAGGACTCCGAATATGGCGGAAATCCTTCGCAAAGTGGATTTTTAGTGGTGAAATTGAGTTCCAGGACAGATCAGATATCTGGCCATTGTTATAATAAGACAAAGCATAAATGAAAGCCAGATTGCCATTCTTTCATACTATTCAGCTTGAAATCCCTGGGTTCAAATGTCAGATAATTGAAGCATATCCGACAGCCCTCCATGAGGTAAGCTGGTCCTGGACAATGTCACCGCACACGGTCCCCCACATGAATTTCTCTAAGTTTCTTCATATAAAGATTAATTTACCCATCATTTACCTACAAAAAACGCAAGATAACTGCCCGATGAAACTCTCATTTAGCTCTATTATATTCGTCGAAAGCTTTCTTTGAGTTGAATGTTTGCGTAAGTGCAGTTTCGTGTCGTATACCGTTCCTTTGTTTATGACGGTACCATTATTTCCGAAACTGACATCAAAACCTACTGAACCTTTGATTTATCGGATCTGACATAAAGGGAGAGAATACTGCTCTTTGCGTGGTAATTATAGGCTCTGGTGAAATTACTATGCTCTCATCAGGAATCAAAGGGTTTCCTCGAGATAAGAGGCTTGTGATCCCGTTCGGATTCATCCACCGCCCAGCATCTGAAGATTTGTAATTTTTCTTAGCTCAAAAGTGATGTGATTTTCAAACGTTTGATGTGCTCTACCAGATTGCAGGCATTGCCAGGGGGAGAGCAGACCCACGGACAATGAGAACTTCCATCGCCTACGGCATAGGTCCCTGACGTGTGCATTAATCGCGTAAATTATCATCCTCAGTAGTTAGTTAGTTTTCATATTTGCACCGCCCTGATGCACGTTAGCTGACCACGAATCAGTAAAGTAACCATCAGTCGATGTCTCTACATTAATCGGTCCTAGTCGGAATTAACTAGCCAGTCTTCCCGGTAGAATTTACATGCGCTGAGGTGGTTTTCTTTTAACTAAATGCTTCCTATAGGGGCCAAGGTATTCGGTTATGGAGAAAAGCACAATCAGACCAAATTCTTACGTTTGTAGCAACAACCGAGTGTACCAATATGCGAGGGGATACTATATACAGTATGTGACCTATCTCATGAAACCTGACGGCGAAAGCTAATGTGAGAGTAGTAAACGTCTTGAACATTGCTCACTCTGCTTGCTCATCCAGCCCCTTCAAGGACACGTCCTTTTCTTGTGTAGAAATCGTCTTCTCGAGATGTTATCAAGCGAAATGTCCACACATTTGGACAAAAATGGATGTTGACTTATATTTCGACAATTTTCTCTGTTAATACCTGTCTTAGACTTCGGTGGCGCATTTGAACAGGCTTTTCTTTGAAAGGAGATTAGTTTACTCTCAAGAGTCTTCTTAATCAGAGTTTGCTGGAATTGAAGATTGGTTTTCTGTCGGATGCTAACCGTAGGAATCGGCTTGATAATATGTAGGCTATTTTAGAAGAATCGGACGTTTTACCGATTTCCAGAAGTCAGATTAACCGTTCTGTGCGTTTTTGCACCCCAAAGGCGATCCTTTGTGTAAATGAACTAAAACTGTTTTGTCGTTCGGAAAATTCTACTTATCGTCACCAACTAATAGTCGTTTGCAGTTTTGAACGTATTAAAAATCACTTTTAGCGCAGTCTAGCTTCTGCATATACCTAAATCAGAAAGTGTACAAATAAGACCTTAACAGTCTTAACAAAATACCGGTTTCCATCAGGGCACTCTGCCGTGCATTCAAAATCGTAAAAAGGAGTTTAAAGGTGAACAAAACAGTGCAAATAGTCGGTATAAAAATGTCACCGTTGTTTACGAACGTGAAGAAAGCCGGTCAAATTCGTCAAATTATTCTTGATCTCGCCGTACAAAAATGCAAGATGCACAGAGAGCCGCCAACGGAGTGCAGTATTAAATCACTCCTTAAAGAGGTAACTTATTGGAGAAAATTTCCCAACTAGTCGAAGTCATATTCGTTGCTGACTTTCGATGAGGTTTCCTGTCTGACAGAGTCTTCAAATTTGACCAAACGACCCTCTACATGAAGAGGAACGCCCAAGCACGCGCTTTTTTGGTGAATGCCTTCAAGAAGTATTTTATTTCAAAACTTTTAACAGCTACATGATTAAAAAATCTGCCTTTATGGGCGATCTGTGAAACGCTGAAAATCATGCAGTATTCAGCGATATTTCAAAGCCGACCTGAAACTCAACTTATTCCAGAACAAGCGAAAAGTACAAATCAATCTAATAGGAGAAAATTTCCCTTTAGAAACACAAAATGGTATGTTTGCGATTACCCCTGTCAATTGTATTTAAATTTATTAGTCACCAATTGTCCTGGTAGCACGTGACCCTATGAAAATTTTTTCCTGCGATATCACTATTGGCGAAATCGGGAAAAATCTCGTTTCTCTCGTTAAGCCGCATCTGATTTAACTCAAACAAGTTAAGAATACCACGAATTCACAGAAAACTCTCTTGGAATATATTTTCAGAATGAAGGTTTTTGGAAAATCGTCATATCTTAAATTACACCAATTCGCAGAGAGTAGTTAGGTATAAACTTCACTAAAACACTAATTGTAAACGTGATTTAACCTGGGCATTCATATTTATTTACAATTTTGCATTACAGGCCAGTTCGTGCATCTAAAGACGAAGTTTATTAAATTACAGTCATTTTTTTATACTTTTTTAGGGTTTTGCCCTTATCTAAAGATGACAATTCGAAGCAACGCAGCATTACCTTTAATACTTCTTTTGTTTTTATTTTTTTGAATTTGTGCTTAATAAACATAGATATTGGATCCATGCATTGGTGTCGGTTTACGAGTAATTTACAATCATTCGGAAATTTTGATATTTTACATGAGTCGGGTTACCTACCGAATGCCTATCATTATGGCCGTTTTGTTAAATGTTCAGTCCTAAATACGCAGAGTAACGTTTATCTATATACATATATATATATATATATTACATGGTGTCTCCAAGTGCTTGAATGATCATTCACAAAACGACCCTCCGCCCGGTATGGTAATGGATAAAAGTTCATGCGAAAGAGATAAAGGCTCTAGTATTGCGAAGAAGAGGGTATTTTACTGCCGGTTCGAACTGCCGCAGAGGCCCTTCCTCAGAGAGCAAAAAGTTTGCAGGGTGTTTTGTTAATTTTGTTTAGTTTCTTCTTCTATTGCTTTCTTCTGATAGAGGTCTGTAGGCAGAAGCCCGCTCTTTCCAAACCTAAATTGAACTCCAAGTGACTAAACTAGAGCTAGTAGGAGAGCTCATAGTAGTAAAAAAATTCCACTGTTAAAAAGTCAGCGACTGCGAGGGGAGAAAAACTGACAACGCAGACAGAAGTGGTAAACGACGTCTTTTTGTCTTTATCATAGTCGAAATCAGTTGAATTCCATTTTTTGGTAATATGATTTCTCAAAGCGGCATTTGCCGCACATTTGTAAGCATGTAATCGGAAAAATTATAAGTCCAGCAGTCGCTGGAGCAAAAGTGGTGGAAAGACTGTTTCCCGTTTATCTGCCCTTGTCAGCTAGCAATAATTCAAACGCAAGTTGCACACCTGAGGTTTGGACCGATGTCCCTCGATCATCCGATCGGCACCCTCACTGCTACACTGACGAGCTGGCTACATGTTGGCTGAGATCTGGGGTATTCATGCACATAGGAGATGGGTGTACTGAACTGGGTGTACTGGTTGTACGGCAGTGATGGGCATTTCCGCTACGTCCCAGAGCTGACGATTCGCAGCCCGCCCGGCTAGGAGCATGACGACGGCAAGGCAATTATTTGGGCCTACTATCAGTGGCCGATCTGAGAAAAAATGCTAGCCGAAATGCAGGCTACTTAGGTGGGGTTGTAGTTTCGAACATCGCACGGCCTTATTCCATAATATTTCGGACTCCTCAGGATGATGGCTTCTGAATAATTTTCTTCTTTACCTCCTATAAAAGCCGCACTCGGTTACAAAACAACTACTTTGGCATTATGAATTCATCACATTGATTTTCGATGACCTTATAAATTCCGGTATATTTTATAGAAAAAACGCACAAGAATATTTCTTTTTGTACTCTGTGGGTAGAAAATTATGCTTTCATCAATTTGTTTACTCAGAGGAAGGGCGATCCTCGGCTATAAATTTTGTTTTCGATTCTCGGATGATTTGGAGTGGAACTTGCATTGAGCGACATCGGTCTACTAAGTGCATACTTTCCGCATATGAAAAATCATATTTCTCCATATGTCCACGACAAAATGCTATGTGACGTTCATAAAATTTTATAATGGAGCATCAGTACACGGTCAGGAAGGATGCCGTACACTTCACCATCACATGTTAAGAGAAAACTCTACAATTATAAAATTTGTTTAAAATCGAAAGGTTCTCATTCTTCGAGCATGCAAATTAAAAAGACATAATTTCCTTACAAATCCAGACAAGTTACGATACCTGAGTAGTTTTTTTAACCGAGTGCAGTTTTAGTCGAATGTTGGACAGAAGTGCGCTCAATAGTCAACATCCTAGCAAACCCGAAATATCATGATATTATGACGCGTGGTTATCAGTATTACAACCCCAAACCAAGTATGTACTGGTTCCAAATCTAAAACGCAATTCATTACATGATATCGCCCACTGACTGCATATTGATGCAAACATGCAAGAACTACGTACTTCAGTAAAAATAAGTTTGTTACCCCTCAAGCTGACGCCAGAGTAACTAACATCAAGATGTCTCGGCTTTATCCGCCTATTATTGCACATAGAACAGTTAGCGCATTAAAAATGCTGACATCCTAAAGCTGGTGAAAGGGCACGCGGGACGCTGGATAGAGCACTGGTGAGCCGAACGCCTCGTAGTTGCCTTAGGCAGTAGCGGAATATTCGTGGTCCTTTAACTTAAGTCCTCTTTATCCTGTTTCTAAAATCCAGGGGCCATTTTTTATGCATATTTTAAAAAATAATTTCCGCCTACTTTTGGAATAGGGAACAAATGCCAGCGAAACTCATAAATCCCTGATATATGGTGACAACTCCAGGAAAGATTAGTACTTTGGAGATAACTTACTAAGCGTGATTTACAGTAGATGTCTCAAAAATACAAAAACCTGAACTTCTATAATATCGGATTGCTTCAGGCTTCCATAAAAGCTCGTCGAGAGAACATTATTTTTTAGACAGTATGTTATCATCGACGAAGACAAGGGAGACTGGAATGGCCATTTCTGGATTATTAGCCGTCGTCAGCCAGTCATACCCAACCCCAAAGTGTGGAACATCTGAGGCTCGGACTCGCGACCAGTTAGTTAGAAGTCCACGCTTCTAACCACTGGGGCAAGAACCCGTTGCCCTATCGGTTTTGATCGGGAATATACAATGGTAGGGGGCGCTCGCCGGTCGGTGTCTTACGGTAATGCCATTCTGCCCATATCATGCGCCGCTGTGCGGCTGCTGGTTGGGTTCGAGATAGAGCCCGTAAGGCGCAACAGAGTGAGTGAGTTCCGTAAGAACGATGGATGTGCGCCCATACCATTGTATATTCCCGATAAAAACCGACAGGGCAACGGGCTCGTGGCCCAGTGGTTAGAGGCATGGACTTCTAACTAACAGGTCGCGAGTTCGAGCCTCGGGCGTTGCACATTTCGGGGTTGGGTATGGCTGGCTGATGACGGCTAATAAGCCTGAAATGGCCATTCCAGTCTCCCTTGTCTTTGTCGGTAATGTCATTCTGAGTATATTGTCCATGAGTTTTCCTAAAATAAAGTAGCAGATGTTAGATAGACGAAAAAGACGCATATGTACAGGTTAAATGATGTACCACACTTGAGATCACAGACCTTATCTAAAGACCTAGACACGAATTTCACAGATATTCTGCCGCTGTCGGGAATTCGGCTCAGCGTCCTCCCCCCGGTATGCTTTCTGGTAGATATGCCGGTTTTAAAATTGCGGATTTGGCCCAAATGTTTATAGAAACCTTTGGTCTGAGCCAGTACAGTTTACTTTATACTAATGCACTTCAGGTTACGGATTAATTTCCGGGGGATCCAAAAGACCGCAACAACGACGTCGTTAGTTAGGGAGTCATTTTTATGTAATTAAATTCTCACAAGTGGTTGGGAAATCTTCAGATAGATGACATATCACATATTGCATTGATGTCTAAAATTCGGCTGCTATTTAATAAAAACGATTTTCTCGTGCGTATCAGTACATTGGGCACTTAGAGTTGATGTTGTACACTGCAGCTAACGTCACAGCCTATCTCCTTCTGAGGCATTTAATACTGCTGCTTCAACTTTCTGATATTTCAGACGGAGTTTTTGGTTCATTTGCAGAAAAGCTGTCTGAGATGTTGCCCCCTAAGCCACTTTGTAATGGCTCGTTGATTACAGTTCTTCTGAGAGCTGATCAGTTTGCTGACACTAGTGTGTGCATTCAGGCGTTTGCTATCCACTTCTCTCTTTTAAATAATGAAAACCAACTAAAGATGCAGCGTTGCTCCTAGCAGCCATCGTTACTGTGAAATCTTACTCGCAAAAAAGCCGAGTTCCAGATTGCAATGCCTGTGTAAAAGTAGACCCGGTCGTCAGTATAGGAACGTTGTTCCCCCGACGCCAGCAATATAACCAGCGGAGGCCCGAGGAATGTGCCATTTACAGTACGTGATTTATCTCATAAACTCTGATAGCAGAAACTGATGAGAGAATGTCTGGACGTCTTTTACGTTGCGCATTTTGTTCGCTCATTCACATCCTTCAATAAGATGTTCTCCTCTTGTGCAGAAATTGTGGTTACGTAATTATATCAAGTAAAATCTTAGTAAATTCTAGCGAAAATGGATGTTGAATATATTTGTGCAATTTTTTATGCTAATACATTTCCAAGACTCCTGTTGCGCATCAGAGCGACTTTTTCATTGAAATGATGGTAATTTAACCGCGAGTTTTAATAAGTAGATTTAGCCGAACTTTAAAACTTATTTTATGTCCGATGTTAACCGTGGTAAGTAACCTGCTAACACAAAGGTTATTTTAAGAAAACCAGATGTTTTATCAGTTTCTAAATGACAAATTAGCAGATCTGTGCGATTTAGTGCCCTTAAGTGCAATAATAATGCAGATAGAAATTCCCTCGTTTAAATTGGCTGAAATTGTTTGGTCGTTTGGAAAATTTTACCGGATGTCACATAAATGACCACCACCGAATGGTTATTTGCAGTTTTGAACATATGGAACACTACTTGTCGTGTAGTTTAGCGTTTGTACATAGGTAATTCAGAAATGGAACGAGCAAAACATTAATCGTTTCAGCTAAATTTCAACCACCGGAGGCCCGAGGAATGTGCCATTTATAGGACGCAGTCACTGGTTATCAGTTGCCTCGGAGGCCCGCAAACAGATATCAGTCCGTGCAAAACATCGAGAAACCTAAATAATATCATTCTCAAAAAACCATGATTAACGATCATAGACCGTTGGCTAGATTAGGGCTTGCAAATCCACGGATAAGCGACGTGGGTACAATCACATCTTCTAAATACTGAGCATTTGTGAGTGGGCTGTGCACGGATTTAGAACGACAAAGGAATAGTTCACTTATATCTGAGATGCAATCTGTATTAGTATATCCTGAGTGACATTTGTGCAACTAATCGTGGGACTTTATAACTATAGAATAACATTTAAAGGAAATCCTTCAACTTACTCTATCAGATTTGGTGGATTCCAGACGTCGCAGTAGGTTAGGCGGGTAATTTGACCCAAATGTGATTAAACGCGTCGTCCGGCGGGGCCTCGTAGCTCAGGTGGTTAGAGCGTTGGCTTGTTAACTTTACAAGCCACATTCGTAAATGCAGATACATGACGTTTCATGAACGGCCATTTAACGGTATTAAAAAATCTCACAATTAAAAACTTTTTTAAAACCGAATTATGCTTTACTTTTGAGTATGAAATTGGAAGAAGACGCGATTGTCTACCGAATAAGTAAAAGGATGAATATTTTTATGCATGTTTTTCATGAACTATAATTGAATTTTCAAGGGCATCGAAAATCAATGAGAAAATTGCATACTACTTAAGTAGTAATTTTGTTGCAGAGTATAGACCGTGCATGCAGCCGAAAATAAGTTCATTCGAAAGCCGACACCCTGAGGTAACTGGATGACTATAGATTTATGCTGCATGATGATTAGTTTTACAACACTACTTAATTTATCTTTTCGAAACGCGAACGCATTTCGAAATTGTGGTTGACAATTCATGAATTAGCACATCTACTGTAGATTGCAAAGTAACTTGTACTGAAATTGGTCCTGAACATTCTCTGTGAAAAGCATGGCAGGACAAACTCTCTGGACGGTTTACACTAGAGCGCATATTCTATAGACATTTTTAAATACGTATCTATGAAATACTCGAGAGGACTTAACTCACAGTAGGTATGCTAAGTCATACAATGTTAGCTGAAATTCTGCAATGCGTTTAGGTTTAAAAAAGACTCATTAAGTGGGGTTTTTAAAATTAATCGTCATGCAGCATAAGTCTATAAAAATGCAATTACCTCGGGATGGTGGCTTTTGAGCGAATATTTTTCCGGCCGCACGCAAAACCACACTCTGCAAAAATTACTACTTATGTAGCATGCATTTTGCTCGTTAATTTTCGATGCCTTTAAACATTTAATTATGTATCATGGAAAACATGAATAAAATATTCATTCTCTTGCGCTTTTCCTGGAAAATGACGTCTTTCTTCAATTTTATGCTTGAAAGAAGGGTATAGTTCGGTTTTAAAAAATCTTCTGATTGTGAAATATTCTAATACCGTGAAATGGCTGTTTATAAAATGTCATGTCCATGCATTTACCAATGTTGGCTGTAAAGTTCACGATGTGACTGAAATCCGCTGCTAAATTTTATGAAACCCGTATAGTCTTCTCTTAACATGCATGGTTTTCATTACACGGAAAATATACGGCTTATAGTTTGTAACGGCAGGTCGGGATTTAAAATCATTCGGGAATCAAAAAGGTTTTTGCAAACCGAATTAAACCCTCCATTCGTGTACAAAATTGGAAGGATACATATTTTCTATCGAATGAGTAAAACAATGAATATTCTCATGCATGATTCCCATGAAATGTAATTGTAATTTCAAGGGCATCGAAAATCAATGCAAAAAATAATGCCACATAAGTAGTCCCTTTTTACACAGTGTGGTTTTACATAATGTCGGAAAGAAATTTGTTCGAAAGTCGGCATCCTCAGGTAACCGCATTTTATAAGATTTTGCTACATTATGTTTAATTTAACGTTTTCGAAGCGAGAACGCATTTCAGATTTTCGGTTTACATTTTATGAGTTACCGCATCTACTAAAGAAGGTATTGGAATCTTCGTTGGCACTTAGCATAACATTGTCAGACACAAACTTTCAAAGGTTCTCCCCTAATTTATTTTGCAACGAATAATGCAATGAAAGACTTAATAAGCGCATCAGTCTACCATGAGAAAACAGCGTTTTAAGTTTGATACTTGTATTGGCTGAACGGTAATTAAAGGGAATACCGTGGTAAACATTTTGTAGAAAATTCGTTTAAGCATAATTTTGAATTAGGCTGTCAGGAGGATGTATGCCAATATCACATTACCAGTAGTTGTAAAATTCAAAAAAGTTAAAAACGACGAGGAAATCAATAGGTCATAACGATATCAACGTTCGTACCGTTTAATTCGTCTAAAAACGAGCGTTGCTCTCTTTCAAAAAACATGTACGTAACTGTGTGGCCCTTTAGTTACACTCTTTAACTCCGTCTCGTTGAAAGGACACAGAGTACGGTTAAAAGTCTCAACGATACTCTACGGAGTCATGCGACATCCTACAGACTGCTCTTACACGAAAGCATGTAGTGAAGCTTTCCTCCAGACTCTTCAAATAAACACAAAAATAATTCTTAAGCTAATATTTAGTATGCATACCTAGCCATGCGCCTCTGCGAATTCCAGAGGTTCTGCAGCTGTCAGTGGGCGGATAAAAATCTTGTCAAACTTGCATCATGCTGAACGCGATTTTTTCGGTCGTTTTTCTGAATCTGTATCATGCAGTCGAGTGCTTTTTGATTAACGGTGAAATTTTAAGCGAATTTGGAAAGCAAATTGCATTCTTACTTCAAAGGACTACAGCAATAGAATGTGGCCTTGATAAATTCGTAGTTTTGGCTGACACGGAAATGCGTACCAGCACTGAACTGTCTTTACACAAGGTTCCGTTTTAATGTTTCAAACAGGCACAAAACGAAAATATACTCTCTGCCCCTTATATATATTTTTAAGAACACCACGCATCTTCTCCCAAAAGCCCCGTATTATCCTTAATCCCAATATTACGGATGATCGTTCTCGACCGAATTTTGATTTAACCGACACGGACAACACTGTTTAGACGGATTCAGCTTGCCAGGCTGTAAAATACGCTCCCAGAACACATTTTAGCATGGCACTTTACTGAGGCTTCAAATGTCGGTAAACATGAGGTTTTTTGAAGTAGCCGGCAATTGGACGATGACGAGACAATGCCACAACAATACCTAGTTAGTCAGGGTCTCGGTTGGAACACGGAAGTGGCAAGCCGTGCGAAAAGAACTTCCCGTCCGGAAGGCAAATTCCATAAAGTCCAAGCTCCGTGATGTGAGACTAGTACGCATGCTAGAAGGACTAATTACTTCGAGCGTCTATGTCAAACCAAGCATGTCCAGCCAAAAAAACATTAAAGGGCATATCCGAAAGCACCTGCTCTAGTCCAAAACTTTGAGAACTAAAGTAGTCAATCAAGGGAAGTGAAAACGCACCCAGTAAAAACAGCCTGATTCGGAAATAGGTCAAACAGCCGAATCCCTCAATTCCCCCGAAGAGCTTTAAGACGCTGCTAAGTAATGGCAAAATGACGAAACCATTTGTCCTCCAGTGTAGTTTAAATGCATTTGAAAAAGCAAATCCTTCCCGTAAGCAAAAACCGCCGTAGCAGCAAACAAAGCAGGTGGCAATAATAGGAGGAAGCAGTCGATCAACGATCAGTAACACAGATCTAGAGGCTGGCGTCAGGTCGGCAAGTTGATTGATCGAGTTTGCAGTTCGGTTAGTTTTTGGCTTGTTCTGCTTTCAACGTAGGCAACGACGTGTGAGGGGTGGACGAATTCTCGCAAGTGGCTGCCCACAGTTTCGAAACGGGTCATGAGTCCAGTTTCACGGTGTTCATGATGATTGCTTATGCTGGGGACAAAGCATGTCAAGGACTGATAAAAGTTTGTGTTTCGGCGGAGTACTCAATCAAGCGATACATCGAACTGGCACTGACATACAGCAGCGTTTAAATTTATGTAATCGGTCACTGATTGGTTAAAAAACCCTATAACTGTCACTTGCTCTGGTGCTGTTGCCATCTCTGCGACGAACTCCCGCACAAATTCGAAATCTCAAAATAATAAACAAATTGTTTTTGTGCCCAACCAATGTTTTTCTTTTTTACGCGGTGCGTTACCGATCTCATGATATGTTTGCCGAAATCCTGAAATGCGTCTTCCATTGGGAAGGATCACTTAGGTGGGGTTGTAATAATGATTATCATGCGACTTGATCCTATCATATTTTCCGACTTATTACGTGCACTTCTTTTCGGCCTCGTGCAAAAAACCACAGTCGAAAAAAATTATTACTTGAGTAGCATGCATTTTTCATATTGATATTCGATAGTCTTAACAGTTCAAATATATTTTACAGAAAGCATGTCCAAATGGGCTTTCTTTTGCTCGTTTGGTAACAAATCACATTTCTTCACCTTTTATATCCTGGGAAAGTGTATATTTAGGTTCGGAAAATTTTCCGATTCTTGAAAAACTTCGCGTCAGATCAGCCGTTGCATCAGCATTTAGCGATTTCGGTCTACAAGGTGCATGCTTTCCGCGTAAGAAAAATCATATATTCCTCTATGGTTTTAAGAAAATACAATGCGGAGTTCATAAAATTTCGCAATGGATACGGACTATGCTGTACATCCCATGAGGAGAATCGGTAGACGGACATGTGCGATACTGTATGTGTGACCATCGCATGGGATTGAAAGTTTCACTAGTAGAAACTTTTATAAAACTGATGAACAACCCTTCGTGGGGGATAAAGTGTGAATAAAAGTGGTTCTCTTCCAAACAAACAGAAGAAAGCATATTTTTGTGCATGTTTTCTGTAAAATATATTTGCATTTATAAGACTATCGAGAATCAATGTGAAAAACGTATGCTACTTAAGTAGTCCTTTTTTACCAAGTGTGGTTTCTGCAGTAGGTCGAAAGAACTGCATTCAAAATCCGACACCCTGATGAGTCCAAAATACTATAGGATTATGTAGCATGATAACCATTTTTACAACCTTACCTAAGAAATCCTTCCTTGTCGAAAACGTATTTTAGAATTTCAGCAAACATTTCATGAGATCAGTCACGCAGTTTAAACACCTGGGCTGGAACTGGAAATTGGCCTCCATTTTGTGTAAAAACAGTGCCAAATGATTCATCCCTAAATTTTTTTCCAGAAATTCCTCACTAACTATGAAAATGTTTTGAAGGCAATGCTTGCCTCTCAAACCCAATGTCGCTTTCGGGTGGATAAATAACGTTTTGTGGAGAAAGGTGAAGGAACGAGAATCCTTCTAAGTATGCCTTTCGCAAAATAGACTTTCCTGATCAATTTTCTGAAATGCAGCATCTACAAGAGCCGTCAAATTCCTTTTAACAGACAAGGGATTTTTAAACGGCTTTGAAAGGAAAATTATGTATATACTTTGAGAGAATGCAGTAGCATGCTCAACAGGCATACACTGACATGAAGATATTCTCAAGACTCAATCCTCAAAATCAAGATATTTTGTGAGACAGTCAGGGATTTACAGAGTTCAAAACAAGGCTGTAACGTTGCAATATGGAGCCTTGTGGTTGAGAAACAATACTCGCGTTGGGAGTATTCATTACGCTAATCGCAAGAGACAGATCGTTGAGTCTCCGCTAGTTAAAATATGTACAATACAACATGGCGTCTCTGGAAACGTTTGACATATAACCCAGAATTATAAGAATTAAAAGATTTTTAATGGCGGGTAGTGGGAGATAAAAAAACGCATACACTAATAAATGGGATTCAAGCCGCTGATTTATCAGTTCCTACCAATTCAGGACTTAATCGATATTTTTCTGCATATGACTCACGAGACAAGCCTCTGTTTATTCTAACAGGCATTGGCGCTGGACTAGCTCCCTATTTTCGATAGGTAGGCAATTGCACGCGACGCGGAGCAGTTTTTAAACGAAAGTGTCGAATATTTTTTAACGGTGGCAGAAAAGTATGCCGGTCGGATGGAGAACAGTCGGAGTATGGCGAATGATGGCAAAAGAATGGCGTGCGAAATCAAGCATGAGCCTTGGGAACAAACAATGTTCGGCAAGAGTCCATTACGCTGTCCTGATCCCACTTGTAAGCGCATTGTTGGTCGAAGGAGGTTGTTGAATTCGTTAGTAGAGGAAGAAGCCAAGGCTGAGACGGAGGGAGCAACTTGATGTATGACAAATCTGCCGCGAGATTTAAGGACGCCTAGAATCCCCGAAAAAGACCAGGTTGACAGGACACGCGAGATAGCAATACCCTAAACCTGACTGTAAACCTAACCGTAACCTTAAAATTAAACCTAATCCTTAACATAATTATAAACCTAACGCCAACCCTAAACTAAGCCCTTAACCTACCACAAACCCTAGCTCCAACCCTAGGCCTTAATTTCGCCTTGACCCCAATCCTGGCCCTAAACGCAACTCTAACCCAAACCTTAACCCTAACCTTGGCCGCAACCCTACCCTAGACCTAACCTTAACACTAAACCTTAACCTAAACGACAATCCAAGTCCTTATTCTAACCGGAAGCCTTAAACTCCACACAAACCTCAGCCCTTAACTCAATTCTCAGCCTGACACTAACACAGCTCCTTAACCTAACCCTATCTCTGAATCGAGACATCAAGTTGCCCTCTTGTGTTATAGCTTTGACTACTTCTCCACTAACGATCCCAGAATCCACCTACGGGTCACTTTTCTTCAAATACTCACACTGCGCTTACACTGGGGACCAGAACAGCGCAGTGGTCAACCAAATATTGGTACCGTTGAGTAGAAATCGCAACCTGGCAAGTGTTTCAACAAAGAGTATTCAATATGAACATGGAAGGAGATCGAGAAACAGTACACCAACCTGGTAGTCGCCGGGAGATGACGACTGAAAAGAATTCTGCAGAGCATCCATTGCAACTATCATTGCGTTAAAATCCCGCTTGAGGTTGCCTAAACGGAGGGCCAAGTTCTCAATGACTGCAGCAACCGACTCATTCATCAGGCGTAGGTAGGCCCACTTCTGCACAAGTTGCGCCCTTCCAACGGCGTCGGCGGAACGCTGAAAGTTCTTCGGCTGTTGCAGGTAGAGTAGGCGCGAATTGAAGGCCGGGTTAACGGCCTGAACAACGGAACGGATAACCGGTTTGAAGACACGGGGTTTGAGGACTGCATCTGTGGTGTCCTCTGAAGGAGAGTGGCACGTTTTGAGGTAAATACAAAAAGTCTTGCCATCTTCCCAACTAAATGAAAGCTGATCTTTGGAGGAGAAGCCAAATAGTGGTGAGTCCGTTGAATGCACTGGATCGATTAACTACTTAAGAAACTGTTGTCAGGTGATAAGCGCTTGTCTGACAGTGAAACTGTAAAAAATGAAATCTTTGTACTCCAGAATTGTGTTCCAGCCTGTATCTCTCCAAAGCTCACCGCCAGTTATATCTACCAGAGGCATTGAAAGCAAATTCTGATGGGATGGGTGAGTTTCCTCTAACAAGTTGTTTTCGTAGATTACCTGTCTCCCAACTTTGCAAAAGCCGACCCCGCCGTTCAGTAACGTAAGGATTTTGTAATCACCGGGTTGGAAATATGAGTCAAAAACTGGGAAGTTTCTTGAGGATAAAACGTCTTCAAGGTTGTTGTTCCAAATTCAGTGGAACGGTGTACAGAAAATTACAAATTAATAAATAAAAAAATGAAATTTATCGAGATAATGAACTCAGCGATTTGCGATCTCTGTCTTTGGATACTTTAGCCCCTCATTTGCCTAATTTTCTTGAATCGCTCTATATAGCTAATACGCCGTTTTTTTAAAAAAACAGTTTTTGGCAATGTGATTGTTTATTTTTATAAAGTGGGCATAATTCTTCAACCAAACCCATGTATAATTAATTCCGAACTGTCAGTCCTTGAATGTGTCGCGATGCCTGCTCGGATATGTAATAATCGTCTAGCGAACAAAATATGTGTACCTGGCTAAACGTGGGGCTTTCTATCGTCTCAGCAGAGGCAAATTACTCCTTGAAGTGAATTCATGCTTGTTTTTTGATGGTATGCTTTCTCCAGAGGGTAGGGACAGTGAGGAATGAGCGAAAATTACAGACAACGCAGGGACTGACAGATAAAAATGAATGATGCCTGTTAACGGTACCATGAGTAAGGTATCCTGTCTACGAAAGCAGTCTGCGAGTAGACTAAAGTCACAGGCCTAGTTACCTCAGTGCTCAAATGTTTTGCACCTGGTGGAAGATGATTTTGCAAGCAATATTCATCAGTACATTACCGGCTAACCTCACATACCCCCTTACACCCACAAATAATGTTCGTATAAGTAGTTTTCGTTAAAGCCAACCACACCCATACTTCAGTTTTTAAGATAGAAGTTTTCTCTTGCTTGATATTCCACAGTACGCCTTCGCCAGCACAAAAGTTGCGTTTATATTTCAGGCTGCTCATAATTCAACATCTCTGCTGTTGTCACCTCAAGCGAAATGACGTAGGATTTGTCCGGTGCAGTGGTCGAGAGTGAAATCACTGTCAAGCATGGGACAGTCCAGTATCATTTATCAAGTGCTTGCAATAACAGCTTATGTGACCTGACATTGATTTAAGATTTAAAGTATGGTTTAAGTTAAAAATAAACCCATAAGTGGGGTTGAAATGCACACGGTCAAGCAGAAGTTTTTCTGCCACACACAAAAACTAAATTTTGGCGGGATTAAGATACATGTATAAGTTTTAGTATATTTTTTAGAAAATACACATTAGACGACTTCCCATGAAATCCAGGTAAATTAAAGCACTTCTTTAAAGTTTGCATTTGAAAAAGACGTGTAATTTAATTCTAATATGCTTGTAACGAAGAGATATTTGGATGGACTGCGGGCACACGTTTGTCAATGCTGCTTTTGGAGTACGCGTCTTTCAGTATTTAGAGTTTAAATCAGTGTCCGAAGTTAAACGAGCTAATAATCCAACCAAAGATGTACAGTAGATGCTCTAACTCATGAAATGTCAACCAAAATTTCGAAATGCGTTCGCGCTTCGAAAAGATAAATTAAATAGAGTTGTAAAACTAATCATGATGTAGCATAAATCTATAATGATCCAGTTACCTCAGGGTGTCGGCTTTTGAAAGAATTTATTTTCGGCTGCTTGCCAGATCTATACTCTGCAAAAAATGACTACTTAAATAGTATGCAATTTTCTCATTGGTTTTCGATGCCCTTGAACATTAAATTATATTTCATGGAAAACATGCATAAAAATATTCATTCTTTTAATTATTCTGTAGAAAATCAAATCTTCTTCCAATTTCATACTCAAAAGAAGAGTATAATTCGGTTTTTAAAAAGTTTCTAATTGTGAGATTTTTTAATAACGTTAAATGGCCGTTCATGAAACGTCATGTATCAGCATTTACGAATGTGGCTTGCAAAGTTAACAATATTGCCTGCATTTCTCTACGGTGTTAAGAGAAGACCATATGAGGTTCATAAAATTAAGCAGTGGATTTGAGTAATATTGTTAACTTTACAAGCCACATTCGAAAATGCAGATACATGACTTTTCATGAATGGCCATTTAACGGTATTAAAAAATCTTACAATTAGAAACTTTTTTGAAACCGAATTATACTCTTCTTTTGAGTATGAAATTGGAAGAAGACGTGATTTTCTATCGAATAAGTAAAAGAATGTATATTTGTATTCATGTTTTCCATGAAATATAATTGAATTTTTAAGGTCATTGACAATCAATGAGAAAATTGCATGCTACATAAGTAGTCATTTTTTGCAGAGTATAGATCTTGCATGCAGCCGAAAATACGTTCTTTTGAAAGCCGACACCCTGAGGTAACTGGATCATTATAGATTTATGCTGCATCATGATTTGTTTTACAACACTATTTAATTTATCTTTTCGAAACGAGAACGCATTTCGAAATTTTGGTTGACATTTCATGAGTTGGCACATCTACTGTATGTACATTAGAAGTAATTTTCCCGTTCTTAGCGATGCGAATAGTCTAGCTACTGACATTTTAATTTGCTTCCGTATTCTCTGAAAACAAGCATATTATTTGAGCTCAAACAAACATTTGACTTAAGCAGCCAGCGCATACCTGCGTCTTCCGCGGGAAAATCGAACATGTTCGCGCCCGAATGCTCCCCAGACGACATCTGCACCACTGGCTACAATGAGAGGGGAAGCTTGTTAAAAGCCCAAATTTGACTGCCAAATTCACATGCTGTACAATCTGCCATAATGACACCACAGGTCAGACACACTTTTTGACGATATTCTGCAGCGGCATATAAAAGATGCGGAGTTCGGCTCAAAATTAGTGTTCCCTCAGCGTTCTCTGTTTACTTGTTCTAAAATGACAGCCTTTTACTATAGTAAGCAATTATTAGATTGGCCTAAAGTAAATCCCCTTGGAATGAAACTTTCGAACCAAGCCCAAAGCGATTTATTCCGAAGGATTTATCACCGGTCAGCGCGTTGATGTATGCGGTCAAAGAACCGGAAAATAGAACTCGAGTATAGGCCAGAAAACACACGGGAGTGCTAAGGAACCCAGTGATGAGCCGAACCGCTCGCGGCTGTGTCGTACAACCGGAAAATGTTGAACGATTCTCTAGCTCCCATGCTGTCTGTACGGCAGGCTAGACACAACAAGCGTGCTGCTGAATGCCTGTTGGTAATTTATGAATATTGAAGAGTCATCGCATTGTGGCTGATGGAGTTAGGCTTAGAAATTCGTATAAACTTTCAGACTGAGTCCACAAGGTTTCCTTTCTGAATGATCAACTCCAAGTTAGTACAGTGAATGACTGATCTAATGAAATGTTGGCTGAAATTCTGAAATGCGTTTTCAATTAGGAAGGATTACTCGGTCGCGGTTGTAATACTGGTTAAATCGCGGCATAATCCTATAATATTTCGAACTCGGCAGGATGTCAGCCTTTACAATCTCCTGTGGAAACCGTACTCGGGCCTAAATTAGATATACGGCCGAAATGCTGACAAAAATTCTGAAATATGCTTTTATTATGGCGAGTGCAAGCGGCGTAGAGCCACGGCCTAAAGCGCTGAACAGGGGACCAAGCGGCGGCGTGAGACACGCGTGAAGTTAGACGGCCGACCGGCGTGCACTGCAGCACCGAGCACGTGTGCTGGCTTTGCTCACGCGTGCGGCCCAATCAATGGCTGGTCGAACATTCCAGACGTTTCTGCGCGGGAGGCTATCGCACACGCGGTGGCCAATCAGCGACCAGCACGCGCCGCACAGGAACATTCTAGAATGCCCTCAACGGCTGGCACGTGATTGGACGGAATGCTCCAGAACGCACAGGAGCCAATATAAATAGCGCACCTTTCTTACGAGTTGGAACCCCTCGTGTCCGCAAGTTACCAATAGAGTGCTTGTCCTCCGAACCAGCTCTCTTCCTGTCCTACCTTTCTTTCGGGTCAAAACAGATTTCGATCTGAAAAGAGCCCTCAACTATGGTTGTAATATTAATTAACGCGCAGCAAAATCCCAAAATATTTCAGTCACGCCAGGATGCCGGCTTTTGAATGGGCTTCTTTTGGGCGGTCTGCAAAACTTTAACTTTTTTACATGAAGAGAAAGTACCTTTCTGATTTAAAAAAACCTTTCCAATCTCCGAATACTTTATTTTCTCCCCTGTGGTTACATTTTCGCTCAGGATTTACAACGTACATGCTGCGTATATTCTGTCAAAGGAATATCACGTATTTCCCTAGGCCTTCACGAAATGTCATGTAGGATTCATGAAACTGTGCAGTAGATGTGGACCAGGTTTTATGCTTTATAAGTAGAGTAGCGTTGCCGACAAGGGCAAGGGAAGCTGGAATGGCCATTTCAGATTTGTTAGATGTCATCAGCCAGCCATTGCTAACCCCGAGGTTCGAACTCTCGACCTGTTGGTTACAAGTCCAACGGCCCTAGCCACTGAGCCATGTTCTCAGTTATAAGTAGCATTGACAAACGTGCTGGTGCGATGTTGTATGAGTGGACTATTCACATTCTTAAAAAGCCCACAACTTAAACCCTTTTAGAGCCAAACGATACTCCCTTTTCAAATGAGTACAATAGAGAATGTTTCCATGAACGTTTTTTGCAGAATATAATTTAATTTATATGGATATCGAAAGTCAGTGGGAAAACCTAAAATACTTAAGTAGTCTTTTCTGCCAAGCAAAATGTTTGTACGCGGCCGTAAAGAGGCTCATTCAAAAGCCGGCATCCTAGTCTGACTAGGATATCTAAGGATTATGCTGCGCTTTAATTAATGTTGCAATCCCAGTTAAGTGATCTTTCAAGATAAAAAGCGCATTTCAGAATTTCGACTAACATTTCCTGAGGTAGCAAACTCAAAGCACTTTACATAACATCACTTATACTAACAAAAACGACGTTTTATTTTCATGCAATTTCTAATCATGTCAGGATAACCAACATCTGCAACTAAAAAGTATACGAAAGTGGCGGCATAAAAACTACATCAACTTTCGAATAGAATTTTACCCAAAATGCGCAATAAGATTTGTGTGCACTTACACCCCTGAGCGAAGCGACTTTTAGATTAATCCCGTGGCTTCCGCAGAATAGCGCTGTTATCGAGATAATTAAGGTAAAATTATATCTCAGTTGGTCAAAAGCATGCGATGAATCCACCTTGACACCGCATGTCGCTAATAAATTTACTTGGGTAACATTTGGGAGATGGCACCCAACAAAATCCGTTACCTAGAAATAGTACCTGTAACAGTGAACTCAAACGCCTTCAGGCTATATCAGCGGTTGCAGGCCTACTTTCACGCTCTACTTGGACTTTCCGTGACGGCCTAACATGGGCTGGTCAAACTAACATCGCAGGAGGTTACATGGACGATGGTCGCTGTTACCCAACCTTCCCCATCGTTACACACGTACACCTGAATATACGGCATACATTCGCACTATGGCAGTTTATTACAAAACAAAATCACTTTTAAATAGAATACGTCTGCACAATAAGGGACAGGAACAGTTCCCAGACATCTGTCAAAGACATGGCATTGAGGCCGGACAAAAGACGATACTATACCTCGTCTATGTGAGCCTACACAGCTCGACCACATACAGGGCCTCCCTCGTGGAGTTCCCTTTTCAGTCTACTCGAGTATGCCTCAATGGCATTGGTGTGCTGTCCGGTGGTAGGGTCCTTGAAGTTCTTTGAGTGGTTAACAGAGAAATGTTGATAACCTTCTGAGGGGAGACGATTATACGCCTTCTACTCGTCCGTTACCACTATACTGCCTTTGGCGACCCATGTTGTAATAACGGAACGGAGACCGGGCAAACTTCGATCATTCACCTGTTCAAATAAGCCCTTCCGTACAGTACAGTATCGTACATCCCGACCAGCCACCACCCATAAGACCCCTATTACCACCTGTCGCGTAAGACAGGCTGCTTTGGTTAGGCGGAATATTTTGGGTGCCATCTCCCGATTGTTACCTTTACCTGATTAAGCTTCGCATGCTAAGCACGAAGCAAACTTAATTCGCTGCGCTGTCCTTCAACTGGGTCCGAATATACTTTATGACTTGTCTCCTCAGTTCTTCCACCTAAATGATTTTCGCTGTTATTTCAGGTTGATTTGCTGTGAGCTGTCGGGTATCTACAAGTCACTACATTCCCCAATGTTCCCTTCGTCGCACTCTATGTCATGTCAAAATGAAGATGCATGTAGACAGGAAAGCAAATCAGATGGAATGGGTGTTTTTGGGAGCCTTGTGCCTGATAAGATGCGTCCCCAGAAGCAAAAATCTAACTGGAACTAAAACTCACCGTGTCTGAGAATCCAATCTGCAAGTAGGTCTGAAAGTGAGCACCGATAAATATCTCCTCGGACTCAACGTAGGGCTGAAGGATATCCAGAAATCTGGTGCTTATCTCTGTCTCAGCAATGGAAGCTATCTCCCGGCCGGTGTCAGAATCCACAGTGATGTGAAAACCAACAGTGGCTATGTTCGGAAGCAGGTAATCAAACTCCTCTGGATCCAAAAGCAAGACAATCTCCTGTGCTGCAGGGTAAAATGGAAAATCCCTTTTTCAGAGCTAAAGAAACGCGGAACATTTAGTGGAACAAACGATGTTGAATTATCGTGACGCCCCAAAATTAAAAATAAAATCAATGAGCAATACTCACGTCAGTGCATAATAACACAAGTATAGCAAACATCCTACTCAATCAACAAACAATTCCGCTACGTGTTCACAGAGATCGGCAGGAAATGGTTACACCACTTAACTTCTTGAGCATCGGAATGATTTTTAAGCGAAGTAGATATTAGTGATTGCTAGACATTTTGGTGCTGAGATGTTATCGGAGGATTTTAATGGGACAAAAGTGCATCAGGGGTTAAAATGAAGGCTGTTGTGCTCAGTGGTGTACACAGAGGTGTTCCTTTGGGGGCGAATCTTTTTGGGACAGCCTCTGATAAGGGTGCTTTCAGTTCCTTCGCGTTGAAAAGTACACTCTTGGCTTATAAAAGTGCCTGTTACTCATTGCAGATGACAAATCCCGGAGCTATCTGTCCATGTAACGGGTTTTTGAAAAAGCATATGCAATCCCAAACTCCCAGAATTATCCCTTATTTGGGATACCATCATGATTTGAACTAAATTGGGCGCTCCTACGATGCGCGGTCGGGTAACTGGACTATTACACATTTGCGGGGAATCACCAATAGACTCACAATAGACAGTAGTTAAATATTGAAGAAGAAAACACGATCGCCGGGACAAGAGATTTATTAGCCTGACGTTTCGGATTCCTACTCGAATCCAGCATCAGAGAAAAAAAAGCAGAAACGGGTTGTTGTTGCACAAGGGGCCGCGGTATTTATAGGATGCAGTAGCCATGCTACCGCATACCTATGAATATTCACGGCTCCCCCCTTCATCCGGGATCGTCGCACTTGGTGTGATCATTGCTTGATGGCCGACATTCGAGTCGATAATTGCTGCAATTTCATCATTTGCGTCGGATGTTGGCGTGATAATTGCTCGACCATCTGACGCACCGAGCCCGGTTTTGGGAAAAGTGTTCACCACTGCGCTCCCCGCATGGCTTGTTACTCCGCCTAGGCGAAGTTTCAGCACGGAGTATGGAATAGGAAGATCGCCGCACTTGTTGATGGACTGGGGGCCAGTAAACCATGATTCCAGTAGCTCCCGGCTCACGCGGTTGTCACCGCTTGAGAAAATTGTGGCCTCGTCAAATTTGAATGCGTGGCCGGAACCCGTCGAATGAGTCGCAACTTGAGAGCTAGCGTCATTTCTCCGCCCCGCTGCAGCGTGTTCGGCCTTTCTCGTTCGGAGCTGTCTTCCGGTTTCTCCGACGTAGTTGCTTTGTCCGCAACTGCACCAGATCCGATAAACGACTCCAGACGTTTCTAGCCGTGGCAGTGGGTCTTTCGGTTTCATGACCAGACGCCTGATGGTTGCCTCCGGTCTGTGTGCCACTCCAACCAAAAGTGGTGCGAGAAGGCGGCCGACAGCTTCCGAAACGTTCTTGACATATGGAAGTGCCCGCCAAGATTGGGTGTCCGTGCGGTTAGGCCTTTCGTCCCTTTTGCGTATGCACCGGTCGACGAAGTTGCGCGGGTAGCCATTGGCTTTGAAGACCCGTCACACCAAGTGCGACGATCCCGGATGAAGGGGGGGGGGGCCGTGAATGTTCATAGGTATGCGGTAGCATGGCTACTGCATCCTATAAATACCGCAATCCCTTGTGCAACAGCCACCGTTTCTGCTTTTTCTTCTCTGGTGCTGGATTCGAGCAGGAATCCGAAACGTCAGGATAATAAAGCTCTTGTCCTGGCGATCGTGTCTCCTTCTTCAAGACTACTTCCTGGGACTCGTCTCGTCGCTTCTAGTAGTTAAATATGTTTATTCTTGAATGTCCTGAGTTTTGCTAAGGAAAAGTGCGTTACTCACACTTTCATAGTTCCCTTCAGAGATAAAAATTTACAGTGGTGAGCTTGCATGTGGGGCTCCTCTTTGTTTAAACTGTCCCATTAACGGGAGATGTCTGAAATAAATTTAATGTCAATGTCCACTTGTGGGTGTGGATATGCCCTCAGCTATCCGTTATTTTCGATACAAATTATTTGTTCTTTTAAATTCCCAGAGAGTATGACCACTGTATGGTACTGTAAAAGTATAAACCCACCTGTCGAGTTGAGTGGCAGTCGATAACACAACCGGTTGGAGCTGAGCACGATGATAAATTGATCGTCACCACAGGGCTGTCCATTGATAGAACAACTGTCGGGTAGAAAATGATAATATAAGGAGTTAAAACATACAGTTTAATGGAATTTTGAGAAGACCTGGTGAAATCTCTTGGTCAAAGACCTATAGGCTCAACTTAAGTTACTCGAACATCTTATACTGTAGGTGGGCTAACTCATGAAATGTCAACCGAAATTCCGAAATGCGTTTTTGTTTCAAAAAATTAATTAACTAGGAATGTTAAACTAATCATAATGCAGCATAGTTCTCTAATAATTCAATTAACTCAGCATGCCGGCTTCCAAATTAACCTCTTTGCGACTGTATGCAAAGTATTTACACTGTAAAAAATGACTACTTCTGTGGCATGAATTTTTAAAATTGATTTTCGATGCCCTTAAAAATTCAATTTTATTTCGTAAAAGACATGCATAAAAATAATTATTATTTTAAGCATTTGGTAGAAAGTTAATTCTTCTTTAAATTTTATAATTGAATAAAGATAATTATTTGGTTTTTGAAAAGTTTCTAATGGTGAGATTTTTTTTACCGTGAAATGCCTTTTCACAAACCATCGTTTCGCCGCATTCAGCAATGTTGCTTCTTAAGTTCACAATTTGGCTCAAATCTACCGCTAAATCTTAAGAACGCCATATAGTTTCCTCTTAATACTAGAGAGAAATGTGCGGCTTTCCGTACGCGGACAATATACCGCTTTAGCTTGGGGACCCTGAATGCGAGTGTAAAGGCAGGTCGGGTTCAAAATTATTCGAGAATCGGGAAAGTTTTTGAAAACCGATTTATAATCTCTCTTCAAATATAAAATTTAAAGTAAAAGTAAATATCTACCAAATGATTAAAAGAATCAATATTTGCATGCATGTTTTCTATGAAATATTGTTAAATTTTTAAGGTCATCAAAAATTGGTGGGAAAATGCATGCCACTGGAGTAGTCATTTTTTACAGAGTATAGATTATGCATGCAGCCGCAAAGAGGTTCGTTCGAAAGCCGGCATCCTGCGGTAACTGAATTATTATAGAATTATGCTGCAAGATGATCGGTTTAACAACCCTATTTAATTAATCTTTTTGAAACGAAAACGCATTCTGGAATTTCGGTCGACATTTCATGGGTTAACCCACCTACAGTATGCCTGACACATTTTATATAAAGTTCGTTTCTGCTCGCGCTACTGGGTCTCCAAAATTATCTCTAAGCTGTTAATCACAGAGCTCCTGTGTCTCTGTAATTAAGGCATAAGTACGTCTCTGCATGTTTAACGGATTGTCACACACTCTCGAGTATCCACGCGAGGACTCACGCCTAATAGTGTCCAGAACAGTGCTGAATACACCAATTTCACGGTTCTAGCGCCGCGAATTACGATGTGTATCGTGTGCTCCGCGAAGTAGGCATTGCGCCGGCGACTTTTGCACGAAATGGTTTATAGTGAAGTAGATAAGAGCAGCATCTGTCGCGCTCTCTCCTTTTTCACTGATCTGAATCCGATGGCAAATTAATGGATGGAGACGGGCTCGAACAAAAGCTCATCTACGCGTGCCACGCACGATCTGGTCTTTAAAACATAAAACGTCAGCAAGGTGCGCTCGCAACATCCAGATTTTGTCAACTAAAACCGGCAGCTATCGAGAATACCCGTCAGCCTGCAGTGTTTCCCTGCAGCGGATGGGAGATTGGAGTAAATTTGGGGTTTAAATATGACCACTGTGCTTCAGAAGTCATGTACCTGCTTGGATTTGAATATCTGCGCGGAAGAACAGGCTTTCGTGTACAAGGCGCCGCGAATCCACTGGAGGTGGCCACAGTTTCGACTAATGGAGCATCCTTTTCGATATGGAGCCATCTTCTCGCGGCGTCAAACAGCGTTTTTATATGAAAAGGCCATTGGTTCAGGCACGGGTTACCTCCTCTAGTTAACGAACGGCTCACTTTCTGGAATCCCGCACGAAAGATGCCAACATTCCGAGGAATTGTGCGTCATGACGGCTTGCACGTCGTACGCATTAGCACGTTTGTCCCATTAGAAGTGCGGGTTTACTGGTACTGACTGTAGCTAGGCGGTTCTTAAGAGAAAAGAGTTCTGATTCGCGCACATTGACCTGGTACAGAGCGGTAAACTAAAAGGTTAACCGAGACATTTTTATGTTTTCCTCAACTGAGACGAAATCAAACTGCTTGCCGTCTCTTGAGGTTGTTTTTGCACACTGCTCTTTTTGAATGATCTTTAACTTTTATTGGATACTGTGATCTTAATGCCGGTCAAACTACTAAGCATCCTCTCCGCAGCTGCTGCGTTGAATTCATTTCGCTCGAAGGTCAGGTCAAACCGTATTGCTACCCAGCTTAAGACAAAAAACATTTCGTACGCAAAAACAGATTTGCGACTTATATATCTATATCAGACCGCAGAAGTGAATCTTTACAGCCTCGAAGTGATAAGTCCACGAGAGTGCAGGTGAACAAATCTTCCCGGTGTCGTGACCCGCCTTTCGTACTGCGAACGGTCTACTGAACATGTTTGCACGCCGTTTACAATGGTTTAGGCATCTGCGTCGAATGCTTTACAGTAGATTTCAGGGATTAGATCCATGTCTGCAAGCCGGTGATCTCGTTAGCCCGTTTCGAGCCCCCCATAGAAGGTTGGCCACCTTCAGTAACACTGCCTGTGGTGTATCTCATGTGATATCGAGATCTCGTCGCCAATGACGACGTCGGCTCTATCGTCCCAAGAGACGTGGGTAGAAAAGGCAGGCTTTTGAGGTATCTACTTCATTCTCTTCTCCCATGCCCACCTTGTTCCGACTGTAAGGCAAGGCCAACGCGATCGGAGGCGGGCACTACGGACTGTTCGACGACCCGAAGCAACGAGTCCATTGTTGCCGCGCAAAGCGAGCCGGGTATCAGCGATCTGGGTGTAAATTGGATGACGGTGGTGAAGACTTGCACAATCCATGTTGTATTCTCTCCCTCCCCCCTATATATCGCGGTTCCACAACAAGAGAGAGTCAAGACTGCCAGAGGTGGGCGTGGTCGCAAATGAGGACAGAACTAAACAACCTGCCTACGCGTGTCATATGTGACTCGGTCGTGGCTTTATCGTTATCCGGATTAAATTAGGCTTCTGCTATAGCGCCCACAGTGCGTGTAGCGGATGGAGACATGACACAAAAACACAAAATTGCAATTTATAAGTATGCAGGGCGACAGTGCTGAGAGGTTCAAAATTTCCACCAAAAATTCAGGAGATGAAGTTGTAATTTTTCGCTACCTACACTTATTCCTTTGCCGACACAAGTAAAGATATAAGTTTCAGGAGCTATTTAATAACAATAAGAAGCGATCCCTGGAACAAGAACTTTATTCGCCTAAGACATGTTGGGACGCACTGCAGTGAGCCGGATGACAAGTTGTCGCATGTCAGTAACTTCAACGGATGTTCAGGGAAAATGGCTGACCGCCCAACTTTGCCAACCGGTGGATCTGCAAATGAGACGTGCGACAAAGTCGCTGCAAACTCAAATATTGGCAAGTGATCCCGTACATCAAAAACATCTCCGAGACCATACGGCTGCTTCTCGCACCACTTGGAGTTGGAGTTGCACACAGTCCGGAGGCAACCATTGGGCGTCAGGTGATGAGATCAAAGAACTCATTGCCGCGACATAAAACATCTGACGTCCTTTACCGGATCTGATGCAGCTGCGGGCGAAGCAACTGCGTCGGAAAACTGTCCCGGACGCGAATCGCCGAACACGTGGCAGCAGTGCGGATAAGTGACCTTAATTCTCAAGTTGCGGCTCATTTAACGTTACCCGGCTACACATTTAAGTTCGTTGAGGCCAAAATTCTCGCGAGAGGGGATAATCGTCAGAGCCGCGAGTAGCTTGAGTCATGGTTCACGGGACCTCAGTCTATCAACTAGTGTAATGACATCCCCACCCCATATTCGGTGCTGAGACTTTGTCTGGCCAAAGTAAGTAACCACTCGGGGAGCGCCCAGGCCGGTGAGCCAGGTAGCCAAGCCATCATCACGTCAACATTCAACACGGGTGATGAAATCTCAACAGGTAACAACTTGCATACCGGTCACTAAACAATCCACTCACCAGCGGACAACCATCCTCGACGAAGGGGAGAACAGTTAATAATACTTATGCCATAGCATAGTGACCGCATCCTATAAATACTGCAATTTCCTGTGCACAAATCACACCGTACTCGCTATTTCGGAGTTCGAGCGTGACTCCGAAACGTCAGGCGAATATGGCCTTCTACTTCCTATCAGTTATTCCTTTCTTGCGAGACCCGATTAATTTCACTGGGGCAAATTGTTTCATAAGGACTGTCTCCCTCCCTCCCCGCAAATAATGGAGCCGACATGGGAGTCTGTAGGAGGAGTGAGAAGGAAAAAGAAGCACAGTGTCCATATGCAGCATGATTGACACTCACCTCTTTAGCATATCTGCCAACTGGTGAGATATGTTGAGCAGATTCCTAATGGATAGCTTGCTCAACTCCTTCGCGTAGGATGGAACACGCAACTTTCCAACTCGGATGCCAGTTATAGTGTCGTACAAGTAGCTCCCGTTGGGTAGATCGAAAATCTCTGAGCCTCTTTGAGGGAGAGAGAGAGAGAGAGCGGGTGGGTGGGAGAACAAGAAGATGCATCAAAAAAGAAAATGTGCTCTGCGAGAAAAAAGATACATATTTGTCTCTCTTACCCCCCTGCCTTCAACTCTTCAAATCATGTGCTATGTAGAGGACTTTTTCTGGTGCATAGCAGAAGCACTGAAGCGAGCGGGCACGTTCCGCGAGCATTTCAAGCGGAACGCGATTAGGTTGCCTTTCAATGGTAACGTTCTTTTTAAATTCTTGAGACCCTACTCCTAGGACCTCCTAAAACATAATGGTGAGGAATGTGCCTCCAAGAAGTCCGTGCATTAGGCCACTTCCGCCCGATAGACCGCACCCAAAATGACTTTTGATGCGTAGATAGCGGAAGAGAAATGCTGTCGGAAACGGTTTTATATTTCATTTAGGACGGCATGTTTTCGCATATTATGGGAAAATTAGTCCTCTAACCAACGGCGTTGTTGGTATCATTTTCCACAGCTTACTTTACGACGGAACAATCGGAGAAGTGGCTCAGCGGCATAGATGGGAACTGTCGGTGTTGCTGGCGCCAGACGGCGTTTTTGTAAAAAAACATTCTGCTGAGATGCCAAACAAATAAGAGGTAAGCTATACTTCAACACGTGCGGGGGCAAACCTTTAAAGGGCAGAGGGGTGCGCTCACCGATCGTTTCTACAAAACTCACTCGTTCCGATGTGCCTTAGGGGCTCTTCCTCTCGAGCCCGACAAGCAATATGTTATTACCGACAAAGACAAGGAAGACCGTATTGGCCATTTCTGGCTTATTAGTCGTCTTCAGCCAGTCATACCCCACCTAGAAGTGTGGAACACCCGAGGCTAGAGGCGTGGAATAGAGAGAAGATGGAGTAAAAATGATCTAGTGCACTCATTTTGAAACATAGTCTAAGTGGCGGGCATTTGACTTAGCCATAAACATCCAAAGTTGTTGCTCGGAATGCTGCTAACAATCGGGATTATAGTCCTTTATGTTAACCTGGTTGTAATGATCTCTAAGGTTATGTCTTCTGTCGCCATTCTTAAACGCCTGAATAGGACAACGTGCGAAGTCCGGTCCAGATGAGTATAGGAAACACCATGTGGACGTCGTTTACGAACAGCAACGTATAGTCTGGGTAGTCATTAAAATTCGATCTAGTCTCGTGTAGTTGATCTCCTTGTCTTCCAATTCATCATGATTGGGGAGGTTATAGAGACACTGCTGATGAACACCTGATTTTCGACGTTTCGACCTTCAGCAGTATGTTATTACCGACAAAGACAAGGGAGACTGTAATGGCCATTTCTGACTTATTAGTTGTCGTCAGCCAGTCATGCCCTACCCAGAAATTTAGAACACCTGGGGCTCAAAGTCGCGACCTGCTAGTTAGAAATCTAACGCCTAGAGCCTCTTAATGTGTCTTCAACTGAAGAAAAATGATTATACGAGATTTAATCTCTGGCATGCGTGGAAGGCAAACCCTAGGCACATCCGCAAAATACAGCATACTGGATTTGAACAAGACTTTGTTCGGTCTCCCGTTCGCACGAAGGTGTATTTCCCGCAATTGTTCTCGTAAATTACGCCTCCTCAAAGCCTGTGTAGGGCAGAATGACCATTTTATTTTCCCATAATAGTTTTAAATGTTTAGCCTTTTTCTAATCAACCAGTATTCTCATATGTTCGTTAGTTTTCGGGCTGGAAACTTTGTGCCTTAATTATGACCAACTACCTCCCCATTTCACGTCCAAATACGCAAATGACATTGCAGTAATAACGTCTCATGTTCTGGCCTTTTAGCAACATTTATAGGCATGCAGACAAAAGACCACCAAATTCACTACGCAGGCCTTCAAAGACATCGTCCATAAACGCCCTTTCTGCAGATAGTAGGGCTAAATATGACATGATTTTCTAGAAAAGAAGCTACTTGAGGGGTAAAATTTTGGGGGAATTTTTGCAGGCGACACAAAGTTACTTTTTTCCCCACCTAAACGTAGTGAAGAGAAATTTTGCTTTTGCTCTCCCATGTGACCCGTATTGACGCCTGCGAATTTTATTAATGGGAACTAAGAAGGCATAATTTTTGAGATATATCTTTCCTAATCATAATAGCACTCCATGAAGTTTCGTTCTTATAATGCAGACGTGCTCCCCTCTTCTAAGAGGCGCTAATTTTCCGGCAAGGCTGGTGAAATTTCAGAATTCTACATTATAATATTTCGTGAAAACGGTGGCGCTTCGTTCAACTGAAATAGACAGATCATTTGACTCTAGTGCCTTTTCACACTGTCAAAAATGACATTATGTTTTTCGAGAAAGACTTGCGTCAGTGCAGAATAAGGCATCTAACTTTGGAAGAGGGTCGGATCTTGTTTCGTAGCCGTACCTGCGATAGACAAGCTCCAGCCGCCTGTGGTGGTAGTACGGAGTTTTATCCTCACCCCTAACCCTAGCACCTTAGCCCTAACAGGTACGGTTATGAAATAATATCTTGCCTGGAAAGTTCTGAAATCGCAAGCTGCGAATAATTTGCCTTATACAAGTATTACAACTGCTTCATCGTTAAAACCTGGCAGCAACTTGTATTTGGACTCAAGGATTCCTATCTCCTTGGCTGGAACATGCATTGGGACTGTCCCATCGTTCCCTTTTTGTTTCTGCGGTGGTAGATTGTGAAATGTGTAAACGACTGCAATATATTTCCAAAAACAGAATTGCAGTCTGCTCGGCTCAAAGTCATTTCTTCACTCTGTAACGGTAGTTGATGCGGTACTAATCACGTCCTGAAAAACCTTCTAAAGGCCGACGTATTTTTATACTTGCTCGAGCGAAAACTGGTATCTGTTCTAATATGACTGGCTGTTAAACATTCAGGCGACAGGGACGCATGAACTTTCTGGAATTTTCAGTTGCCTCAGCATCTACTCACCAACTCTGATTTTCTGTATTTTGTAAAATTTACATGGGCGAGTTGTATGCGGCAAAATGCCTCAACTTCAGACAAACTGATGAGACAGGTTTCGCTACTGATGTACAAGACTGGAGGCACTGCGATCAAACGCAACTACAGGGAGATATTTTCGTTTCTCTGCCAATCACTTCGCTTCTCTTCGATGTTGATAACTTGACGGGAGAAGGCCTACCAAAAGACCATACCGTAGGTCGTAAGTCGATAGACAAGCTGGGGAAAAGGTTTTTACTCTGCCGTGAGTGAGGTGGGCTGTCAACAAAAAAGTCTTGAAGGACTGCAGTTTTATTGCGGATTAGTGGTTGTGTCCAACATTGGTGTCGACCGGCCTACAGATGTCCGGTTAGCGTGTAAAAATTACTACTGCGGACAGGAGAGGATAGTAGATACAGCGTGGTGTAGAAACAGCCAGATGACGATTATGATCTAGAGAAGATTAAACTGCCTAATAAATTTTTGTTACTTGCCTCAAAGAACATCCCCGTTCTCCTGGGAGTCCAAAGAACAAGGCCCTGATTTAACCCAACTCAGCCACTTCATTCACTAGTTCACGTAAAAGTGCATTCCACAGAAAGTGCATTGCTAAGACATCAAGACTGGACACGCCCAGAGTTTGAACCAGATACATAACACGCATCACTGTTTTAACAGAGATGTCTAAAGTGCGAGGAATTGGGTGATTTTAATTGCTATTTTTGATGTCTGCACCGTCATCAGAGGACCATAAGATGACCTTAGACCAGAAGGACTCCATTTTTGAACGGGTGCAATTGGGCACTGACCTAGATACCAATTCTCTGACTGCTACTCTGTGCGACTGTTCAAGTCACATTTTTGTAGTCATGTACATGCAGCGGAGACTAGGCAGTATACAGACAGTGGCCGATCTCATGAAAAATGCAACCGGAATTCCAAAATGCGTTTTCGATCTGAAATGACTACTTAAATTGGGCTGTAAGACTGACTATCCTACGACATGATCCTGTGATATTTCAGAAAAGTCCGGGTGTTTGCTTTCGAAGGTACTTCTTTTCGGCAATCTGGAATAACCGCACATGGTAAAAGAAACTCGAGAGTCTCGTTAATTCAAACGTGTATATATTATAGAAAACCTCCATAAAATATTATTTCCTATACTCCTTTGATAGCATGTTGCTCCATCTTCAAACATTATATTTTAGAAGGGTAAGTTATGTGTTTAAATAGGTTTTCCGATTGTAAGCTAATTTTGAACTCGATCCGTCGGTCCATTTTCGTTCAGGATTTTCAGCCCAAAATCCGTATACTTTCTGTGAAAGGAAAAATATGCATTTCGCTGTGTTGCAACGGGTGTTGTCTCCGTTGTATACTTAATGAGGAACATAATTAAACAGATACATACGATGCCATTTCAATGGATATTGCGCGGTCTTCAAAAGTCCTATAATTAGAAACCCTTTTAAAACAAAGAGATACCTTTTTTCAAGTATAAAATTTGAAGAAGACGTCATTTGCTACCAGTTAAATACAAGGAAGTATATTTTAATACAGGTTTTCTGCAAAATATTTTTTTTAAATTCATAAGTGGTCATTTTTGCTAATTGAGGCTTTTGCAGGAAGCCGAAAAGAAGTGCATTTAAAAGCCAACATCCTGTCTTGTCTGAAAAATCACGGGATTATGCCACAAGTTAATTCCTATTACAACTCCACCTAAGTTGTCATTTCTGATAAAAACGCACTTGAAAATATTGGTTAACACTTCATGAAGTCGTTCACTCATGATGCGTGGCGCAGATGAGCGAAATGTTCAGCGTTGCCGATCACTGTAACCAATTACAACTTCAGTGGGCTGGGTGACTTGGATAGCCCACTGGAAGAGGCAAGGGAGAGTGAGGTCGAAATTTGGGAATCCGTTCACATGACACACTAACGCTTTCCTCAGTATAATAAATTCGATGTGATTAGAGTCGAGGTTTAGTTCTCCAACTGTCAGGATAACTCAGTCCTCATAGAAGCATTGTGACGTGACTGGCGAACCGAGAGTCAGACTGGAATCGTGTAATCTTAATATGGCCTCTATGACATCCTCGCATGCGTGAGCATTGGACCTTCATCACAGTGGCTAGGCCGGGTGGTGCATGTCACGCGTATGCAACCCCACCTGAGTGATGCCAAATGGTACGCTGACTTTGCAAATATCCCGTATTACCATTTTAATTCAGCGAGTGACAGTGCCACGGGGGGGGGGGGCAGAGGAGTGCTTATTCGCAAGCCTCGATTACTTCAGCTGCCAGTTCACATGCGCTTCCCAGTGCGGGCTTCGAGCCCTGTTTGCACACTCTCTAGTATTCCAATCCAGCGAATGTCCAGGTAGACTTGCTAATGGAACTTTTCGGACGGGTGTGGAACTCCGTCGGTTCCACTACAGCAGCCGCGCACTGCGAATTACCATGCGGTTTCCTCCGTGGCCTTCCAGTTGTGATTGTGGCCCTAGTATCCTCTTGATTCAGCGAGTGGTTGTGTCGGGGGCGGAGCGTGTACACGCCACCTTCACTCACCTCCCCGCGCGTGCTTCGAGCTCTGCTTGCGCCCTCTTCCCCTTCCTAATTCAGCGAGTGGCAAAGTTATGTATGCTTACTAAAATTTTTTTAAAAAAGCTGACCATATGGTACCAATCAAGCGGGTCTGTAGAACCAAACCTCGCCCATTTTAATAACACGAGAACAATGTATGCCTACCTATTGCCTCCAGAACCACATGAAGAAAGTTCATCTTTATTGTGAACAGACATTTTGCAAAAGCGCATCAGGATCTCGCTGGTGTGCCAAATAATTGAGCATACGAATGGCGTCCAATCCCCTCGCATAATGTACACGCAACATTCGAACGTAAGGACCCTGAACCCAACTTCCACGCATTTATATAAACACCAGGTAGAGAAGACGCATTCACTCAGATATATTCTCTCAACTTGGACTTGGTTTGCCCTTTCAGCGAACGTGCACCTACTAGTATTGACGTCACCGGTCCTGACTAGGCTGTCTACAACGAAAACAAGGCCAAAATGGCTATTCCAGGCCTACTCCTCGTCTTCTTCGTTACCACTTGGCGACGACCGACTGATTAATCATATTTATGCATGTGTCCGAGTTGTTTCTAGACAGGGGATCTAGGGCCAGCCGGACTCGTTCGTATTTCGTCTGCCAGACAAAGCATATCCGTTAAGGAAATCTCGTGTCTTCCTTCCAAACACTAAGGGCTTGCGAATGTAGGCAAACGTTCGGATTCCAGGTGTACGTATGGGTAAGTTAGCTATGGCTAAGTTAGCTATTGTCGCTTTTTAATTTCCTCAGAAAGTATCTACGAAGTTGGAGTAGATCAGTTTATTCAAGGTCTCTAGGCTCAGACCGAGAATTTTATACATGAATATTTGGGCCAAATTCCATCAGCCGGACCACTCGCAGCTGCGTCATGCAGCGGCAGAACATCGGCGAAACACGCGTGTGCATGGGCTTTTGGCTAGTACCTGCGCCGTTAGTATGGTATCAACTTACCTTAAGTTAGCTATGTAAAATAATATTGCCTTAGTAAGTTGAACATATGGTATCGATCAAGCAGGGCTGCAGGATCAAACTTCGCCACCCCAGCTTCTTGACAAATCTCATTCTTCTGTCTTCTTCTACAACTCTGATGAATGTGCGAGCACGATGACTTGTCCAATGCCATTCAGAATAAAGCTTCGATTTCCGGGTTTGTTTTGGTAGCCGCGGTAGCGGCTCATTCGACGAGACCCGGACACATTCAAATTCGACGAGGACGAAATTCTCGCAAGAGGTGATAACCGCGTAAACCGGGGGCTGCTTAAGTCATGGTTTACTGGCTCCCAGTCCATTAAAAAGTGTAATGATCTTCCCATGCTATACTCGGTGCTGAGACTTCGCCTAGGGGGAGTAATTGGCCACGCGGGGAGCGCAGAGATAAACACTTTTCCCAACACCGGGGTCAGTGCGTCAGATGGTCGAGCCCTCATCACACCAACATCCAACGCACGTGATGAAATTACAGCAATTAACGACGCGAATTTTGGCCATCAAACAGTAATCCCACCACGTGCAACGATCCCTGATGAAGGGGGGGGGGAGCCGTGAATATTCATAGGTATGTGATAGCATGGCGACTAAATCCTATAAATACTAGAGCCCCTTGTGCATGGACCATCCGTGTCTGCTTCTGTCTCTGATGATGGGTTCGAGCAGGAATCCGAAACGTCAGGCTAATAAAGCTCGTGTCCCATCGATCGTGTCTCCTTCTTCAGGACTCAGTTATGTCGCCGGCTCGAGATCTTATGAGGCACGACTATTGGTGTGTAGCAATAGATTCGAACGTGACAGGGCACTTGTAGTCTGGAAAATGGTGACTTGTCATGAGAGTGGATCAATCACTATCGTCCTCACTGCTCCTTTTCCCTATTTGATGCATAAGTCAACTGGCCGAACCTGTCGGTCATGTGTTTATCCCACGCAGCGACTGACACAGAGTGAAAACCTACGCTGCCCTACAGTTTCCGGATAGGATGACCGGGTTGTTGAAAGTGCGCTGGTGAATTGTTCTTTGGCAGTTATCACAGGATTTCTTATTTCTTGTTGTTTCCACTATCACAAAAGACGATTATAGGGAGAAAATCGGGCTTTCTAGATCCCACGAACGACAACGAACTGCCTTCTGAGACATTGCTACTGGGCCAACGCATGACCAGAATGCAATTTGCCGAAAACGGTGTCATCGCAAGCCTACGAAAATAATTTCTTCCCAAATTGGCTCTTCTCTTGTCTTTAAAAAAACTGAAAACGAATATTCCACCTTTGGCATACCTGAATGGATTGGCATTACAGAGGGTAATATTGACAACGTTGATTGGCACATGAAGTGTGGCGTTTCGTAGGCTACGCCCGTTGCAAGTGTCTGTCTTTAGACAGGGAGCTTTTTGCAGAACCAGGTAGGAACGCAGACTGCGCCATTTGCTCGTCCAGACGCAGGTCTGGTAGACCACACACGTCGCCACGAGAAGGAGGCCGAGAAGGATGCCTGCACGTCTAAAAATGCAAACCAATTGAAGTAAGACTGGCAATTTTATTCCAGTTAGTGGCCAACGTCAATAAAATATTTAAAATGAAACAGTACTTCAGGAGACATCGGGTACAGCAGAAAAACACTGTTCTGTAAAACTACCAATTTCGTTGAGAATATTCTTGTCTGCAAAAAGTGAGATAATACAGTAGGTGGGCTAACTCAGGAAACGTCAACCGAAATTTCCAAATGTGTTTTTGTTTCGAAAAGATTAATTAAGTATGGTTGTTAAGCTAATCAACGTGGAACGTAATTCTATAATAATTCAGTTACCTCGAGATGCCGGCTTTCGAATGAACTTTGTTCTAGGCGCAAGCGAAACCCATTATGTAGCGTGCATTTTTCTCATTGATTTTCAATGCCTATAAAAATTCGGTTTTATTTCGCGGAAAACATGCATAAAATATTTATTCTCTTGTCCATGCGGTAGAAAATTACGTCTTCTTCCAATTTTATAATTGAAGGAATGGTATAATTAGGTTTTAAAAAGGATTTAATTGGGAGGGTTTTTAATAAAGTTAAATGGCTGCTCAAAAAACGTAATGTCTCTGCATTTACCGTAGAGAAAAGTATGGTTTTGCGCACGCGGAAAATATACGGCTTGTAGTTTGGAAACCCTGAATGCAAGTGTAATAGCAGGTGGGGTTCAAAATTATTCGGGAATTGGAAAAGTTTTTGGACATCGAATTATACTCTTCCTTCAAGTATACAGTTGGAAGCAAACGTCATTTTCTACTGAATGCTCGAGAGAATAAATATTTTTACGCACGTTTTCCAGGAACTATAGTTGAATTTTTAAGGTAATCTAAAACCAATGCGGAAGGTGAATGCTGCATAAGTAGTCATTGTTTAGAGGACATAGTTTTTGAATGAGGCCAAAAAACGTTCGTTCGAAAGCCGGCATCCTGACGTAACGAATTTATTATAGGATTACGTTGCAGGATGATTACTTTCGCAGCCCTACTTAATTAATCTTTTCGAAGAAAAAACTCATTCCGGAATTTCGGTTGACATTTCATGAGTTAGCCCACTTTCTGTAGTACTTAAACGGTTAGAAGTATGAGAAAAGCGTAACCAACCGAGTATACAATGGCTTCCACGACTGGTGATAAGGAACCCTTACAAAAGTTGGACAACGTACCAAGTATTTATAAAACGTGTTTCGTCGATGGGCAGTCTTTTAATCTGCATAAAAACGACTCCCAGGAACTTGAAACCCTCTTTTTTAATAACTGGAGTCATATCCGGCGATGATATTTAAACTTTCTACACTGTTGTGTCATCCCAGGATAACTTTCAATGTGGTCGATAATAGCTCCTAATTAAAGGCCGACAAAAAGGGGGGTAACGAACCGTATAGTGTCGCAATTGCAAATGGCAAAGTCGGCTATGTGTCTTCGGGTCTTGCGTCATAATTAAACTGCGGATTGGAACTCACCTCTCTAACGCTATGTCTGCACCACTTCAGTAAACGTCGCCCGTTCTAAACAAAAGATTCTGCATTGCATGGGCTGATTCAGTCGAAAAATGTATTCCTCAGCTTGGAAAACCCAACCTTTGTCTCAATCGACGATGTACACTTATGGCACAGGACAGTTTACAGACTAGTATTAAAACTGCTCTGCTAAACTAGGCTACTAAGCTAAATTTCTTTGAGTGGGTTACTTTGATGTGCAATAAGGACATTTTGGCCGGTCGCCAGGACAGCATTCAGTTTCGACGCTCTTGTGAGTTTAAATATATTTTATAGAAGAGCTTCATGAAAATATCATTTATTATACTCAATTAACAGGTACCTGCGTCTTCTGCAACTGCCATACTCAAATAAAGGATATTTTAGGTGTTAAAACGTTCCTCACTAAGTACGTAATTTAAACTCGATCCACATTGCATTTTCATTTAAAAAGCTGCACAAGTTGCATGTAGAGAAAAACACACATATATTCCTTTACACCACTGAGAAATACCATACGAGACTCATAAATTGTCACCACAGGTGTGGGGTTTGTTGTATATTTAGTGAAGAAGATTATGAAAAAGGCATATAGGCTGTCATTCGAATGGATATACTACGAGCTTAAAACATCTCATGATCGGAAACATTTTTGAATCGAAAGCTAATATCTCTTCGAGTATAAAAAATTGAAGAAAACGTGATGAATACAAGATAAGTGCAAAATAAAATACTTTTGAGCACATTTTCTGCAAGACATGTTTGATATTATAAAGTCATTGAAAATCCATAGGATAAATGCAAACTATGAAGGCGATTATTTTTCAATGAGGTTGGTTTTTCCGACGGCTGAAAAGATGTGCATACAGAAGCCAACATCCTAGCGTTTCAAAAATATTACGGGATTATGCCGCAAGAATATTACAAATCTACCTAAATAATATTTTCTAATCGAAAATGTTTTTCCCAATTTCAGTTAATATTTCATGAGATCAACTACTAACCGTAGATTCTAGATCGACTGCATACGAAAACAGGAAGGTGAGTCCCTCGGTGGCATCAAAACTGGCTAATTTTATACGTCCCAACGGTTGGCTTCACCAAATCTGATTAAACTCGGATATCTAGGTCGGAACCTGTTACAGTAGATGCGCTTTCTCACGAAATGGTGACCTAAATTCCGAAATAGGCTTTTGATTACAAAAAAGTACTTATGTGTGATTGCAATATTAATTATAGCACAGTACAATCCCAAGATATTGTAGCTCTGCCAGCATACCGGCTTTTGAATGGGTTTCTTTACGGCTGTCTGCGAAAATGTCACTCCCTAAAAGTGACTTCTTGGGCAGCATGACTTTTTGGATTGCTTCTCTCTGCCATAGTAAATTTTGCTATATTTTAGAGAAACTTTCCATAGAAACACTCTTCGTTGAAGAACTTGAAGAAATAGTTCTTTGGTGGTAAAAAAAGTCTCCGATTATGGAATTTTCATAAGACGGTGAAGTATCCATTAACATGTCGCCGCATCAGCGCGACTACTGGTGCTACTTATAAAGTATGCAACTTGGCCAATTTGCAGACAATTGTATGCGTCCTATATGACGGCTTCTTACAACGTTCCTTTGATGGAATGCATACAGTATTTAATTTAAAATCCCTAAATGTAAGTGTACCTCCAGATGGGGCAAACGTTTCTGTGAACTGATAATACTCTCTTTTAGAGTGGTGAATTCAATAAAAATGCAATTTAGCATTGAATGGATGCGAAAAATGTTTTCACGCATTATACAACTTATATGTTAATTTAATAAGGACAATACAAATAAATGAGAAAAATTCATTCCGGTAAAGTAGTCATGTTTACAGAGAACAGTTTTGCAGACGGCTAGCATCCTGACGTGACAAAAATATCATAGGATTATTTTGCAATGTAATAGGTATTGCAATACTATTTAAGCAAACCTTTCGAACTGAAAGCTTATTTAAAAATTCCGTTTAATATTTAATGGCGTTTAGAGCGTTGGCAATCCTCGGGTCTTGCAATTGATATCGTTTGTTCGTTTCCCGCTGACACCATCAAGGTTTTGACAGTTGGACTAGTGGAAATATCGAATTTGTTAAAAACACCAGCCATAGCATTAGTCGACTTTTGAGGCCTAAGAAGGGAAAAAGGAATTCTCGAAAGACCCCGTCAACCAGATTCAATAGGAGTCAGACTTTTCTTTCATATTACTGCCTAAAAAGCACAAAAACGAGTTCTGCTGGAAAGAGGACACCATATTTTCAAAAGCCCTCGTTTGAAGTAAAAAACCTATTCGTGAAACTCAAATGTGCTATGAATGCTTTGAAGTCACATTCCGATAATGAATTCGGGCTACATTACTTGTTGTTTTCTTAAAAACACCAGCTGGTTTACCTAAATATCCAACTGTACAAATGAAAAACAACAGCATGCTATTTAAAAAAGGCCTCTGCAAAAGTAATTATTTATGAACTTTTTCACTTAATTTACAAATATTATCAAACCGATTTGTGTCCAACATTCCACATTTCTGGGAATGAGAACGGAGGGAAAACTGATATTTATTCTTACATTTTACAAATATCTAGAACAAATTTTAAAAAATGTAGGGCACATTACCGATCATGTCTTACTCTGCTCGGAGCTGCAGGGTAAAACCTGAGTATACTTGTTACATAAATCCTGTTTTTGATAATTCATTTACTTCCAACGTTCCTATACTTCATTTGATAATTTTCCACTTCTAATTTAAATGCCTACATTCTTTTGGGTCGACCGACGTCGTATGTTCTTATCAGTACTTATTACAGACAGAGCATCTGAAAAGCGCACTCAATGCTTATTTCATGTTAAAATGAGAGCATTGTCACTCGTCTCATCGATTTTTGGCAAAAAACACGCACCCGCCTCAATAATGGATGTCTTTCTATATCACCCCCCTCCCCCGTGTATGTTTGATTCGTGGCGCTAAACTGAGGCAGTGCACACTTAAAAACGTCTGGTTTATGCCAGAACGCTAGGAACTGTCTAAGGCATTAAAATTGTAAGATTTTTCACGTTTCTTCGTTTGCACAGGGAATTTGTAACAAATGACAAAACTGTCACCGTGCACGGTCCGGAAGTAGGGCAAAAAGAAGATTGGAAGAGAACTGGCATGAAATGGGCTTTTCATTGACAGGATTAACTCCTGCTTGCCCTAACTGGAGGCAAACAGGATAGAAAATTGAAAGATCACTTATCAGAGAGTTTTGTTGGAACGTAGGACTGCCCAAGACATATGCTAGTGCAATCACTAGCACCATGAGAACGTACGTAGTCAACGTCCATTTTCGAAAATATCTAAATGACTTATCGACAATACGAGGGCGATGCTCGTATTAAGGCAAACGTATGAAGGAGTATGCAAACGTTTAGGCAGATTTTGAATAATTCATATTGACCCAGCTGTGAAAAACTCGGCGCCTCGGTGGGATTCGAACCCACGCAGTAAGGAGAAGGCTTTAGTACAGCCAACGCTCTAACCACCTGAGCTACGAGGCCCCGCCGGACGACGCGAGTTTAATCACATTTGGGTCAAGTTACCCGCCCAACCTACTGCAACGTCTGGAATCCACCAAATCTGATACAGTAAGTTGACTGTCCAAGCAGGATTTCCTAAGTAATTCCCCTAGAATCCACCAGATGACTACCAGGCTCACGTAATTCATAGATGTTTTGGCAGATTCTGAATAATTAATTTGGACTCAACTGTGAAAAATTCGGCTTCTATGTGTTGACAATAGAAGTCAGAGATGGTGGTTTGCTCAGAAGAGGATCGAAGTACATTTACAGAGGGAATTCTCTGTCCCCTTAAAGGGCCACGTGGTAGATGCGCTGGACCAACTCGAGGACCATATCGGGATGCGCACCATAACAAATTCCAACATTTGTGGGGTGCGGTGGCAGACTCGTTTGCCGGCAGATGTCGTGCACATGAGGACCCCTGCCGCCCCTCATTGTTGTTCTTGGTTAAAATTCTGGTCATATGTTGCGTTGACAAGGGGGTATGGAGTGCAACGCCAAGGTGTCGGTCCAACAGTGTCATCCACCTGCGTTCTCCCCCGCCCCTGGTTTTCTTGACTCTGTCTTGACACCTGGTCCAGGTGGGGGGTGGGGGGGGAGAGGAGAGAATGCGGTAGATGCTGTGGGATTCTACTACCAATTTAAACTAGTTCACGCACAAGTCGCTGTGCCTGCTTGACCCTGTGGTTGAGTATTCGGTGGACATCGTCGGAAACGACGGTCGAACTGTCATGAAATGTGAGTAGAGGGACTAGTGCCGTATGCCTTGAGCTGCCGAAGAAGGCGACCTGGAGCCACCACTTGGTATTAAAAAGTCCAGAGACGGGAGTTGAGATATCCTGACTGAAAACTTCATGAGCATGGACCTCCCTTGGTTTGATGCGGCTAGTTGACTCAACCACGAGCATTTTTCAGATGAGATTTTTTGCGTATTCGCTGATTTCGTCCCATTCTGGTCTAGGAAAGGAGACGTGACCCCAAATAATTCGTCGGAGCATCAGGTACTCCTTCCGATTCCAGAAGGGCGGAACACCGAAAAAAAGGGTATACCTACTAACAACAAAAGACCAGACGTCGAATGGTTGACCATAAAGTGTCGTAGTACCCACATCGGAGGACTTCTGATGCTAAATCTCCAGGGGTGCCTCGCGTCTCTTGAAGTTCGTCCTTTTCTGTAGTGAAAACAGCCAGAAGTCCGCCAGTTTTATGTTCATATCTTCATCCAGTAGAATGTTCTCCAGCTTAAGTTCACGATGAACAATTCGCATATTATTATTATTATTATTATTCAAAATCTCCCAAAACATCTATGAATTACGTGATCCTGGTAGCCATCCAGTGGATTCTAAGTGAATTACTGAGGAAATCCTGTTTGGGCAATCAACCAACTGTATCAGATTTGTCCACCTCTGCGTTTTCATTGAGAGGACTACTAAACCGGGGGAGGATGGCTACCTGCCGTTTAACTTACCAGCAATTAGCTATCAGTGATGGCGGGGGGCTTTAGTTGCATCACTGTTGTTGCATTCGCTGGCTACAAAAAATAAAATAATGGGCAAGAAGAATTCCGCGCAGGTGGCAGAATGCTCTGGCTTTTGCAGATGTCTGCTGCCTTCCATTCTTGAACACAATTTTGAAAACGCTCCTTAAAACATTGCTCAAGCAATGGCCAGTCTCAACATAAGGCAAGCTGGCCCACCCCCAGACGTTGCAGTAGGTTGGGCGGGGAACTTGACCCAAACGTGATTTAGGAGTAAACAAGATAATGTGCACTATGCAGAGGTACAAGATGAATTGTAGTGCCCGCTGTAGATTTATTAACTGTTGTCATTCAACCATCTGGCTGCTTAGTGGCAAGAGAGAACCTTCACGAACTCCACAATTGTCTGGTTTGATGGTTATATGTACACAGCGAGAAAACTGCAAAAAACCCAACGGGTAACGTTAGGGATCCCTGATTAGCCACATCTTTGGCGGTCACGTCGTGTAACTGCGAGAATTGGATAGAACGTATGTCCAGATTTCTGACGAAACATCTGTCATTCAAAACTGAAATACCAATAGTAGAACTGCCTGCTTGTTAAATAGGCATTATGTAAATATTTCATAGCAGTTGATTGTCTACAAGTTAAACGTTCCTTGCAACCTCGCGGCCAACACCAAAAGCTCTGATACGGTCGCAACTTCAAATACTTGCTTCAATAATTTGCCAACTTGATACCCTGCCCTCGAGTCCGTGCAGCGCAGACCATAAAAATGATGCTAGGGGACTTACGGAGTGGAGGAAGAGTAAGAGTATCATGTAGAGATTTATCGATGTGCGGCAAGAATAAAGGCAGACAATCAGAAGCAGCAGTACTGTTACACTTATCTCACCGACGCTGGCAGTCTGATAGGCCGTTGAAACATACAAGATCCGGTTTTGGCGACATCTGATAAGTAAGTTACACGAATTGACACGCGAGGCCACGGCATCTCCCCCCTGCGAAAAACCTGAGCACGAACAAAGTATGCATTCCCTACTATCAGTGAATTTTTTGTTTCGTTGGAGCTGGCGGGAATAGACATGGTTTTTTGCCCTCCGACGGGGCAGGCATAGTCCGTTCAGGTCGTCGAATGCCTACTAACAGACATTAATCAAAAGCTCTTACCGAAAGGTGGACAGATGGACATTGGAATGGAGATTTATGACTATGTTACCATCCTCAGTCGGTAGTTTCCTGCGCAGGTTTCGACCTGATAAAGTTGAGTGTCTGCTAAAGCCCTTGCTACCGGAATAAGCCAGGAATAGTCGGTTCAGTGTCCATATCCTCATCGGTAAGACTTTTAAGCAGAGGCCTAAAACGCGGCCACACTGGTAAACCGGCGGACCCTAAACCCTAGCCATAAATAATAACCCTAGAGCATAACTCTAGACCTAACCCTAAACCCTAACGCTAAATCCTAACTCTAAACCTGACATAAAAACTCCAACCCTAACACTAAATCTTAAACCCTTGACCGAAATTATAAACCGTAGCATTTAACAGAAACCCACGTACTGGAGTCGATATTAGTGTGTAATCTGTGGGCAGTTGACTAGGGGGTGGGACCGCGTTTTGAGTCTCTGCTGACTATTTAACTAATTCTGTTACTTTGGTCAAAAAGAGACAAGTTTGTCCGTCAATACCGATGGGGACAGATCAATTCTTAGCTTCAGTATCTCTACCTTGTTACACGGGCATTTCACGGTGTTAAAAAATCCCACAATTAGAATGTTTGGTAAGATGGGGTTTGGAAGCCCCACCTGATGGACACAATACTGTTAGGGTTTGGGTTAAGAAGTAGTAGTAGTAGTCATTTTTTACCGAATGTGGTTTCTCCAGGAGGTCAAAAAGAAGTGCATTTTAAAGCCGACATCCTACCTAATCCAAAATTTTATAAGAGTATGCCTTAAGATAATCAGTATCACAACCGCGATCAAGTAATCCTTCCTAATCGAAAACGCATTTCAGAATTTCAGCCAACATTTCATGAGATAGGTCACGCACTGTATGTCTGGTGTACGGCATATTCGTACATATCAATGTGAGTGATGATTTGGGGTTCAGACAAATTATTCCGCTCATTATCCCCCACGGAAAACAGAGAAAAAAGGAGATAATTTCGGGAACTATGCTGCATTCGTGCTAACACCCCCCCCCCAAACTTCCTCGATTCCATCACCAGAGTGGTGAGGTGTTTGTACCTGCTGGCCTAGACTTATTCTTCCTCTCCGCATGTCTCCTATTATAGGCATGCCTGACTCACGAACTCTGAACAGTCTGCTGGCTAAGGATTAACTTTGCCTTCTCATTGACTGATAGCTGATGGACTCTATTGACCTATGTCCCATGCGCGGATATCAGGGTGGCCACAATGTCGGTTTGTTTGTGGGCCCTCTCCTCATAACCGAATGGGCCAATCAGCTGTCGCCGCGTGTGCGAATCACGTTCGTTTGTTTGAGAGCGTCAGAGGGTAGATGTTTCACACCGGTCGCGCGACCTGTGGTCAGCTCTTTCCCCTGCTATGAAGGCGAAAACTGTTGATGGAGCTGAGATTTGCTCCAGTGTGCTGTCGACCCTGCCTGGACGGACTTGGTTCTCGTAAGTAGCGTCTGATAGGGCGAATGCAGATCAGTGGCTTGGTTTATTGTGCTAATCCAGGACAAGCTTTCAAGCACCAGTCTGTCATTGGCTCCGTAGATGACACATGCTTCCCCGAGGGTGAAACTGTGCTTCTCCTGTTGTGTATGGCCATATGCCAGTGACAATCTGGCATTATCGAAAAAGGCAAGGAAGACTGCAATTACCATTTCTGACTTATTGGACATCATCAGCCAGTCATATCCCACCCCGTAGTGTAGAACACCTGGAGCTCAATCCCGCGACCCGTTGGTTAGAGGTCCAACGCCTCTAACCACTGAGCTCCGGGTTCGTTGTCCTGTAGGCTGCGGTCGGGAATATACAATAGTGAAGAGACGCTCACCTATCGTGTTACGGAATTCACTCGTCCTGTTGTGTCTTGGGGTCTTCTCTCGACTCCAACCAAGCAGCCACACAGCGACGTGTACTATGGGCAGAATGACATTGCCGACAAAGACAAGGGAGGTTGGAATGGCCATTTCTGGCTCATTAGCCGTCGGTAGGCAAACATTTTTAACCCCGAAGTGTGGAATACCTGGGGCTCTGGGTTGGGTGTGACTGACTGATGACGGTTTATAAGCCAGAAATGGTCATTCTAGTCCCCCTGCCTTTGTCGGCAATACCATTCTGCATATATATGTATATTTATTAGTTTGTACAAGTGCTCGTGTTGCGGACATTCTATAGCCTTCATCATCTCCCGAAGACTCTTCATCTCGCGAAAACTCGCCAACGACAGGTACAGAAGTTTAATTGCGAACAACTACAACACGCTCGGAGGTCAGCGTTCTTTTATCGAATTTGATCAAGTAACGTTGAGCAGAAAAAGTCAACCCACCGATCTGATGATAAAAACGATGAAGTTTCCGATAGATCAGTTCAAACAAACTCCTGTCCAGGAACCAGCACCTTCTCCATCTCCTCTTCTTCCTCGTCCTTCTTCCCCATAATTACTTGCCCTGCCGGCAGAATTAGTATGTACAGTTGCTAAAAATGATAAAATTATTTAAGGGAATTCCGGAGTTATGAGTCAATTGCTGCCAAATCAGGCCTTTTGCCCTAGGTCGACAATTCTCGAATGCATGAAATGTTAATGTTCCAATTGGGACTTTGAGAGACGCGCTGATAGTAAATAATGTGGTAGGCCTCTGCAGACAAATGAAGGGAGTTACCCATTTTATGCAAATTACACAAAATGCCTTCCAACAGCCCAGTACATTAACATCATCTTTTTTGAGATACAGCCACCATAACGCAAAATGTTTCCTGACTTTTGTCCTATTAACGTCATCGAAAGTCCGTGGGGTTTTCTGCGTCTCAATTTACTGCCTTGGGCGTCTGATCTTTAAATGCGCCCGTAATTCCCATTAGTGGAACGTAAAATACTTCACGTCCTTCATAAAAGCAACCAAAAACCTGTTTTATGCACGCTATGAGAGCAATGAACAGACCAATGTACCAAAGCGTAGCAGCGCATTCGCAAATTATCGTTTTTCTTCATCAACAAAACGTCATTTTATGATAACGTAATGTAAGACCATACTTTAAATGAATCATTTGAGGAAATAAGATGAGGGGACTGATATGTCAACAGCAGTAGGTTTTGGGTGCTAAATTCCAAGGTTTTATTTGCTTGCGAGGGAAACTGAGCCCTATATGTAATCTTTTGACTATATCTTTCGATGAATGTAATGGCGCATTGGCTGAAGTCTCAGAATGGAAGGGGTTTAATCCTTTCCCAATCAGGCAGGCGGCAGCATAAACCGCAGTTAGTTAAACAATGATCAAAAATCTTACAAACTAGGCCGCGCCAGCGAGACGAAAAGTCTGGTACCCGGATAAACAAAAGCCTTAAAAAACCTAAAATAGAAGGGACAAGAACACCTATCTGTTGGTTCTCTGCGAAACTCACCGATTTCATCACGGCTCGTTTTTAAGGGTCCGCTGGAGGCACATAAAGCAAACGAACCACTCAGACCCTTCCTCCCTTCGTGGCAGTTCGACGTATGGTTTGGCAAAATGGATCTTTGGTCACCTCAAGTTTCTTGCTAAAGGTTCACAAACCACCGTAACTTCTTCTAGTCGAGTCCCCGAACTCATCAGAAGGCCTGAGATTAGGGTCAGACGAATTCACGATATTCTTGGATGTAGTTTCGTGCTTCATCCCTGTTACACAACTCCTGGCGACAGACGTTGCAAATCAACCACTGGCTGAACGTTACGATGAGATGGCCAATCCCCTGAGACCCCAACAGCTGATCAAGCTTTTGCGACATTGCCCTGAGATTTTTCCACCTTCGGCAGTCCTATGGGCTTTCTTCTATCGGACCTGATTGCTGAAGTAGTCTTTCAGCGGAGAGGACGCCTGATGTTCACCAAATATCAACCAAAATTCTGGGCTTATTAGGCTGACGACACCTTCGCCGTTGACAGCACACCTGCCATCGAACCCTTTGAGGAATTAATGATCTTAGCTGGCCCGATTATTCAACTCACAATAGAAACCGAGGCGAACAACCAACTGCCCTTCCTCGACGTGCTCTCGCCCCGAATGCAACTGGATTACTACAAACTACAGTATTCAAAAAGCCACCAGCACAGAGCGAATACTATAATCTATCAGCAATCATCCTCTGTCTTAAAAACGTAGTCGTGTCCACACTCTCTTTTAAAGAGTTTGGATAAAAACACCGTAACAGGCCAGCAGACCGGAGAATTGAAGCTGTATTCCTTCAGAACCTCATCAGGCGTCAGAGTAACAGGCGCAACAACCTGAGGTCTGGAGGTCCAGTCCCTGCATTGAAAGATCCCCCTAGACTGTTTCTCGACTGGTACAGCCAGCCAGAGTAGGCACAGCCCATCGACCCGTCGCCGTTTTATGCAGTCTAAGGACATGGTGCCACTCACTGAAACCCCGACCATTGTCTTCAAAATAAGACATCATGGCAGGAACTGTAAGTAGGTTGGGGAAACCTAGCGAGAATTACCGACTTGCCCACATGTACACATATTGACAACTCGGAGGTTAGACTCAATCTGTCAACTGGCAATGCACCTTGAAGAAACTGGCAATAATTTTAATCTTCGGGAGGTGAGCTTCTATGACCGGGACAAATCAAAGCCAGGACGACTAATAATTGGGGCGTGGCTTCCAGATGCCGCCTCCATCAACAGGTAACTTGACATTTCTGCTGCTTATAAAGTTCTACATTAATACGTACTCAAAACCCAGAACTTCGGGAAGCCGCGCGGACACAACCTGTCGACGAACGCACCCAATGGGAGAGAGGGAGAGCCGTCAGATTGAACCAACCGCTGCAGAGGCTTGACCACTCCTCCCCCCCCCCCGAGGTGATGACTCATAGCGCGCGCAGTTGATAAGTCGCCAAATCTCCTCCAAAAGTCTGAGAAGAGAAAAATCGATCAGCGTGAGGCCCACAAGCAAGACACGCCACTGCAATTTCTGTTAGATTAAACGCATTCATCGCGTTGACAACGTTGAGCCGACCGAGCTCTACACAAACTCAGCATTCGGTCAGATCGCAGTTGGTAGCTTGGCCCCGTATTACAGGTGGCTGGGAAGGTTGTTTACTGGGGCTATTTTGTGGGGTTCCATAATCACATATGTCCCATTTGGCTTCCGTTTTACAGTTGAGGTTGGGATTAGGGTACCTATTAATGGTTTCCTACTTTCGGGTTAGGGTTATGCCTTTAGGCTTAGGTTTCCGGGTCACGGTAAGAGTTTGAGCGTACGAATGGGTTTCAGTATTACGGTTAGGTTTCTCAGTCACGACTATGTCTAAGGGCTACGGTTAGGTTTACGATTTCGGTTAGGGTTAGGGTTAGGGAGGCCGTTAGGGTTAACGCCTAACGTCTAAGGTTGTGGTTGGGGTTAGGGTTGAGGTTAGGATTGGGGCTAAGTTCGCCGTCCTCTTCCCACTCCTCGCTACCAACTGCGATCTAGCCCGGCCTTCTAGTCAACCCGTTACGGTGAACCCTTCTCATTTCTTGGTAAGATGTGGTTGTGTGGTCCCACCTGATGGACGCCATACTGTTGGGTTTGGGTTTAGCGGTTAGGCATTATGGTAGGGGTTACGGTTAGGGGTTAGGATTGGGGGCTATGACTAGGAGCTAGAGTGAGGGGTTGTGGTTAGAGGTTAGGGTTAGTGTTAGGGTTAGGAGGGTTGACAACCATTTTTCAACCACCCAACTCACAACCGTGAATTCCCAATAGCTTTTGCTTTTCATGCAACTACTTGACCTCGTCTTCTGTACGTTCCCCAGCCCCACCTGTAAAAGCCCCTCTTACCACCGGTCTTGTATTACAGGCGACTGGGGTTTGTTTGCTTCAGGTGGGGCTACATAACCACACCTGGTCTATTCATTTCTTTAATCATGAATCCGGATCTCTCAACTTTGTCAGTCTAAACATCTGCTGCCACAATCTACCTCCAATGAAGAGGCTTTTGAGAAAAAAACGAAGGGAAACACACAGGAACGCTGGACAACCTATCGATGAGTCAATTCCTTCGCAGTTGCATCCAGCAGCAACAGAATATCGAGGAGACATATGTTTGGACATATAGCCAGTATCTGTGCTCTCAGTATGATAATTCATTCAACATGTCTGTGTTCTACTGGGTGACTGCTGGTAACTTACGAATATGACACAATTATCCCACTGGGGTTGATGGCTTTAGGCTCAAGTAGTTATATCCACTCCGAACTGAGTCTACAAAACTTCACTTCGAACGATTGACTGCGAGAAAGAACATTAATTTCTGAGGAGAGTTAAAGGAAGAAATATAGTCCAATGCGAAGATTTAAACAGACCCCCTAAAACCTAATGGATATCGATTTTTCTCATACAAGATTCTGGGTTTGTAGAGGTATAGTTTGCGACAACTAGATTACCCTAGGAAATGTACTGGACACTTTCTACATGGTCTTCGATTTTCTGATAAGTGTAGGCTGACATGGAAATTGGTCTTGCAATTAATGCATAAAAAGCTTACAGTGCGTGACATATCTCATGAAATGTTGACTGAAATTCTGAAATGCGTTTTCGATTTGGAAGGATTACTTAGTCGCGGTTATGATACTGATTATTTTAAGGCATACTGTTATAACATTTTGGACTCGGCAGGATGTCGGCTTTTAAATGTACTTCTTTTCAATCTCCTGTAGAAAGCGTGCTCGGTAAAAAATGACTACTTAAGTAGCATGCATTTTTCCCATTGATTTTTGATGGTCTTGAAAATTTAAATATATTTTATAGAAACCATAAACAAAAATATGCTTTGTTTTAGTCACTCAATAGAAAATGACGTCTTCTTTATATTTTATACTCAAGGAAGGAGTATAATAAGGTTATAAAAAAGTTTTCTAATTGCCGAATAATTTGGAGCCTGACCATTCGTTGCATTAGCGCTAAGTGATTACACTCTACAAGGTGCATGCGTTCCGCGTAAAGAAAATCCCATATTTTTCTATGTCATTAAAAAGATATCATACAGGGTTCATAAAATTTTGCAATGGATGCGGACCATGTTTTAAATTTCATGAGGAGCAGTGGTAAACGGCCAGGTACGATGCTATGTGAATGGACATATCACGGTCTTAAAAACTCTCACAATAAGAAACTTTTTTAAAATCCAATTATACTCCTTCCTTAAGTATAAAATATAAAAAAAACGTCATTCTCTATTGATTGACTAAAAGAAAGCATATTTTTGTTTATGGTTTCTATAAAATTTATTTGAATTTCCAAGACCATCGAAAATCAATACGAAAAATGCATGCTAATTAAGTAGTCATTTTTTACCAAGCACGATGTGTACAGAAGATTGAAAAGAAGTGCATTTAAAAGCCGACATCCTGCCAATTCCGAAATGTTATAAGAATATGCCTTAAGGTAATCATTATCACAACCGCGACTTAGTAATCCTTCCCAATCGAAAACGCATTTTAGAATTTCAGCTAACATTTCAAGAGATAGGTCACGCACTGTATTTACGATTAAAATGGTCTGGTCAGACCCTCCGCTGAAGGGATTCATTGCCACGAAAAGGTGTAAGTCAGCTTTCAGTTAGCACGACGCATTAATTTGCCGGCTAGACTAACCCGCTGTGGTCTGAGAAACCCATTTCAGGTCGGGCGATAAGAGTGTGCGTTTCCCCTCATTTGTTCACACATGAAAATAACTCCATGGTGTACTTGTTTATTTCGTTTTATTTTTCACCCAATTGTGAAAAACTCGACGACCTTGTCGGTATTCGAACCCCTGGCAGCAAGGCGAAGGCCGCCTGAGCTAAGAGGCTTCACTGGAAGCCGTGGGTTCAATCACACTTGGGTCAAGTTACCCGCCCAGCCTACTGCAACGTCTGGAATCCATCGAATCTGATACCGTACGCTGACTGCTAAAGCAGGATTTCCTAAGTAGTCCATATAGAACCCATCAGATGACTACCAGGCTCATGTATTTACCAGGTGTTTGCGAACCGTTTTGTCTACGCGGGAAAATTGAAAAGTCGGTTAATGGAAATGGTAACAGAAAAAACAAACAAGATAAAAGTTTTTTCTAATTGGAGTAAAATCCTAGTTTATGTTACCCCTATTTATTAGGGTAGGATGCATACAGTGAAAAATGCAGAGACGCACCCATTTTGGAGACCCGTTCACATATGGCGCTTGTATTTAACAATCGTAAAGATACCAACGAAAACGCTGGCTTTCAGATCAAATATTTAAACCATCATTCACGCCAAACATTAAAATGCTTTCAGAAGAGCATTTGGCGAACTTACGCCAAATGTACAGGCCTGAAGGGAATTTATCGAAAGCACGCGTAAGCTCACCAAATTCTCTTCTGTATCTCTCCATGGGAATTGTCGAAACTTAAGAATGCTTTTCCCGAAGCATTTGTCCAAAATTAGCATATAATTTTCTGAGGAAATTAAGAAGATTAAATAAGAAAGAAGGATGATGGTTGACCACCGAAAATATCTGTAGACCTTTCTAAGCTTTCGAACACGTGCAGACGTCCATCGTCAGGGGGTGAAAACAACAAGAGAACAGGGAACGGCTCTAGGGGACATATTAACCAATCAAGGACAAGTGTTTCACGTATGGAGAGACTGCTTAGGGCTCTCCGTATGCCGGCACCAGATTAGCGTATCGACTGACTAAGGTAGGTACCCAAAACACGTGGGGAATACTGGGGTCCAATCGATGAACCCAACATCAGTCAGATGTGTTATGTAGCAGCACAAAATCGGCGAAACACGTGTCTGGGCTTTTAGATAGTTCCTGGGCGGTCAGTATGGTGGATCATTCGATGTTTGAATGAAAATACAATCGAAAAGTTCACAAAGACCCGAATGAACATCTGTGCTGAAGTACTTGACTACTTGACCTTTGACAATCTTGTCACGTTTGTTTTACTGTAGCATTTGTTTTACCGTGACGAGTACTCCGCCGCTTGTAAGCTTCGCGCCGCTTGCGTGCTCTCTCGTCAGGTCGTTGCACATTTTGAATATTGACTTTATTCTCTTACTGGCCTTCCTTACCTCTCTCCGTTTATGAGGTTAGTAAGCCGTAGTTCGTTAGTTCGCGGGAACGACATAACTTACGTCACATCCATGACCTACATTCTGTCGGACGCTAGCAGACCACAGACAGGAAAAAACAACCTGTCTGACTGCCCTGAAATCTTTTACATGACCTAACTGTTTGGTCTAGTGAATAATAGTACTATGTATTTACACCCTCTTTGTCTCTAATTTCTACGTCATTTCTCATACTCAGTGCGGTTTGTGCAGGACACGCTATGTCGAATATATGGCGGTCAGAGAAGAACGAAAGAGCCAGTAGGTTTGGGCGAACAAAGTCGTCGAATACGATGACAAACCAGTGAACAGCCCGTGGACGAAGTTTGAACATCGGGAAGTCGGTGAATAAGACTACAATGAGTGACGGATCCCATGAAAGGTTGGCTGAAATTTGAAATCCGTTTTCGATTAGGAAGGATACCTTAGGCGTGGTTGTAATACTGATTATCTTGCGGCATAATCCTATAGTATTTCGAGGTCGGCAAGATGTCAGCTTTTGGATATACTGCTTTCTAATCTCCTGCGGAAACCGTACTCGATAAAAAAATGACTACTTAATTCATATTGACCCAACTGTGAAAAACTCGGCGCCTCGGCTTTAGTACAGCCAACGCTCTAACCACCTGAGCTACGAGGCCCCGCCGGACGACGCGAGTTTTATCACACTTGGGTCAAATTACCCGCCCAACCTACTGCAACGTCTGGAATCCACCAAATCTGACACAGTAAGTTGACTGCCCAAGCAGGATTTCCTAAGTAATTCACCTAGAATCCACCAGATGACTACTAGGCTCACGTAATTCATTGATATTTTGGCAGATTTTGAATAATTCATATTGACCCAACTGTGAAAAACTCGGCGCCTCGGTGGGATTCGAACCCACGCAGTAAGGGGGAAGGCTTTAGTACAGTCAACGCTCCAACCACCTGAGCTACGAGGCCCCGCCGGACTACTTAATTATAATGCATTTTTCCCATTGATGTTCATCGGTCTAGCAGATTGAAATATATTTTATAGAAACCATAAACAAAAACATGCTTTCTTTCTGTCATTTGATGGAAAATTACGTTTTAATTATATTTTATACTCGAAAAAGGAGTATAATTAAGTTTCAAAAAGGTTGCTAATTTCCGAATAATTTGGAGCCTGATCAGTAGATGCCTTAGCGGTTAGTGGTTTCAGTCTGCAAGGGACATGCGTTCCGCGTAAAGAAAATCCCATACTCTTCTATGCCTTTAAAAAATATCATATAGAGTCCGTAACACTCTGCAGTGGATGTGGACTATGTTGTTCATTTCATGAAGAACAGTGAAAAACGGACAGGTACGATGCTATATGAATGGACGTTGCACGGTCTTAAAAATCTTATAATTAGAAACTTCTTTAAAACTGAATTATACTCCTTTTTCGAGTGTCAAATATAATGACAACGCACTTTTCTATCAAACGACTAAAAGAAAGCATAGTTTTGTTTATGGGTTCTATAAAAGATATATTTGAATTTGCAAGACCATCGAAAATCAAGGGGAAAAATGCATTGCACTTAAGTAGTCATTTTTTACTGAGCACGGTTTCCACAGGAGATTAAAAGGAGTGCATCCAAAAGCTGAAATCCTGCCAAGTCCGAAATATTGTAGGATTATGCCCCAAGATCATCAGTATTACAACCGCACCTAAGTAATCCTTCCTAATCGAAAACGCATTTGAGCATTTTAGCTAACATTTCATGAGATCGGTCATTCAATGTAAGTAGACGACCGCTTGGCATGCGAAACAGTACATGTCTGGCACATTGGTTTGATACATGACCATCCCGTCCGGTTACTATGGTTGCGTATCATAAAACCAAATTGGAAGGGGATGGGGATAAAAGCAACAGTATTTGTCTAAAAACAGACACTGAGTGGAAATAAGCAGTCGTATGATTTCGCGCGATGAGTCTGTAGATGGTGCCTGTAGCTTTGAAGAATCACTTGGGCTGGTCCTGCGTCATTTTAAGTGTTTTTAGCAAAGTCCCAAACACCGTACTGATCTTAACTAACCCTTACGGACGAACGATATAACCTGAAAGCCCACATCCAATGCTGTTTGAAGCATTCTTCTGAGATTTGTTCAATGAAAATTACGCAGACGCAGACGAAAAGTTGTTTGGCTGCTCGATGTCTGTCGGTGAGTGCAGGGTCATTTATCGTAAGTAATATGTGTGGCGTATTTCATGTTGCAATGTTAGCATCGAAGCAATCGAAAATAACAAGCTTTCTATATTTCGAAATAGTTAAGGACAAATTACAACATTTCAGACAAGAGTTGAAAGCTAGATGCCCTTCAAATGCCGACGCTTAGCTCCTTGAAATTCATAATAAAAGTTTAACTTCCCGCGACTATTACAATCCAGCAGGTAGTATCAATTTTATTTGAAAACGGATACAACTTGGGCCTATAATTACTGACTTACTGACTTTTTCCTTCTAATGGTTTTCCAAAAACGTATTGGAAAAGCAAGATTGGTCTCCAAAGAAATATTTAAGAGGCAGTTTTCTATTGAAAAACGATAACTAGAGTAAGCCTGCACTTTGTATTACGCGGTATCTAATGAAATCTGTGCAATGTGGTAACGTGGCTAGAACTGCCACTGTCAAAACGTTTCCTGGAAAATTTGGGTTACTAAGCATCACCCACATACGGGGACATCAACCTAATAATGGTAAAAAATCCCAGTCTCTTGAGGCATTTTCAATTTTAATAAGGCACATATTTTGAGGACAATTCGTATAAAATTAGGATATGCTTAAGTCTCGATGAAAAATGGAAGGAAAAATCGCCTCTTCTGGACTATTTAGGGTCGCGTTGGTGTAATAACTAAATTCTAAAAGTGGTACACCTTTCTGTAGGACGGCAGAGAGATTATTTGCCTAGCGTTTCGTACAATAAGCGTTGTATGACCTGAGGATCATCAGAGGGTTTGTTTGAGGATGTGGAGTCAGTATTTAGTACCTTTCATCTTTTGTCAGTTTTAGACGCAGTAAGCAATAGCTAAACGTGCTTGCTCTAAAGAGCATCAGTAAGAAGTGCTCAAAGAATATTGATCCGTGTGCCATCAACAACAAAGCGTTTTGTATAAGTTTCTCCCAAATTCAACTTTTGCTTCTTGCTAAATATAGTACCTTCGAACATTTTGAAACGAACCAATACTTCGTGGCCGGTTGTGAGATGTCAGCTATTGTTCTAGCTGAGATATTTGTTAAATTCTGCCTTGCTTTTCAAATTTTAACGTCGGTTAATTTTTTATGGAGAGGAGAAAAGTACTAATTAAATAAATTAGATGCGCTTTAGTATGCGTACTCTTGATTCTCCACAGAAATCCTGTCGATTCTTTCTGTAATAAAGGTATCAAAAAAGATGCACCACTATAAAATTCTTTTAATGCAGGCTAGCTCTGCTGATTAATTACTTTTCGACAGAACGCGGCACTTAAATTGCACGCCGTAAAATCCGACAGGTCAGAAATAAATTCAAAGCAAGCAACCAGCTTATTTCACTTGCACCTACTGATTAGGTGGACTAATTTAACGCTGGTCTAAAATCGGCATTTTGTTCTCAGACAACAAAAATAACTTGACTGTTGCTTTGATAGTTCTCACACGAAACGTTTGCGACAGTCAGTTCGTGCGTGGGGGTCAATCAGACTTTTGACTGGAAGTGTTTCTGTCACCCGTAAAAAATACGCTGGGGAGAGAAAAAACTTCTTCGATTGGTTCACGCGTTTTCATTGTTTTTAGACGTCTGCTTGCGGTGAACAGCAAGTTGTTGACGTATGATATGTGTAGTATGTGACCAAACTGCTAACAGTTAATACACAGCCTACAATACAGCGGAAATGCTATGTCATGAAATGTTAACCTAAATTCTTATAAGAATTTTGGATTTGAAAATATCATGCAAGTAAGGTTGCTACATTGATTATCATGCAGTTGGAGCCCATGCTGGTTCAGCAACAGCAAGATGCCGGCCTTTGAACAAGCATCTTTTTGGCAATCTTCAAAAATTGCATTTCTTAAAAATAGCTTCTTAAATATCATGCGTTTTTTCCATCAGTTTTTGATGCCCCTATAAATTAAAAGATATTCTCTAGAAAAAATAGACAAAAACACTCTTTTCTGCATTCACTTCATGAAACATCACACATTCTCCAAACTTTACGCTTGATTTCGACCCGAGGTTACAACAACATTCGGGTTTCTGAAGTATAGACCGTATATGTTCGCGTAGGAAAACTCATATATTTCTATATGTTGTTGAAAAACGACCTACAGTCTTCATAAAATTTTGCTGTAGATGTGAACAATGTAGTATAATTTACTAGCATCGAAAGCTTTTGGGCAGACACGGTGCTTTGTAAGTAGACGCTATACGACCTTAAGAATCTCATGATTTGTAACTTTTTGAAGCAAAAAATATAATTTTTTCACGTATAAATTTGAAAGCACGATATTTTGTCAAAAAACTAAAGAAATATTTGTGTGTGTGTCTTCTATTAAATGCACTTATATTACAATGAAATCAAAAATGAGAGAGGAACGTCACACTACGTAAATATTCATCTTTTACGCCGTCGTTTTCGCAGGTAGCCGGAAAGAGGCTCTTTCGAAAGGCGGCATACTGAAGTGCCCGAAATATCTCAGGATTGGGCGGGAAGATAATCACAATTACAGCCCGATGTATGTTATCTTTTCGAATCAAAATCGCACTGCTCAATGCTGGTTAAGATGTATTCTGTTTATACATCGTGCATTGTATTTGATAGCCTTGAAAATTGCACGAAAGGCATTTTTAAATACATTATATACTGAAACGTATACTTTCCGTGTAAGGAAAATCATATATTTCTATATGCTGTTGAAAACGACCCATAGCGTTCATATTGGTTTACTGTAGCTGTGAACAATGCGTTTAATTTACAAGCAGCAAAAGAATTTAGGAAGATACGATGGATTATGAACATCAGGATGCAAAATGTCGCGGAAATTCTATTCGCTGCTGTACATTCAAGGAATTTTTGAAACACTCTCCCAGCAATTAAAACGCTTTGGTATCGCCATCGCCCACAAGCTCGCATCTTCCCTACGCGAGGCATTATGCCGAGTAAAGGACCCAATGTCCAAAGAACAACTAACTAACGCCATCAACCACATCCCGTGCACCAACTGCCCTTGTGTTTATATTGGCCATACAGGCCGATGTTTTGGGACTCGCAGTGACGAGCACATGTTAGCCCTCCGCTGACGCGACCCTCCGTCTATCCTGTCTGCGTCCGCCCTTAGGTATGATCACTGATTCAATTGGGACGGTACTGAAGTGATCGCAATGGCTAACTCAAGACAGGCGCGAGAATTCCTACAAGCTTGGCCTTCTGGCACTACCAGCATCAACCGCCACGTCGATCAAGACGCTCACTGCGAGGGCTTACGTACACGCTTTCTGTCTTGTTCCCATACTCTAACAACTGCTAACCCCCACTCGAGCACACAGACGTATGCTGTCTCGCCATTCCGCCCTCCCCTCGATACCCACACGGTGCACGACAACCGAAACCCCTAACACCTCCAACGCCGGCGCATTGTCCCCTGACCTCATCTCGCATCAGTGACCAGCCTCCCTCATTCCCACTGATCCATAATTCCCCCACTCTTTCTACACCTCCAACACGGAGCCCTAACGGTTCTCCCTTCCCTCACCCCGTCCCAAAGCTTACCATAACTCGGTGCCCACCCCTCTCACACACCAGCTGTCTGTTTGTCGTTGTCTGTCCTGTCGCGCCAGCCGACCTAGTCTGCCGATTTCACTTTTCCCTCTGTTCATTTCGTCTGACGACGGGTCGGTGTCACTGACTTGAAAAGTTACGAGTACAACTCGATTCTCCGAATGGACTTCATTTTTTCATAGTTCAAACGGTTTAAAACATACTTTGCGCTATCCATTTATGATGGAGGAGCGCCATTTAGGTGATGGGAAGTTACTTCGTGGAATTGCCCAGAAATGCTCCCCATGATTAAGCAAGTGTGCGAGAACCAGCCGTTTGTTTTAAAATCAAGTCACCCCGTCTTCTCAATTGTGGTGTTTCCAAAAGACAGTGTCTTATGAAAAGGAAGATGCGCCTTTGTCATTATATCACCTGGGAATGCACACTACATCAGTTACTCAACATTATACACTGTTGGACAATTTAACCACGTAAGAAGTTTATAATTTTGGCCGGAAAGGGGCCCTACCTTATACCCGGGTTATGTCCCATGTTGATCAGCATGTCAGCGGGTGTTTCTTAAGACAGAGCACATTGTGTCTAATGCGGATGGTGTGTTAAATAACCTCAGTCCTCTCGAACTTGACTGCTGCCGTCCTCTTGCATCAGGAAAGCACTGGTAGTTAAGGAAAGCCAAAGATCCCTTATCGGTTAACTACTTTGTTTTGTAAAGTTAGACATCCATGACTCAAAGCAGGTGGTTTTCAATTCCATCGAGCTTATAATCCGTAGGCTATATGCATAGGCAACTCCGCAACTTCCTGCGCGTACTACGTTGGCTATATGAGAACTTTATTAAAAATGATGGGAGAGCGTCCACCAATCAGGTTACGAAATATGCTCGTTTCGTTGCGTCTTAAGTTCAATCTTGAGCCCTTGCATGCAATCGAATAGCGACCGGTAATAAGCGCATGAAGGTGTACTGGCAAAGAAAAGTGGGACTGGTGCGTTCATTTTCGGCCCATTAGTTGCCGTCGTGGTCAAAAGGTCTGTTAGCATGTGCTACGTCAGTATCGGCAAACCATTGGCATCGCAGCCGGGTATGCGGTGGCAGTTCCCTGACACCTGGTTCCCTGTCGGTAGATGCGCTTGCACTCCTGCTAAGTATATACAAGTGATGGGCATGGCTGTGCAGTCATTATCGTCCTACTGACCTCTGTTTGGGTGTTGTTGTTGCCGTTGTTGGTCAAAAAGCCGGTCATTTGCTGTGCAGTGGAACGCCAAGGTGTGGCGTCGATCGTGCCACCCACCTGCGTCCCCTCCCCGCCTCCGGTCTTCTTGACTCTGTCTTGACACGGGGTCCAGGTGGGAAGTGGGGAAGAGGGCGCGCAGTAGATGCTGCGCAAGTCTACGATCAATATGAACTAATTCACACGTAAGTTCCCGTGTCTGCTGCATCTTTCAGTGGAGCACACGGCGGACATCGTCGGAAACGACGGTCACACTGTCAGTCGCCGTCAGCCAGCCATGCACAACTCCACGTCTGTGGAACCAAGGATTCGAACCGAAATCCTTTGGGCGTTAAGTAATCCAGCGCTCTGTTACTACGACCGTTGCCCTGTTGACCGTATTTGTGAGTATTCGCTATCGTAGGAAGGACGTTCGCTAGATCATGCAGGATTGAGGTTGGGCGTGGTTGGTTAACGACTGCTGATAAGCAAGACTGGCCTCTATTTCCCCTGACGGTATTCCTTTTCCAGCTATAATAAGACTTATTTGAGTACTCCAAAAAACGTCCTTATCTGTAGAATTGAACCCAGAACTAGACAAAAACGAAGAAAACAATTCCAAAATAGACATAAAAGGAGGTTTGAAGCGGAAATATGGACAAAATCCACGGAAAATTGTTTAAAAGAATTAACAATGTTGGTATTCATATAAAAACTGCTCCAAAATTTGTCTTTTTTAAAGAAAAGACATTAGACTGAAGGTATTCATTTCACCGGACAAAATGTTCATCGCACGTCTTTATTGCCGGTCTTTATTTAGTTGCTATATTCATGTTTGTGTAAGCCGGCAAATAAGACTTAAACTATCATCCGTAGGAGAAAAAGACTTCATGGTTCATGGCCCGCCGGAAAATGCGGAAATCCTTTTTTTCAAACAGTCGAGTGAGAACGCTGTAAGCCATGCCATACAACCCTGAGCTCAAAAACTCTATGGCTACCAAAAAACAGAAGTGAACATTTTTTAAACATAAAACTTAGGTTATGCAAGCATCTGCTACTTGCTAACATTCCGGCACGGCACTTCTTATGTCTGTGAGTTATATCCCCAAAAATTCAATGGTGGTAACATTTGTCTAGTTGGATCGCCTCTTACAAAATGCGGAGTGGAAAACCTTTCATCCGACCATCCGCACGGCATTTTAAAAATGTCCTTAAACATCAACAAGTAGAATGGTGACTTTTTTACAGAGTGCATTAATTCCTGGATTATATTTAGCACACAAAATACCTGAAAGCGTTTTCGAATTGTTGAGATGCTCATGCCGATTTATTTCCTGGCATGGTTGCATGGACATGAAAAATTAACTGTTGCAAACTAGCATTAGTCCTCCAAGAAAGATTTTCGTTTTTCAACCATTCCACTCTTTTTAATAAAGTCGATAATTTTAATCGAAGTTATTTTACTCTCGACATTGTCATGCATATTTGTTTTTATCTCAGTAGGTTGTTTATTAATAATTGGGGGCTTCGGAGGACGCATGTGGACTCGTCTTCGAGTGGTCATGCATTTTGCATGGTTCTACGCACATTTCATGAGTTTGGCCACACAGCTTTAAAAAGAACCCTATGCTTATCCTTCAGCAGGTTTTAGTCCCTCCATTTATTTCTTAAAATGCTGCATCCACTGCATCCGTTACGAAGACACTCGTAAACCTTTTTAATTAGCCTGCTAGGCTCATTAATCAAGAGATTTCCAACGTATGCACCGCAGCCTGTCAGGTCACTATGCAAAGGAGAAATGGGGTACATTTCATGCGATAGTAGATGAGTTAATCACGGAACACTCAATGAACCTCTGTAACATAGATTTTAAAAAAAGTAAATTTAGTTGGGAGTTGTTTCTGGGCTGACTTATATGCAGCAAAATCATAATGCTAACTATTAAACACTTGTCTTTCGGTAGGCCTGCGATTTTCCAAAAAGTATGATTGCACTCATCGATTTTTGACGCCGTTGTTCATTCAAATATACGGTTGTTGGTCTGTTGTATGAAATGTCAACCAAACTTCCTAAGGGTGTTTTCGATTAAAAAGGACTACTTGATTGGGATGGTGACAATGATTATTTTGCGGCAGTATACTTCAGTCCCTCTAGAATGCCAGCTTTCAAATGTGCTTCTTCCTGACCGCCTGCAATAAACTCGCTCAGTAAAAATAACTACTTAAGAAGCATGTATTATTCACAATGATTTTCGTGGTCCTTATAAATGCAAATGTAATTAATGGAAAACACAAACTTGGCAGGAAATTACCTCGTTGTCATGTTTTTTTGCTTGAAGGGGGGAATATTTTCGGTTTAAAAAACGAAGATACGGAATGTCTTAAGACCGTGAAATGTCCACTTATACAGCATCGCGTCTGTTCGTCAGTTTGTGCGACTAATTACAACATGGTCCGCACTCATGCAAAATTACATGGGCTTGGGGATATATATGGTTATATTTACAGGGGTAGTGCGCTGCATGTGGGTTAGAAACCTTAGGCGCAAATGCAATTAAAGGCCGAGTCCAAAATTGGTCGGGAAACGATGAAACGGTTTCAAAACTGAAAGCTGTCATTTCTTCGGATATAAAAATCGGAAGGAGACGTGACCTGCCGCCAAATGAGTTAAATAAAGAATATTTGTGTGCGCGTTTTCAAAAAATATGTCCAGATTCACAACAGCGTCGAAGACAAACGAAAGGAATTAAACGATATACGTGATTACTAGATCATCAATATTAAAACTCCGCCTATGAAATACATTTTAATTGAAAACGCGTTTTGAAATCTAAGTCAATATTTAATGAGATGGGCCCGATACTGCATTTTATGAAAATTATGCGCGGGAAATCCCTCTCTTTATCCTTTTTATGCATGAAATGACATCTCTTTCAAGTTTTTTTTACTTGACGGCAGTGGATCGTCCGGTGTAAGAGTTTCACTCAGCTCACTGCTTATTCTAAGCCCCCACCAGTTGTTGCAGCCGCCAGCCGAACACCTTCCAGTTAAGATAAATGATCGATTCTTCAATGCCATTTGGAAAATGGCTTCTCGCGCAAGTGAAGATTTGTACGGATCACGTTGCATGCCTCAAAAGAGAATCAATAAACATCCAGACACCATAATATTAAAAATGAACATCTCACGGTCGCACAATGTCTCGAACTTTCGGCATTTGTAAGACCAAACTGTACACCTTCTTCGAGTACCATCATCGCAGAAAACATAATTTCCGACTTAAAGGACCGATTAGATGATGTTCCAGTAATGCTTTGTAGTAACCGTTTCGAGATTTGCTGAATCAGTGAAAGCCAGTTTATAAATGTGCACCACCTATCTTAAACTTTAACAGTGCGAGTTCCGCGAATATGCTGGCCAATACCTTAATTTACGTATCAAAATCCTTCTTTTAGTTCAAATTGCTCTTTTTGTCCAATTTCCATTTCAACGAGAGTAAAAACCGTTGTTTTATTGACTTCCATTGTAGATGCATTACAAATCGATAGAACAAATTTCAACTGCCTAAACACAGGTGTATGCAAAAAGTACCAACCGACAGCTCCTCACTTATACTTACTGTATCCACTTTCGTTTGAGTTTCCGTCTTCGTGGGTGGTGTTGGGACGCGCAGAACTGCGAAGGCTGGCGGCCCCTCTCATCGCCAACGGAAGATTCTGTCAGTTGGATGATCTGCGCCGGATATCGGATTGACTTCCCGTAAGAGGCTTGTGGAGGCTGATTTACGAGAACCTGTGGAAACACCCGGTTCTCCCGCATTCTCCTAGCGTCAAGCGTGGTCAGGCTGACATCCATTGGGTGACTGGCGCTCGCAAGCGAGGGAAAACCTCTCGGCTCGGAGGTACTGGTGGCAGCACCATCTTGCAGGTCGGAGAAACAAAAGTTACTGGGGAAGCCCGAAGTACAACTGTCTGTGGAGGCGATACCCTGCTGATTATTTAGCACGATGTCCCTCTGACTGAATTTCTTTGGTTGCGAGTAAAACGTTTCCGGCAATATTTCAAATTCCATGCCTTAAGCGTAACTGGTGCGTCTGTGCGGCGTTCAGTTCCGACGGTAATTATCAAAACCTCCCAGGTGTGTTTTAGCCAGATTGACATCAGTGCCCACACATGCCCGCAAAGTGACAGTCCTGGGGAGCTACTTATGTTTTCTGCATGTGCTGATCAAATATTTATAGCCTTTGGCAAACATTTTTCCGATGCTCAACAAACATATGTTATCAACTTGCACACGACTCAGGTGGGAAATCAAGCAAACTCCTAGCCTAATTGCCCACCTGATTGGACGAAGTGCCTTCCAATCAAATTTTGGGGGGTGGTAGTTCTCAAATAAGTAGACACAACGGATACCGTGTTCTCATGCTTACCTGGTGATTTTAAGGTGACACAGCCGTACCTTCACACTCTAAGGCAAACACAATATTAATTGAATCATAAAAAATGCATTTACTGATTACTAGAGCAAACGAAACTTAAAAAAACCGCCTTCACTGACGAACAAGGCCGGAGGACATAAAGAAGCAGAAGTCAATGAAGATGTCTGGATTTAAGAAAGGACTACAAACTCTCAAAAATCAAATACTTGCAGCAGCGGGTTAATTTGCATCAGCTGCGAGTAAGTGAGTGTCTGGTACAACATTCACCTACGTTGGATTCATTCTCTGGACGACGTTCTACAATCGCTTGTTGAGAAAGCGTTATAAACGCAGATTTTCAAAACCATTATGCAGGCGGCGCAATGAGTTCGAATCCCACCGAGGCTGGCCAGCTTTATGCACATTTGGTGGGCTAACTCGTGAAATGTCAACCGAAATTCCAAAATGCGTCTTTGTTTTGAAAAGACTAATTAAGTAGAGTTGGGAAACTAATCATTAAGCAGCATAATTCCATAATAATTCAGTTACCCCAGGATGCCGGCTTTCAAACGAACTTCTTTCCGGCAGCATGAAAAAGCTGTCCTCTGCAAAAAATGGCCACTTGAATAGTACGCAATTTTCTCATTTCTCTTCGATGCCCTTAAAAAGTCAATTATATTTCAAGGAAATCATGCATAACAATATTCATTATTTTACTCATTTGGTAGAAAAGCACGTCTCCTATTTTTTTACTCGAAGGAGGGGTATAAATCAGTTTTCGAAAAGTTTCTTATTGTGAGATTTTTGCTACCGTGAAGTGGCCCTATATAAAACATTGCGTCTCTGCATTTACCAATGTGGCTCGTAAAGTTAACAACATGGCTCAAATCCACTGCTGAATTTTCTGAATCCCATATGGTGTCCACTTAATACCTTAGAGGAACGTATGGTTTTCCGTACGCGAAAAATATATGGTTTGTAGTTTCGAAACCCTGAATGCAAGTGTTACGGCAGGTCGAGTTCAAAATTATTCGAAATATAGAAAAGTTTTTGAAAACCGAATTATGCCCTTCGTTTGACAATAAAATTGCAAGAAGATATAATTTCTACCAAATGAGTAAAAGAATTAATATTGTTCTGCATGTTTTTCATGAACTATAATTGAATATTTAAGGGTACTGAAAACCACTGACAAAAATGCATGCTATTGAAGTAGTCATTTTTTACAGAAAATAGCTTTTACATGTCGCCCGAAAGAAGTTCGTTCGAAAGCCATCATTCTTGGGTAACTTAATTATTATAAAATGATGCCGTTTGATGATCAGTTCTATAACTCTGATTAAATAACCTTTTCGAAACGAAAACGCATTTCAGAATTTCGGTTGACATTTTATGAGTTAGCCCACCTTCTGCAATCGATGATGCATTTGCATCATTCAAATCTACCAAAACACTAGATCACTATCTGATTAAGTAAATGCCTAAGAAGACCAACTTGCGCAGTCAGCCTACAGCATTAAAAATGATGTATTTCTTGCGCTCCATTAACGTAATAGTTAAAACGGCCAAAAAATGAAAAATACAAAGCTGCCTATAACGGAGTTACAAGTGGTAAGAACGCTGACTTCGGCCACATCTAGGACCTACTATCACGAATTCGAATTCCACTGAGTTGGAAACTAATAGTCAAGCAGCATAATTCTTTAATAATTCAGTTACCTCAAGATGCCGCCTTTCGAACGAATTTCTTTACGGCAGCAGAAAAAAGCTATCCTCTGCAAAAATGACTACTTGAATAGCATGCATTTTTTTCATTGAGTTTCGGTGCCCTTAAAGATTCAATTATATTTCACGGAAATTGTGCATAAATATATTGATTCTTTTGCTCATTCGGTAGAAAATTACGTCTTCTTTCAATTTTATACTCGAAGGAAGAGTATAAATCAGTTTTCAAAGAGTTTCTAATTGGGAGATTTTTGATACCGTGAAGTGGCCCTATATAAAACATCGTGTCTCTTCATTTACCAATGGGGCTCGTAAATTTAACAACGTGGCTCAAATCTACTGCTGAATTTTGTGAACACCATATGGTGTCAACTTAATACCGTAAAGAAACTTGTGGTTTTCCGTACGCGGAAAATATATGGTTTGTTGTTTGGAAACCCTGAATGCAAGTGTTACGGCAGGTCGAGTTCAAAATTATTCGGGAATTGGAAACATTTTTGAAAACCGAATTACACTCTTTCTTCGAGTAGAAAATTGGAAGAAAACATAATTTCTACCAAATGAGTAAGAGAATCAATATTGTTCTGCATGTTTTTCATGAACTATAATTGAATATTTAAGGGCATTGGAAACCAGTGAGAAAAATGCATGCTAATTAAGTAGTCATTTTTTACAGACAATAGCTTTTACATACCGCCCAAAGGAAGTTCGTTCGAAAGCCGGCATCCTTGGGTAACTTAATTATTATAAAATGATGCCGCTTGATGATTAGTTCTGTAACTCTAATTAATTAATCTTTTCAAAACGAAAACGCATTTCAGAATCTCGGTTGACATTTCATGAGTTAGCCCACCTTCTGCAATCGATGATGCATTTGCATCATTCAAATCTACCAAAACACTAGATCACTATCTGATTAAGTGAATGCCTAAGAAGACCAACTTGCGCAGTCAGCCTACAGCATTAAAAATGATGTATTTCTTGCACTCCATTAAGGTAATAGTTAAAAAGGCCAAAAAATGAAAAATGCAAAGCTGTCTCTAACGGAGTCACATAGACCAGGTGGTTAGAACGCTGAATTCAGCCACATCTAGGACCTAATTTCACGAATTCAAATTCCACTGAGGTCACTGAATTTTGCACGATTGGATAGTCAGTTGCGTTTAAAGCAAGCAAGGGCAGAAGAATTTAATGGTACCAAAATATTTCTCAACTGCTGCCTGTCGTTGCATAACGCAAATAACAAGTGAAAAAGGTACAGAGGTTTGAATTTCGACAGAGAAAATCAATATACAACAGCAAGGTCAACGTATACTGCGCGTAGACTAATCAATAAAATGATACCTTCAAAATGCAACATAGGAATGAAAATGGAGAAGTAAACATGCCGAGGGATTTCGAAAATCAAAAGGGTTCAGGTTTACCAGGGTAAGCTGAGGTTGACCACGTGGTCTAACTGTTTACATAGGTCGGGTTTCTCCCGCCGTATATAGGCTGCCTCCAGGTAGCGCAATAACCGAGTAGTTCGTGCTCGAACTAATACTTAAAAAGACGTTTTGAAGTCAACCGAATGGCCATTATCAAGGAGATGTTTTGTAATTGAAGACCGTGGAATCTAATTCTCCTGCTTTAGAAGCCATTTAGGCAGGTGCTCAACTGACCTGGCTGCATTATCTAAAGTTCCCTACAGCACCCATTTGGGGGTTTGGGTCAACAAGAAAGCAAGAAACATAGTCTTTCTCGACCGTTTACAGTTTAGTGGCCTCTTTTTTGTAAAAAACGTAATTGAGCGTTAAAAGAACCACATACTGGGAAGAGACGGAATTTATAAATATCATAATATTGGACTTCTGCCTCATGGTTATTTCCATTTGCTATGTAACATGGGAGTAGTTGAACTACTTCAAACGATTCACGTCAAAGGCAATAATGTAACAATTTCTGACTCTCTGCCCACACACTTGGCAGGAAACACAGAAGGGATAAGCGGTGTAGATAAAATATTTTTGCCGCACGCGTCCGATGTCCAGAACAGTTTGATTCCCTGTGCCGTCTTATCTTTCTCCTGAGTTTAGCTGGCAAGTCGGTCAAAATGATTTAAAACATGTGGCGTATTGATAGCAGGTAAGACTAAGTGTGAGTTTTGTTCGTAAAAACCCAAAAACCAGGTTTCTGTAGTGAGAAGAAAATTGCCGTGTTAATAGTTGGGGAGAGGACTTCACAGGCACGTTTCTACAGTCAGAGTGTTGTCGTGAAACGACCGAGAAGCACCGACTTCAAACTAGGGGCCGGACTCCGACGGCAAGATGTTCCTCCCCAGTTCTTCAAGCCTCCACTAATGAGTCGAGAGAAACCAAGCGCTGAGAGGAATTTAAGAAGTCTAGGACCCCGAAAATCACATGGGCAACGTATGCTGCTTCGTGGAATTCGAAACTATGAGGCAGAATGCATGATTTGAGGCAACCGATTTTTTCCTATTAATCGTTTAAATCAGCCATAAACTTCTGGTTTTCACTGAGTGTCAGATGCTTGCAATTATCACCTATTAAAACGCTTTATTTGCGCTATGAACTCATATAACCAAAAAATATTAAAAGAATCTATTCTGAAAACGGAAATTATGATTTTGAGTGTATAAAAATCAGATCATGGCCGATATGCAGAAACGCCTTCGTTTCGTGAAGCAAGAAGCAGCTTGATATCGACAAGTTTAATTTATCAAAATGGTAACGTTTTATATTGTTAAACGGAGTAATAAACTTTTTCGAAAGTGTTTGTTTTACTACACCGGGAGATATTAGGCGCAAACACGTTGCACGATTCATGCTTCACGTCGAAACAATTCTTATCGAATGTTGACTTTGGGCTCATACTAAAATTGGCAGTCGAAGAGCCGTCGCCCGAGTCGTTAGCATTGGCAACGTCACTC